ATGTAAACACCTGAATTATAGAGTAACACAGGTTCACTCCCACCATAAATAATGCAACAGTCCCCGGTGTAACGCCTGATCCCTTATCAATAAACATATATGCCGCTACACACATACATACAATGGTTTTCTACTCATATATGTACAGTAGAAATATATGTACACACACACACACACAACTACATATAAGCATTCACACGTATACATATTCAATAACACGAACACGCACACATATACAGTATGTACAATGCCCTTCACTAGTGCGTTTACAGGGGCTCGTTAGGCTTGGTGCAGTGTGGCAGCCCTGTGTTTGTTTACTTTGGACAGAAGGTAAACTCGCAATAGTAAATATACTATGGAATCAAAGTAAAACAACTCTCTCAATGATAATGATTTGTGGAATGTTTATATGACGAGCCCCCTTTAAACGCACTATTGAAGGGCACTGTACACACACACACACACACACACACACACACACACACACACACACACACACACACACACACAATTCCTCCTGCAAGGTAGACTCAACTATTTCTATTCAGGTAAGTATCGATTCTCTCCTCTCCCTCCTCTCTTCCTCTTCTTTCACCTTCCTTACCCTTCCTCTTCTCTCGCTCTCCATCACCCTCCGTTCTTCTTCCCTCACCCTCCCTCACGTTTCCTCTCATCCTCTTCCCTCACCTTCCCCCCTTCCTCTTCCCTCACCTTCCTTACCCTTCCTCTTCTCTCACGTTCCCTTTCTTTCTCTTCCCTCCCTTCCTCTTCCCTCACCCACTCCCTCTCTTACTCTTTCCTCACCTTCCCTCTCTCCCTTTTCCCTCACCTACTCCTTCCCTTACCCTCCCTCTCCTTTCCTCTTCCCTCACCCACCCTCCCTCCCTCATCCCAAGCACTTTCCCTAAGTCCAAGGAAAGTGTCCTCTAACTCTATCACTCACCTAAATCCTGAGAAAGTACTTGTCTAATTTTATCTCTCATTTACTTAATCTCGGTCACTTTCCTTGGTAGAGAGAGAGAGAGAGAGAGAGAGAGAGAGAGAGAGAGACTAATATAAACAGGAAGAGAAACTTGATAAAAAAAATATATATATAAATTCCTTTTTGCAACATTAAGAATATAACAACAAATACAAAAACAAACAAATAAACAAATAAACAAATCTCCCAAATACATCAACACCAACGACGACAATGGTAAGACAAGTCAGCTCACCTCCTCAACTAAACATTATGAAAAGATCCACTACACTAAGGAACATCACCCAATACCTCAGTGACTGGTTCCTCCGGCTCCTTCTGGGACCCTAAAACCTGCAACAATTTTCTTTAACTTTCGCTCAAGTTGAATCACCGTCATCATCGTTTATCCATTATTCATGGTTATTAAATGCCAAATAATTACCCCAAACACTAAACATTTTATGAGTATTGGGGATATTTTGTGTTTATTTGAGCTGATATTTGTTTTAGGTGTTAATTTTGTGTTTAGGATTAAATTTCTCTTAATAAAACACCTCATGGGTAAAAAAAAATCACCGGAAAAAACATAGGTGGAAAATCTTGCAGGCCCCTGGTGACGGCTGCAGAGGTTGGCAGTCTGCCCCCCCCATCACCACCATGAATCGATTCAGGGCGTGACCGCAATGCTTTCACGATACTGGTAGTATAGGATCCAACACTATAGACGACGCTGGTGAAGAATCCAACACTACGGTACCAGAAAAGGATGGAATTTACTACAGCAATAGTCATGATACTCCCTCATCTCGTTAAAGGATCCACCACTACAAAAGGGGACGTGGATGATGTTTTAAGACCTTAATAAAGAAGCCAACACCCCCAGGAGAATTAATAAGGTGATCCAACACTACAAAAATGAATATGCGTGATACTTCTTCATCTCAGTAAAGGTTCCAAGACCACAAGAAAGCGTGAATGATAAACCCTAATTTGAAGAAGGAATCCAACGGCTTAAGAAGAATATGAACGATGTGTCATGATATGTAATAAGCTGATCCAACACTACAAGAGGAGTGAGTGGATAAACACCCATGATCCTAATAAGGTTTTCAACACCCTGAGAAAAATATATACGGTGTCTCAATATCTTTTATAAGGGATTTAACACTACAAAACGAGTATGGATGTTCCTTCTAAATCCTAACACGGAATCCAACACCCTATGTAGACTGCAAACGATGGTTCATGATCTTAATAAGGGATTCAACACCATCCAAGCCGAGTAAGGATGTCACTTCAAGATTTTAACATAGGATTCAACACTACAAGTTTGGTTAGTTAAGCGTTAAGTTGGTTAGTGTTCTCGTGAAATAATCTATGTGGATAGCAAGGGTAAAGGTAAAGAAATAGAGAGAGGAGAGATAGGAAGGAGTGGGGGACAGAGAGGGAAGAGAAGATGGGGAGGAGAGGAGACGAAAGAGGAAGAGAATGAAGAGGGAAGTGGAGAGGAGAAGGAATAGCAAGGAAGGGGAAGAGAAAAAGAGGAAAACAGGGGAAGGGAGTAAAGATGGAAGAGGGGAAGGAAATAAAGAGAGGAGAGGAGAGGGCAAGGAAATAAAGAGAGGAGAGGGCAAGAAAATAAAAAGAGAAGATGGGAATAAAGAGGGAGGAGGGGAGAGGGAAAAGAAACAAAGAGGGAAGAGGGGAGAGGGGAGGAGAAGAGGGGAATAAAGAGGGGAATGAAGAGGGGAGGGAGACAGATTGATACAGGCCACTGCCGTCTTGAGGGTAAAATAGGAATCCGATGATCAAGGAAAGAAATAGGACACGGTAATTGGACGAGAAAATTAGGCCTTCAAATGGGGAGGAAATAATTTAGTAATAATGGAAAAGGTTTTGTAATAGAGCACGTGACTTACGTATTTCCTCACAGCCAATCAGGAGAGAGCCCGGGACCACGTATTTCCTCACAGCCAATCAGGAGAGAGCCCGGGGCTGCGTATTTCCTCTCAACAGCCAATAAGGAAAAAGTGTGGAGCTGCGTATTTCTTGATAGCCAATCAGGAGAGAACGCGGGATTGAATATTTCCTCTCATCAGCCAATAAGGAAAAAGTGTGGAGCTGCGTATCCCTTACAGCCAATGAGGAGAGAGCGACGAGCTAGGTATTTCATCTCAGCAACCAATAAGAAGACAGTGCTAGGTTAATATTCACTCCCAACAGCCAATAAGGAAAGAGCTCGTGGTGACGTATTTCCTCACATTATCCATCAACTCAAAAATCGTAAATAATCGTAAGTAATGAAGGTAAGTGTAATAAAAGTTAACCAATGAAGAGAAAGAATTAGAAACATTTAATTATCCGCCATTTTAATAATAAAGTGTTCAGATAATAAGGGTTTTTACGGGTGATTCTTCTGTACACTTTTAGTACTCATCAAATAGAGTTAATTTCTTACATGGTTGAAATATTTTACACATTCAAACTGTAAACAATGAAACTCAAGGGTAATTTCAATGGCTGTGGGTATTGGTAGTGAAACGAGAAGATAATAACCATAGACTTTACTTCCCTGTTAGTTTATACACCTCGTCAACACAACGGAAGTATCGCCAGTAGACGGTGTTCATAAGAGTTCACACTACTTACCACACATCACCACATACACTGTTCTTTACTACACCAACACATCACAGGCGATAACTCTAAGGAAAACGGAGGAGGGGGAGTGGGGGGGTGGACCCCCCAGGACCAGGTATGTTCATATCAAAATTGATTCTATTACTCCACCTCACATATATATTTATGTCATGTGATGGTGTTTGGTGCCTCCCAACCCCCAACCCCCCCCCCCAGTATTGTCTAAGTCCGGTGCTGTATACACATTCACATACATATACACATACATATACACCATCCTTCACATTTCTCCACGTTAAAGGGGTCAACATACATTGAAAAGGTCTCTTTACAGCTAATTGACCGTAACTGTACCATACTAACTGCACCATAGTAACTGTACAATCACTCACTCAACACTCATACTGTTTAGTAAGTAAAAACATTCAGTAATGAGTTTGGAGAAATTTCACCTGCCACCATCACTAATAAGTTACATCCCTCCATCCAGTGGCGTTAGTATTGACTGGTCGTGGCTGTGCTAAATGACTCACCACTGGCTGTCTCCCACGTTACCTCACAAGGCGCAGCTGCTTCTACAGGCGCTGATGAACACACACACACTTGTATATATCTCATCAGTCCATATAGCACGCGGACTTCCATATACTGTATATGTAGCCTCGTGTTTCTTAGCTGGACTCGGTAAAATGCTACTACGGCCACATAATTGGCACGGGCAATCCCCGATAGAAGTACACGTTGCTTAAACAAGACGAATGAACAGTCTGCGTGTCAAATAAAACAAAGCCTACATAACGTTTATTCTTCTTGTGGCGCGGTGGTAGCGATCCCTATTGACAAGCAGGAGTCCAGGGTTCGATTCCTTCCCGACAAGTGAGGTATTGTATGTATGTATGTATATATATATATATATATATATATATATATATATATATATATATATATATATATATATATATATATATATATATATATATATATATATATATATAGTAGAACAGAGTAGTGTTGTCCCCACACTAATAACATTAGAGAGCCTTGTGTGTCTGGGAGCTGTGATATGTAGTGTCATTCTTCACTTTATGTGCCGCATCACCATCAACTACAAGTGCTACTGTTGTGAGCGCCTTTTATGCTTAACGGACACTGAATCATTCTCAAACTGAGCGGGTTGTGTTTGCATTCCATTAACACAGCAGGCCTTTCCGTTTATCGTTTTTACCTGTGATGTTATTTTGTTATATAAAAGTAGGTATGATGCAAGATATAGTGAAACATGTAACGCAAATACATAATGTAATAGAGAGAGTTTACAAAAGTTACATAGAGCTGTGTAGAGGCAGACAGCTGGGCGGGGTATGAGGCGCCAGCCGGCAGTCTGACGTGACGGCACTGGCACTCGGCAGTGCGACGTCGACAGTGGTGGTGGTCGGACGTGGAGGCTCCTTTATTACATTCGCTGTGTCCTACACCTTCACGCCCTCCGTCACACCCAGCACAATAGCTGGTTCATCTTGTTAGTGTGTTTGCTGCACTAGTCTGTGTCGTGTTGATATTCTCGTCCCAGGTAATGGCATAGAATTATAGCTGTAAATACGCTTTGAAGAGCTAACATACAGTAGTAATGGTGGAGAAACCAAGTGTTCGTGAATAAGAATATAAGCTAACGGCACCACGGTTGACAGGTACCATAATTATAAGAGCTGTACAAAGTGAGTCTAGTGAGATTTAGTATACTGTGATGTATCATTTACAAATACCAGCGATTACTCTTAGTGGGAGTCGACTGCGGATTCCGTATCGGCCTTTTCTCGCGTGTCATAGAAAACTTGAGTTTGTCTCACAAGTCCGTGTAATGCGCCGCTCGGGAGATATCTCAAGAGAAACTCCAATTTTCCCCAACATACCTTTACACTGTTCGGTTGCTTTAATATTACGCTCGTAGTATGTTGCCATTGCCACGCCCACCCGTGTTTGTGTTGGCTGAGGTACCCAACTGCGTCCCCCTCTACAGCAGATCCACCTTACTACGCCCTCCCACCCAGGGATTAGTACACTATTCCAGTGATCGTGAGACCTCCCTCGCTTCTAGAATGTTTGGGCTCACAAGGATAGTAATAGAAGAGTGCAACACTAAATAATTAAAGCGGCATGCTCCTTAGGTTGATTATAACCTCCATGAATTATTGTTTGTATATAAAAAACAGTAATCGTAAAGGCTAAATAAAAACTTAGGCCACATTTTGTGTGTAAAGACTAAACCACGAGAAATGAGTGATGAAAATTATTAAGCATATAAAAAGGGAAGTATTTCACCTGTCAACATTACTGAATATTTACTCGAATCTGAATAAATTGTTAAGTATAGTATGGTAGTAACCCATTGAGTGGTAGGAGTTACAGCTGAATAAAATCGTCTGACGTTGGCCATAATAATAAACCCAAGTGACACTGTTCCTTAAAGAGTTAACATTTCCGAACCAGCTTACTTTCCTTGGCGATGAAAGCATAAATAAAAGAAATAAACATTATTCCTTCTCTCAGCGTTAGAACACACACACGAATGGAGCACAGATAACTTACGTGGTCTGCCTGAAGATGTAAATTAATCACACATTAGCTACAGTAGTTATTTTTTGCATTTTACGGTACAATATATTCCCTGGCCTCGTCTCTCCTCTCATCAGTCAGTAGTCAGCGGTATAATTATCTTTACCTGTATAACATTACCAGTAGCAGGTTAAGAATGTTGCGCTACGCTACTTTAAAAATATCCCTCATACGGAATGACATTATCAGTCAGATCGGGAAACTGGACTCACTAAAAAAAACAGAGGCAATATTGATTATTTTTTAACTTTATTCCCTTTTATATTGCAACATTGTACCATTTTTTTTTCCGGACAAAATTACCACCGAAAATGATTATATAATGTCAGTAAGAAGAATAATTACATTTTAATATCTTCGCGGACATTATATGACGTCACTCGAACAAGAAATTACCTACGAAATTGAGAAACGTTTTTTTTTATTAGTTTTCCATTCAAGGAAATTGCATAAAGTTGAAAGTATTTATGATCGAAGAGCCAAACTAAATATTTCCACATCCAATGCGTCGCGTCGCTTCGTCTTCTGTGTGAGTGTGCATGGGTGCGTTTCGTTGCGCGTGGGTCGTGGGTGCGTCAATTTACCGTGCATGTAAGTTAATATTTTTGTAGGTATGTACGCCTTTTATTTGTAGCTGGGTGTGCTTTTATGTGCGTGGACAGGTTTAGTTTTGTGCACGGGTGCTCTGTACACTGCCTATGGGTGCATCTTTTTACTTCTAGGCGGGCGGTGCATTTTGTTGCGGGTGTTGTACTGCATGTGCCATTTACTGATACACTTCACTACACTAAATATAACATTATTTATAGTAAACGACTAATACCAATTAAACTGACATTCAACCACGTGAATCAAATTTTCATTGATAGAACAAATTCTATTGTTAAAATGATACATAAATAATGTTATGTTTTTAGTGAGTTTGGTTTAGTAATTTTGTGCATGATCAATAATATAGCAATTAATTATGATATCACTATTTCGTTTTGCATAGTATATGATAACATGTTTTTTGAGGAATATATTTTCACTGACCAATACTCGATCTGTCATTAAATCGTGATGAAACAAACAGCAACATCTGACACATCGTATTCCACACTTATAATTTATAGCCTGGGGGTAACTTCATTTTCCTCACCACATTAAACGGAATCAGTCAGCTCGGTTACACATGCAAACCAACCTTACTCACTCCACCCTTAAGTCTTCCTTCTTGTAAAACCAGATTAGAAACGACGTAACCTGATCACTCTATAATTAGTTGCTTGTCTCTCCTATTTTCTCTCCTCCGTTTTCTTTAATGGTATTCGTGTGTCTCTTCTTTTCTTTCTCTAGCGCTCTTCTTCTTTTTCCCTCTGCCTCTTATTTCTTCTCGCTCTCTCTCTCACTCCTCTTTAACCATTCATATAATATTGACCTTCTTTCTCTTTCTCTCATTCGTTTCTTCTCTTTCCCCCTCTTCCCTCTCTCTCACTCGTTCCCCCTCTAACCTCTTTTCTCACTCGTTTCCCCTCTCACTCGTTCTTCCTCTCCCTTCTCTCTAACTCGTTCCCCCCTCTCACTCGTTCTTCCTCTCCCCTCTCTTTCGCTCGTTCCTCCTCTCTCTCCCTCACTCGTTCCTCCTCTTTACCCTGTCATATAATACTTTATCCTCTCTTTCACCTCTTCTCTTTCCTGATTCCTCCTCTTCCCTCTCTCTCCCACTCTTCTCCTCCTCTTCTCTCTCTCTCCCACTCTTTCCTCCTCTTCCCTCTCTCTCCACTCTTTCCTCCTCTTCCTTCTGCTTCATCTGTCACTTCTCTTCCCTCTCTCTCACTTCTCTTTACCCCGGCATTTAATATCCCCCCTCTCTCTCTCTCCCCTTTCCTCCCCCACTTGATGCTTCTCCTCATGCCTCTCACCCGTGCCCATTAGCCTCTACTTCTTCCCCCATCTCTCGCTCTCCTCCCGTATTATCCTCTCTCTCCCCTCCTCTTCCTGTCCCGTCTCCCTCCCTCCTTAAACAAACTCATAACAGTTCGAGCAGAATAATGAACCTCGGTAACTCACAGGACACCACCGCCAGTATTTACACGTATCTTGCCTTGTATTGCCGTCGTTATGGAATGCTAATGGGGTATTGATAGGTGATACGGTTAACATTGCGGTAAGAATATCTAAAATGTATTAAAGGTGATTGTAAATATCTTAATTATATTGTTTACCTGAAGGATATTATTTGTGTGTTTTATAGATACGGGTTTATCTTGTAGTGATGATCCAGGCGGAATGCTAAAGCTGGTGGCTAATCTTCACCTGAATCTTTTCGTAATGTTAGAACAGCAGGACTCGCCGTCAACAACACTGCCTCAGTCTTTGGAAATTTTCATACCATTCAATTGAAATTAATATCATATCGTATTGGTAATTATTGATTTAAAAACGACAATTATTATTTTTTTTTTTTGGGGGGGGTTAAAGTTTTTGGAGCCAGTCAAGTAATTTCTATGCCTCAAAATGTTAATAAATCATTGTTATTCTACTTATTTTTCACCGATCAAAACGACAACTAAATGCTGAAATAAAGAGAAAGGTGCCGAAATAAAGAGGAGATATCCGGTAAAGAGGAACCCCGTGCTTGGCTACAGAGAGGAATGTAGGAAACGCATCCTAGTCCCAGCGGGATCATTATGGGCCAAGGATCCACAAGGGATATCTTCCTAAAAAAACGTTGCCCATCTAATACAAGTCTGGAAAATTACAGAAATGTTATCTTGAGTTTTAATGATTAATTTGTTTACTAAAAGAGAACTACAGTGTTAATATTATTTCCTGTTGAAACTTTGAATTGCTGTACAAAGTTTAATTATATGGTTACAATAAGCCCACAGCTTCAGTTTACTCTTAAGCTTAACACTGGACCCAGGGGAACGAACCTCTCTGCGATATAGACGAAGATCTGGATATACGTAACAGAAGCTTCCGTTCAGATTATACCGAATTAACATAATTAGTTTTAATACTGATTAAAGTTATGAAAGAATTTGTTAACTCGGGCAACGCAAGACAATTCTACATTCCTCTTCAGTTTGCTTTGTTGTCTTTCTTAGTTTTTTATCACGTGTTGATTATTACCGAGCAGCCCGCCGTGTGTCACTTAGGAACAATACCCAGTCGACCATCGTCACGTATAAACCTCCAACACTCACGACCAGCCTCCCGTCAGTGTATAACCCCTCACACACACACACACACACACACACACACACACACACACACACACACACACACACACACACACGAGTTTTGTTCTCTTGTCATGGCTTCAAAACTGAATCTACTTAATTTCAGGTTCACTTTTCGAAGTTGGTGATAACGAAAGCAACTGTGATCCTGAGAAAGTTATATTAGGCTAAGTTTTATAATTTACGTTTATTTACGTGATTTTTCGTTTGCTATAGAAGTCCTACGCCGTCGACAAATATTGATTCCAGCGTTTATACCTTTACTTAAGTCTGCCAAGGCACAACAAACCTAATCTACCTCAACCAAATGACTTACTAGAGTATGCTCCAGCGTACAGAGAGGCACCCTGTAGGTATTATTTCCCGAAGGCCCCTTTACCCGAAACGTCCACCCGGGCCATCGCCAATAGCTATCTGCTCTAGGTCGATAACAAACGTCTATTGGCCCATTATAGGGGACGCCACTTCCGTACTTAGCCGCGGTTTGTCCATCTCAGATCAATATGGTCATTGCTCAGTGTATCCTGGTAAAAGTTTTGTACAAGTCACTTTACTCCTTGGAATTTATACCCCTAACATGTAAAATGTATTCTTTCCTAAGTTGTTTTAATGGCCGATATCCTTATTTATATCGATTTGATTTGATAAAAACCCATACATGTATACATATATAAACATTTATCGATGATAGCACGTCAAATATCATCAACACTAACTTCCAATGTGGTCACCCATGAAAAACAACAACTAACAAGTAGACGTTTTGGCTTAGCTCCACCTCACTTACTCATATGGTTTTACGAAATGTTAATGTTTGAAGTGGTAAGAGGATTTGAAGGAAGTGGAAATTATGGGGGTCCGTGACATACCTCCCGTGAATCATTCCATAACGAGACGTGATATATAGCGACTCTGGGACACGGCAGGATATAGACATGTTTGGATGGGGTTATAATGTTAATACTGTACTGCGCTACAACACCTGAGGTCTTTAAGCGCGTAGCTATTAGTTTTAAACGTTAACTAAGGTCGAGTTGATGATTTTTCAGTGAACAATGATGATTTGGTTTTAGGAATTCATTAAACTGAACCAGTCAGGTGAATCAGTGAGTTTTCCTTGCTGGCCGATTAGTTGTAAAATTATCCCTCTCACCCGGAAATATTATTCAGTTCTTTCACGCGGTCCAACCTTAGTATGCAATAATTAGTGTGTGGGAGCGTGAGGGACCACTCGTAGGAGGGCTGGTGGGTGACGAAAGAATTCCTTATTGATTATGTCTGTGTTGAAAGGCGGGGCAGCATTCAGCAGGGGCAGTGTTCAACAGGGGCAGGGCTCATGAGTGACAGTGTTCAACAGGGGCAGGGCTCATGAGTGACAGTGCTCAACAGGGGCAGGGTTCATGAGTGACAGTGTTCAACAGGGGCAGGGCTCATGAGTGACAGTGTTCAACAGGGGCAGGGCTCATCAGTAACAGTGTTCAACAGGGGCAGGACTCATGAGTGAGTGTTCAACAGGGGCAGGGCTGTGACAGTGTTTCAGTGACACAGGGGCAGGGCTCATCAGTAACAGTGTTCAACAGGGGCAGGACTCATGAGTGACAGTGTTCAACAGGGGGCAGGACTCATCAGTAACAGTGTTCAACAGGGGCAGGGCTCATGAGTAACAGTGTTCAACAGGGGCAGGGCTCATGAGTAACAGTGTTCAACAGGGGCAGGACTCATGAGTGAGTGTTCAACAGGGGCAGGGCTCATAACAGTGTTCAACAGGGGCAGGGCTCATGAGTGAGTGTTCAACAGGGGCAGGGCTCATGAGTGACAGTGTTCAACAGGGGCAGGGCTCATGAGTGACAGTGTTCAACAGGGGCAGGGCTCATGAGTGAGTGTTCAACAGGGGCAGGGCTCATGAGTGACAGTGTTCAACAGGGGCAGGGCTCATGAGTGACAGTGTTCAACAGGGGCAGGGGGAAGACTTCTTTTTTCCTCTTTACCAAATAATCTACTGTAGGTAAATAAATAACGCAGTAGCACCACCTGACTCATGTACAACTACGTCGGGTATGGTACTTGTTGTGTTGGTTTTGTGTGTTTTAAATGACGTTCGATCTGTGTTAGGTGGTGGTTAAGTTAGGAGTAAGTCTATGTTCTAATAACCTTTCTCACTATAATGTCGGGTATCAGGTTCCTAAATGGAGACAAGATAATACTGATGTAGTTATTACAGTAAACTCTCACTGGAGTTGTGATGACATTTTGGCCCCTAACTTAAATAGATCAGTTGTTGGCGTCCTCTCATGCACTGTACTACACGTGCCCGGGCCGGGATGAGACAGGCAGACAATTATACTTTTCTATGTAGCACCTCATAGGGCAAGTGACTCTTGTTTTTACAGTTTATTTTTCTTTAAAATTTAAACTTAACAGATATTCAAATTTTAATTAAAAAATATCAAAGTTAATTGTGTTGACACTTGGTGGTAGAGACCGTCTTTACTGGCGTAGGTACCATATATTACTGCAAGCCTTCCACATTAGATTTAGGCCTTTTAAGAAACAGCACAATACTCTTAGATCAAAGTGACAAAACCAGAGTTATTTTCCATACACTTCTTCTAGTTTGTACTTGTCTTACTGGGACTGCACAAAGATGCCGAGTGATTTTCAGAAGAACAAGATTGTCACTAAAGGTGGATACACCAACCACCGCCGCACCACAAAAGTCCAAGGGGCCCAAACTTTGAATAGAAATAACAAAAGTTTTCTGACTATTGTATAAAAATGTGTAGAGAGAGAGAGAGAGAGAGAGAGAGAGAGAGAGAGAGAGAGAGAGAGAGAGAGAGAGAGAGAGAGAGAGAGAGAGAGAGAGAGAGAGAGAGAGAGAGAGAGAGAGAGTTACATTAGGGGAGATTATCTAACATTACTCTAAATTTGAACTATAGGCTACAGAAATATACAATGCAACAGTCCCCAGACTACAGCAATCATACGTGGAATCCGCGAGCTTCGTTTTGACAGAAATTCAGGGTCAACCAAATATTACATGCACGGAGTTTTTTTTGCATTCCTTGCTAATATTCCTCTCTCCAGAATTGTCTCCTGTGTGTGTGTGTGTGTGTGTGTGTGTGTGTGTGTGTGTGTGTGTGTGTGTGCAACTTTGGGTAAATATCCGTACTTGGTATAAAGTTAAAAAAAAAACAATAGGAACGTCAGTACAGTCCACTGAAAACCTTATAAAGTTAGAGTCAAGTGCAGAGAGATAAAAGTGTGAGAAGAATAAAGGACTACCGCCCGGGGTGGGTCAGGACGCGAGCGTCTTTGTTTTGCTGCTGCTGGCAAAGTTTAGGGCAGCGGTCGATGAAAACTCATTTCTTTTAGGAGGACGGGTAGGAAAACTGCGGCTGGGGAGCTGAAGACGTGTGTTTCTCGTATATTAGTTTAAAATAATATAAGGGCAGGGGGATTCTCAAAACAAACGTTAGAATATGTTAGGCTGCAACAGACCCTAGTTGGTTGTGATATTGACGGCCAGGCTGTGCTGTTAAAGATGTAGGCCACGTACGTAGGCTACCAGAGAGGAAATTTACTCCCTAAGTTATGGAATATTGGAGATGACCGTCGCCTGCACGAGTAATGGTGTGCTTCCAGGATATTTACATAAGATATTGTGTGTATCAATGTTTACCGAACTAAACTAATGTAACCGAATTTAAGTACAGCACAGTATTGTTATTTTATGATAGGAAATGGCGTCTTAAATAAAAAAGAGCACATTTTACCTTATGTGGACTACAATACTTTCTACTGAGTTATTAAAAATATCTATTTGGCGAGAGCGTCGGACTTTTACTCATTTCAGAAATAATCCTCAACTGGAAACAGGAACACACCTTACAACTACGCCACAATGATAAGAGACAAAAGAGGCATCGAAATTACAATCTACCATAATTAGAGTCTCGTGTTCCCAGCAAAGGGAAAATAAACTTAGGAATCTTGCTGAATCTGGGCCCAGAAACTTTTTCCGTACATCTGAACTCACGCATTACGTCACCACAAAGGTCTCACCTTATGTAAATGCTTAATGTAATTAGTTAGTGTAATGTGGCTTCCTGGACGACGGCGAGGCACCGCATGTAACTTTATTCTGGTTCACCGGGTGTTGAGTCACAGAGCTGCCTTTGTTGTACATTTTGACCTGTTGTAATTAAGTTCGATCTTTAAAGAGTATTTCTTATATTTTTCTCTTATTAAATCCCTATTGCTTGTTTAATATTTAGGTGGACTTTAATGAAGATGAATCCAGTAGAGTAGACTTGTATTTTCATGTTCATTCTTCCTTTTCATGACTCTACAACATATATATTTCATTTACTCGAATCTACAGCAGAGATTACAATTAGACATGCAATTGCACGTGCATAATTACCACATTAACACAATTATAGTCTTTCTCTAGAAAACTTAATGACAAAAACATTTTCTTGGGAATTTCATAAAGTCGTTCTTGGAATAATAACTCGGGATACGCATTCGTGTCTGGGTTAATTAACACAAATCTGCTTTGGATCTACTGTAGACATGCTCCTGGCTCAATTACATTTTTAGATATAACCGATTTACATGTAAACTTACACAACCTCCACCTTCCTGAGCTCTGCATATGAACTAGGAAAGGAATTTACCGAATTTTATTTATGTCTGGCTTTCAGGAAGGCGAGGCGAGCGTATCGTAGGTGTATTGATGAGTGGGGGTCAAGACTCACTTGGCCTGGGGCATCATCGCCAATCCCAACAGGCCAAAACGTCCACAGGGGGATTTGAGGACCCTTGGGTGCTCCGGAGGACGCAGGCTGGGGCCCCCATCCCTTTGCAGTCTACGGCCAGTTACTCCCTCAGTCCGCATCAACCCACGGCCTCACAGCCTCCATCTCCTCGACCTCCACCGGCTTCTCAGTCGTTGTCAGTCCGCCCTGGAGGGACTTCTCACTCACTCTCACCCCATCCTACAGGAACCTCTCGCTCCCCCTCACCCGACCCTAAAGGGACATCTCGTTCCCCTTCACCTCGCCCTAAAGGGACATCTCGCTCCCCTTCACCTCGTCCTGAAGGGATTTCTCGCTCCCTTTTGCCACAGCCCCCTTCGAAAGGGCCGAAGGGGAGCGTCTTCTTCAATACAATCCAGGAGTCGAGAAATAGGCAGAGACTGCTGAAAGAAAGCACCACAGGCAAGACTGACATAGGGAATGTGGTGTTGTACCTACAAGGTGCCGTGAGCGCCGAGGACAGCAGCTTAGACCCGCAAGCAACACAGCAACACTGGCGCCAGCAGCAACAGCTCCAGCAGCGCCAGCAGCAACAGGAGCAGTTTCAACAACGCCACCAGCAGATAAAACAAGAAACACAGAGCTTACTGCAGCAGCAGCAGTATGTACAGAATCAGCAACAAGTACTAACACAACACCAGAGGGCACACTGGGATAGTCTTCAGGGACAGCAGCGTGCACAATATAAAGATCTACTGAAGCAACATAAAACTTTTATGATATCACAACCATCCGCTGTACGTAAACAGTTAGGCTTTCAGCAGCGTGCAGTGCAACAGAAATTAATGCAACAACATAAAACACAACAGCAACAGCTAAAGAGCCATCAGGAGCAGCAGCAAAACGCATTTCAACAACACTTGTACGAAATTCAGCGGAAACTCGGTATACTACAACAACAGCAGCAGTTTTTACTTCATGAAGAACAACAATTCAATCAACAAATACAGGAGCAACATCAACTGGAAGAACAACGAAAGAGAGAACAAGAACTCGAACATCAAAAGCAACAGCAGCAAATAACCGAACTACAAAAGCAACGACAGCAACAAATCAAACAACAAGAACAACACCAACAAAGAACCAAAGCTGAATCTACTGAGGGCAGCAACAACAACAACGAATCCTTCAAGAACATCAACAAACTCCTTCAGAATGTCTTGAATCCCACTGAAGAGACAGAAGAGGAGGAAGAAATACGAGAGAAACAAGAAGTTGTCTCCGATACTGTGCTTTCAGCTGCGCCGTCAGATAGCAGTACACGGAGTCCGGCGGAGGAAGAACAGGTTCAGTTTATTCAGAGTCTCGGCGAGTGTGTCGACAGGGTTCGATCCTTCAGCTTCAGTTGTGCAGCCACAGAGGACAATACACGTCACCAGGTTTATCCACAACCTCGACGTCGATCCTTAGGACTCAGTAAAGGGCCGTCTGGACTAAATGTGGGACCATCACTTCTCAACCTTGGCCCTTCAGGACAACAGAAAGGTCCTGGAAACTTAAATAAGGGTCCAGCCTGGTTAAATAAAGGTCCAAGCAAAATAAATAAGGGCCCTAGCGATTTAACTCGGGGACCAAGTTGCTTAAGCAAAGGCCCAGCTGATATAAATTTAGGTCCTTCTGATAGGAGGACGGGGCCCTCTGGAATCAACAAGGGGCCTAGTCATATCAACAAAGGCCCCGTGACTGAACACACGGGCCAGGCCACTACCTATAAGGGGCCCTCGTCACTAGCCAAAGGACCTGCTAACAAAATACTTGGACCTGCAAGCATGAGGCTGACCGTGGAGCAAACACACTGAGCACCACCACAAGTTCCTCTCAACTTGTACACATGAGCGACTTCTCGTGGTTTACACCTGGGATATCTTCAGAGCAGTTGTCACCATTTACACTTAACAGTTGCTCTGCTTGTTCTTTTGTGACTTGTATCTACTCACCGTGAGCATCTTACCACGCTAATGTACTGTACGTTGTTTATTTAACCATCTATGTAAAATGCATTTAACTCAATATATCCAATGTGTTTAGCAGTGTGCACTCTACCTTAATACGAAGTCTTCTTGAGGTGGATATGACAATACAGTACCAAATATAACGATAAGTAATGCAGAATAACGAACTGAACATCGAAACTGAGTAAAGTTTCCAAGTAAAGTTTCCAAAGTGTTCACAGAGCTTCGTCATTATGCTTATGTCTACTCATGGAAAATTACATCAACCTGTGAAGTGAAACCCAAGAGAGAAAGTCACCCACACTGTCAACGGATGATCTTGTTTCGTATTTAAGTTGTCTGAAACGGGAGCTTCATCTCTTCGTAATGAAGTCGTTGGCCCAGAAACAGAAGATAAGAGGTGTTTTGTACTGAAGGGATCAACTTTCAGTCTTTTTTATCCAGTTCACTGGAGTAAAGACTTCAATAATCTATTCATCCAAGTGGTTCAAAATCACAAGAGCGCTGTGTTTCTTGTTTACATATTCTAAACCTGAAGACTCCAGCGCCATCGTGCATAAATTCACGCCACGTCACTCACACACTATTGGAGAGTTGCCCAACTTCACAGCATACAAAATGAGGTAAGTCTTAGGTGTATAACTCATGTGATTCTATTTTATTTTCATTTTCAAATCTCTCTCTGCACGGAAAGCGACCGAGAATATATAACTTATTAACAATAGAACGAAAAAACTTCAGTTGGTAGTCTTCAAACTATACAGTATATTAAAGAGACAAACTTCATAAGACTGATTCTGTAAAAGGCATAAGTTTTGTAACATCTTATTTACACGTACATAATCATAGATCAGTTCACTTTGGCAGTGCGAATAACTTTAGAATGGGAACGAGCACAAAATACTCAAACCAAACTTAACCTAAATACAGTAGTGGAGGAGTCTACTAAAACAAGCCTAGGATAACGCTCAAAGAACCACAAGGTAACTTAAGGATAGGCTTTTTTATACTGTTAGGATGCGTGTGGCCTGAGGTTCCTGTAATGGCTTTGTGCTGTCCCAGGCGGAGTGGCTTGTCCTCGCGGCGATGGCGAGCTGGTGTGTGGTGTGGGCTGTGTGTCCTGTGTCTGGCCACACTCGCCCTCAGAGACACGCTACATTACCTTCTGCCAGAATACGATACTCATAGGTAAGCTGAATTGGCCTATCACTGTTCCTTATATATAATTTAACTAATTGGTACTACATTGATGAACGTAAGGCAGCCACGGTCTTCTCTCACTCTCTCGTTTGTCTACATTAGAAATTAAACTATTTTCTGGTCATATTTATCTTTATAATTATTTTTAAATGTATTATTTGTAATTTGATCTTGCATTCGTAAGGAAAGGAATAGATTAATTTACTATTTTATCCGTGATTTATGCTTAAGACTTTTACTGTGGCCTTTGCTTACAACATATTTCACACCCCGCGTCATATTTTTCAAGATAATCTTAAATTCTTACCATCAATAACTCATTATCTTACCATCAATACCGCATGTCTTAAATACAGTACAAGGATGATCTCGCGTCATTTTACATCAGGACGGAGATATCAACAGGTAAACACTCAAAAATAATAATTAAACCCCCCAAAAAGTCATTTTTTTTACCATTTTTTATATCTACTTTAAAATTTATCCAGGCAAATAAAGGAAATAATTATGTGTATAAATGCAAATGCAACAAATTAAACAAAATTAACCTGTAAATGCAGCCACCTCTACGTCTATTTACAACACGCTACATCAAAGATCAACCAAAGAAGATTAAAAAAACATGACAAACAATTTTTTCTCAGCCGATAAGGAAAACACATATACAGGTATGTACACCTCTCTATATGGTGCTCCATTAAAATAAAACCTTGACTAAATATACTTCACTCTGGGAGCTATAGAGGCGTAAGTCTACTAATACTAAAATCCCACTAGAAGATAAAACACGGACAGAAACGAATTATATTTTACTTACTTTTATCCTCTCCACCACTGATCGGCTCGTTAGCCGCTTGGGCGATCGGTCACGTCTCTGTTACGCACTATTGGCAAGTACTGGGCATGCACCGGCTCCTGAATGTACCTGAACCTGCTCCAGTGTTTGTCAAGTCTGGTCTTGAATGAGCTCACACTCGGTGCCGTCACAACACTTTCTGATAGATTGTTCCAAGAGTTCACAACTCTCACTCCGAAAAGGTTTGTCCTCACAATTTGCTGGACCTGCGGCTTCTTCAATCTTGAGCTGTGACCCCTTGTGGGACGAGCGTCTGCCAGCTCCAAGTAAGGACGCTTGACTGAGTAGTGCCCCTTGAGATGCTTATACACCCGTCTGTAGTATAAGCTAGGCAAGTTCAGGCGCTCCAATTACCACGTGTTACTGGTTTACCATCAGGGTTAGGTTACCGGGGAGACTAAATGTAAATAAGTGGGAAAATAATTAATCAATGTTAGAATGTTTAAAGGCCAAATCCCCTCGGTTAAGCAATACTGTACTTTGTTTCGTATTTTTCATAACTTAGTGAACAGCGTAAACTCAGGCCGTTATAACGCCTAAATACGTTGTTATCTAATGAAGAAATTAAAGATTTAGTGAACGATACATGATAAACCTGGTAATTAAAGCGCCTATGTAATGATAAAACAACAGCAGTGAGGCTCGTCATATTATATTCAGTATACAGTATATTAAACTAAGCAGATGATATAGTACAGGTATTAAATTCGTTATTGTAAAGTGTAGATTTAACACAAGAATATTTTGATCAGTTTTATTTGTCGCTTATTTATCTAACTTCATACATTTACCCACCCATTATTTCAGTATGTGTTTGTATTAAGTTAGTCACACTTTATTTATCTATTTTATTCTTTATTCAGTTCATTAAATATTTTTTTCTGTAGAAACCATAAGAAGTCTTCGTAATATACACAGCGGCTCTCCTACACGTAATTACACTAATGCAGTAAACGTGTGGCCCCGCCCAGTGCGTGATCCCTCTGTATTCTAGGGCGGCCCTTTACTGTGTCGTGGGGTGTTAAGTGGTGTTGACTGCCCCAGGGGCCATATTAATCCTCCCACTGCTCTGCTCTGAGGCTCCAGCACAGAATCCTCTGATTCTTGTTCATCGTCTCCTAGTCTCGGATCCTCAATGAGTCAATCATACGCTGACTTCTCGTAACTGGAAACATAAAGATGCACTAAACGGCTAATATAAGTTGCACGACATTTGTAGGGAACAAAAACACTCATAATCTTTGTGAATCCGGACCTTGCTACTTATAATTAAGTTTTGTGAGCTTGTCACTGAAAAGTATTTATTTTTGTATTGTCTATTTGAAGGGATGAGACATGTCAATAAATGACATATCCATTTATTTTAAATACCATCAGTTTCCGAATCTAAGATGGAACAAGTCGATTTTTGTTCGTTGTGTATATTTCCATACAGTAAATGTACTTCAGCGTGTTGAGCTTCGGGCAAATATATTTTTCTGTCCAAGAATTCTGGAAAACTTCGAAATGAAACACTTTTAAATATACAATAGGGTCAAATAACACGGAAATGAGGTTAATCCGTTAATGGATATCTAAAACTAAGGTCGCTGAAAGTGTCATGCCACGGCCACGGTAATGTCAATTACCTCCCAGCAAGATTAAAAGATGGAAATTATTTCCTAGAGCAAATATTGGGGTAACATATTAAGTTGATTCTAATGGGCATGACTACCAGTGTAATAAAAATATGAATGTCATACACCACTGCAGTTAATGGAGTACTTGTACTTATTAGACAACTTATTAGGCTCGCACAATGGTCAAACTGGAACTGACATCTCATTGAGTGGACACTATCAAACTTGGGCTGATGTATCAAGAAATCAAAGTAACAGTGGACAGACCAACCGCCCGAAAGGCAAAAGCCAAGTAGTGAAATGATAAACTAAAAATTAAATCTTATCAAACCTGGACATCTTGACTTGTTACCCACGAATCGGTCAAACTCGCATGGGCATCTTTTAGAGAACAGTAAAGCCATAATCTGATAATACTAGATCAGAGTTGAACCCGGTCATGTTGCTGTTATAGGGACCTACCGAGTCACTAATAACCAGACCTGGAACTGAGCTTAATCTAACCATCACCTTACATTACCAACCCTAGTTTAACTTACCCTTAACGAAATCAATTCCTAACCAGCGCATATGTAGTTTACCAACTGCTGTAATTTAGCCAAAATGTGTACTGACCTCATTCTGTTTCATCGTCTTGTAGAAAAGCAATAAAAAAAATTATCACAACACAGGAGAAAGCGAGAGAGATAGAGGTTCCATGTTCAACCAGGGGGGTAAAATATACAACTGATGTACATTTCATCGTTAAGATTAATATGGATATACTTCAGTAATTCAAATAAATTAGCTATGGTACTTACTCTAAGGAAAATTTATCCGGCAGAAAGCGTTGGTGTCTGCCGCCCCTTGTGGAGGTGGATGGTTGTACGTCATGGCGACCACTGCTCCTCCACCACCCCACTTGCCCTTGCACCAGGAAGGTTCTCGTTCTTCACGACACGTATGTACTCCATATAATGCACATGCACTACACGTTTACACACATGCAACACCATTGAAACATCCCTTTGAAATTACACTAAAACTCGAATGAGACACTAGTGTCATCTACGGGTAGAATTATAATTCGAAAATGTTTACATTCTACCACACGTATATGTACACCATATCACATGTTCATATACCACATCTCATATATCTGCACACGCTTAGTTCCAATGAGGAAGTTAACTCCCTTCCTACAAGTTCCAGATAGTGATCGCCCTCCTTGCTACTCCCATACAGGTGCTCAGACATCGTCGCTCTCGACGCAGAGGGTTACTTGTCATTCACACAAGAAAACTTTGGCGACTCAACGTGTTCAGACCAGGCAACACTAAGAGGACCACGTCAGCATGTCATCTCCATCTCCAGCAAAGCAATGACCAATGCTGACCTCACTGCCCTTAACAGTACCATCACACAGGTTAATGTAAGTCCAGCTGAGGAGTTTAGAGGAAATTGCAGGTGGTGCGACACACGCATTATTTATTTTTTTATTACCGATACAATTCCATTCCTACGAGTACTGTATACATTAGGTACTCCTCCACTCGGATTAGGCCCCGCAAAATATTTTATAAACTCAACCACTAATTATGAAATTAAAGGTCAAAGCTACTTAATATTGGATGAATATTCGCTTTTATCCCAATAGGTATTTCAGATTTGTTTTACCAATATCACTTTTTTAGATTAGGTCAATTAAAACACCAAAATACACTTAAAACAAAAATACACCAATTAGGAAAAAAACGAATTTTTATCTATTTTGTGCCAGAATTGCTTATTTTAGTTGTATAATTTCCCCTTACCTTGTAGTAGAAACTTGTCAACAAGATGCATAGTCCTTGTTATCTCTCTCAGTAACTCAAATGCTTACTCAACACAATTAACACAAGCCCTGGTGCATCAGAACAAAGTCACTGAACTGTCTGGAGCCATCGAGTGTTGCTATCCGTTTTATTTTTTCGTGCCGGAGTACTGATATCACTGATGGGAAAATTGCGTTTGTAAAGGTCTTATTAACTAAAGATGCCCACAGTCAGTCTGTAGTCAAAATGACAACCTATATCACGATAGTTCACGGAAAAAGGTATAGGCGTACCGTTTATCACATACGCGGCACCGAGACTGACTGAAAACGCGGGAATTTTGGTTCCAATATTTTTTTCCAGAATATATCAGTAGTGTTTTATAGTGCAACTAAAAATGAACAAAACCCCGCCGTTTTCTGCCAGTTTATTTTTTTCAAATAATTAAAAGATGTCAATAAGAAGTTACTGAAATGTCTCGAGAGAAAACTGTCGGTCATGATTTTTAGGACATGATAAGTCGGAATATGGCGGGGTTTTTAGGGTATTGAATGAGATGAGCAAGAACCAAATTTCTTTCCTACTAATTATGGAAATTGGGATATTGCAGCAGAAATAACAAATACAGTATCACATCTCACTGATTGGAATAAGTTTTCTTCGAAAAGGCATAGAAAGGGATAAGTAACCACACTGTATAGCCAACTTCTTTGTAGTATGAGCTTTAATGATGTTAAATTATTCCAAAAGGAACAGTTTACCATTTCAACATAGCGACAGCTTTATAGGTGCGATATTACAATTTTACTAGTTCCTTTTAAGGCTTTCATCAGTCAGATATTTTTTTATAAAATGTTAACAGAACCCGTAAATTAAAGTAATTTCTTTTTGTCTATTGTCTCATTGGTTAGTCCAGTTTTGACTCGTATGTATTTAAATTTGTACAGAAGAGAACATACACAGGTAATTTGTTCCAAGTATTTAGAACATATACAATGTACTGTACGAACATAAAATTCCATACCCTTTTCAGTCTTCGTGTGCTGTACAGCACTTTCATTCATTGTGATAATAAATACTACATCAATTAAGCCAGTCAGCTTTTCTCTTCCACTGTTGTCAAACCCAGGGCTTTCATAAACTCATTATACATCTCAGTGAAAATTCTATAATTATTTTAGTAGCACATCTCCGAGCAATTTCAGGTATCTCAGTACCCTTTGTAAAGTACTGTAGACCAAATTTTAGTGTCAAATCCAAATCAATTAATTAATGTGCTTTTTTTCGGGTAAAAGTCAGTCCGAGCCCAAGTCATTGACCCACAACCCTAGGGGGCGAAAAAATAAAGAGTAAAACGCCAAAAAATATAAGATTATATTAATCTGGCTTTAAGCAACAATTTTGTTAATATCAATCAACAGCTTAAGCTTACGAGACATAACATGCAGTCCCCCGTGATCGTCCTCCTCCTGAGGAAGCAAGTGCGGTTATTCAAAAGAATATTTTTTTCTTGTCAATGATTCAGTCAAGGTACAGCGGTAATGCGCATCTCTCTCACCAATATGTCAAGGGTTCGAGCCTCGGCCTGGACACACGTGAGAAGGGTGTTATCCAGTGTGACCCTACTAAACGCCACAGGTTTCCTGGTCTCTAGTTTCCTCTTGTACTAACATTGGATAAACTGCCCAAACGGCTAGTAAGCCGATAAGTGGCAAACATGAAAAAAAAAAAAAAAGTAAAAGTTAACTTCACATATGTAAATTCCAATAACCACTTAACTGTTCCACTCTTCCAGCATTTATTATTTTGAAGCAGTACTCTATCTCTTTCTCCTTAACTGATGTGCATACTATGGCATCATCCACAGTTTGATTGTTACACGTGTTCAGTACAATATCGGCCTAAACACGTTTTGTATGTTGCACCTGAAGTCCTCACTTACCATTGCATAGTCTGGTAATCCTTACCCCGTCATCTAGCCTGATGGCAACCAAGACACAATGCCATCAAGTATTCACAAGTACCTCATGCACGTTTAGGAAATAACTAAAATAACATTACAGTGGTCCCTCAGTTAACGAGCACAATCCGTTCCAGCAGGTTGCTCATTAACCGAAACCATTGTTTCAATGGGTTTTTAGGTAATTGGTTCTAGCTCACCGAAAATTGTCTAAATTCAACAAAAAATGTAGAAAAGTACACTTACTTTGAGGTGTGTATGTAGAAGGCTCCTGGGTGTTGATGATGATGATAGGAATTAGAATGGGGGTGGAGGAGAAGGGAGAAGAGAAGGCATTGGGGTGGAAGAGAAGTCACCCCATGGCACCATTTCACCCATAAAATTTTAGTTCTCTTGGAGTAATTCAAGATTATTTTCTTTAAATCAACACTGCACTGCATTACATATTGTCAATATGTAAAATAAATTTCAAAATGACCAATAATTTGCTTGGAAACACAAAAAAAAGTATTTAGTTGAAGAGAGTCTCAAGCAAGATGTTACCTCCACTGAAAACAGAGAGAGACTAACGCCTGTCTGGTGTGTTAACAGGCTGGATGGCACGCCAGAAACTAGTTTCTTTACCTTCAATTATGTTCAATAATTGTTAAAATGACTAAAAAAGTTAATATTAAACTTTTAAAATTATTGAATTGTATAAACTTCTTGATATTTACTAAAATAGTAAGGAATTTAAGCCCTAAAACCGATTACTGTATTAGCGGACTATTACTACAGCTGGTGGACCACCAAATGCAAGCGAAAACATGTTGAAGTCGGCTCGTAAAAAACTCGTTAATTGAGGGATTGCTCACTAACCGAAGTTAAGAATCTTAAGGAAGGTAAATCGTTAACCGAAATCTAGTTAACCGAGGCGCTCGTTAACCAAGGGATCACTGTACTGCACTTGCCTCCTGGTTCAGATAGGCCATGGGTTATCAGATACCTGTACTGTACTGTAATTCCATCTCAAACTCTTACAAAATAAAATACTGTACTACCCTGTATACACTTTTTTGAATACAGTACAGTATATGATTTCCAAACAACTCTACTATTTCACCTTTCCAAATAAAAGACCTTGGGTTTGAAACTGTTAATACAGCATGTAATTTCTTGGGCATCAACCCTTTCCATAACCATGCCAATGGCATTTAAGGCTTGGGTACAACTAGTTATATTCTACTTGTGAGAACACCAACTTTATTACACTTACACAACTTTATTATACTTCTTACATTGACCACTGAAACAAATATTCTTATTTGTTTAAAATTTCTTTACCACTCACATCACATGTGCATTTGCCTCCAGCCTTGACATGATACCCTAGCCTTCTTTTGAGTAACATCATACTATACAGTGTAACCAATATAACTTGAATCCAGTTTTATATACAGTATACCCTGTACTTATACTTTGTCCACTCCCTAGTACAGGACCCTGTTAATCTGCTGTAAAATCCTATAAAATATGGAGCAACAATCTCAAAAACCTGATCTGGCAACAAACCTTCCCTACTACAGTATATTACAGGAATTAAGAAAATTGCTATACAGGGTCTACAAAAATACACTCTTGGTAATATTTAATACAGTAATAATGACAATTTAGTGATGAGATAAACCATAACAATGAGTATAACCGTGCAATTCCTCATTTTCCCTCAGGAGGTGTACAAGGGGTGGGTGCTACGTCTTTATACAGAAGTGACACCACAAAGTCTCCCTGGACTATGTTCGTTGGTTTGTTCCAATCACAATCTAGATCTATGTGATGTCAATAACATGTCCAATCCAGTAAAAAAGGCAGATAAATCAGGTAATATAAATAACTTTGATGTGTGGTTTAAAATGTTAACTTTACTATTATGCTTTAAGCAGTGATTTAGATTGTAAATTATGGAACCTACATAGTAAAACCTTGAAGAAATGTAGATTAATTATGAGTACTGACATTTGAAGGTTGCATCAAATTTTAGACAAAGACATGCACGCGCGCACACACACACACGATATATGTCCATAAATTCTTAATCGGATATTAAACAGTATGATAATTGTCAATAATAAGATTTATTAACTGATATGTAAATGATCATGCTACCGACATGGATTGGGGTGGTACTAATGAGACTTAAAAATTAGGGTGCTGTTACATAAGCACTTGGGAGCTTTTGGTGCCTCCTACCTCCTCTTTCTCACAAACTTAGAGTTTCCCTAAATCAGCAATAAGCTAGAAATGAGAAATTGCTCGTGAAATCACGTTTTCTCGTAGCATGAATAGCGTGACTCGGGTTTCCCCCCTTCTTTGTATTAGGAAAAATCTAATATTCTGGTAATCAACTTGATCAGGCTGTCCAGATTTTCTGAGTCAAACATAGAGATTGATGAGTGCACATGCTCATGTGGCACAGAAAACTCTTCAAGTCATGTGCTATTTCTGGGTACCTCCATACCAAGTACTGTATCTCCTTTGTTAGAACCTGGTGTGAAGGTGAGGGATATGCTGATTTCCTACTACAGTATGTTTGATTTCTAAATTTTGGTTACAAGTTTGAGTCCCAGGAAACTTAGTGTAAGCCAGTACATGTGTTGACATACAGTTCAGTATAAAACTGGGGCTTTAGCATAAATAAATTTTTCTATCCCACCAGTTACCTTCATAAACCAGGGTAGATTTTAGTAGTTTTAAGCATACCTTATTGGGTGTGGCAGCCGAGCAGACATTGCTTCATCATGTAATGTACTGAAGGATTAATACAGTACTGTATACAGCATGCTATATCCGTATGTCCCTGTTGGGTCATTAATGCCTGAGACCCAATTTCACTTTTGCCAATTCAAATGTGATACAAAATTATATTTCCTTTAAAACACTTTATTGCTTAGGTAGCCCACAACTGCAATACATGTGTTTTCAGACTAAATACTTGACCTTACTACTCTATTGCACATGTCTTCATGTTTGGATTTTAATATTTCCAGATCTATAATACTGCACTCAGTTACTCATCATACACATACAATAAACATTAATTTTAACAAAAGTTTGCAAACTCATCCTCAAATCCCATAATCTTAATTTCTAACTAATATAACCTCAATAAACCTAAATCTTAATCTTCCTTAACAGAGAACAAAACATGTACTTAATTATTGTCATACTTGACCATTGATTCTACTTTCATGTGTGATGTGTACCTGTGCATGGTGGTGGCCAGGGAGAGTTGGGTGGCGGTGGGCAATATTGGGAGACCCACTTGTATCAGCATGGGTGGTGAGGCACCTGTATCAGGCTCTATTACCCCGTGAGGCTCATGCCATCACACAGTTCATCAACTCAGACAAGGTAAAAAAAAAATATATATCTTGGAATGGGACATGAAGTTTCTTACTGAATTTGCAGAAGTATTCAAATACTGTACAGCACTAAGTGAAATAATTTAATAATAAAAATAACAGTAATGTCCCTCTAAGAGCATTAAAATTTTACTTTTCATCAATAGCATAAGAAAACATCCATGGTAAAATATGCTGGTCTTCTACAGTACAGTATATCAGAAAATTACTTAAATTCAACAATACTTCTTTTTAACAACTCGTCAATCTGTCCTCAGTGTTGGCACCTTATGTGGGACCATATCACACATACTAAAAGTCCCCTTGGCTCTGGTTTAGTGGGGGGAAAGACATCTTGGGGTGCAAAGGAACTGATTAATATTCGACGTCACCTTCTGCAAGAAATCTCAAACTTTGATGATGAGGAACTCCTTTTGAAGGTATGTAGCCATAAAGTTGTGGGTTGTGACCAAAATTATTATAAACATTTGTGATGATTAGAGTCCAGATGTTTAAGCACATAAAACCTTAAAAATTAAAAAACATCTTTCATGATAACCAAAAATAAGCAAACTTAAATATAAAAAATGAACCATAAAAGCATAATGCATATTACTACTCTATATCACAATTAGTGCACAAAACAGTAGGTATTAATTGGTTGCACAAATTGGGAATCCATGTTAATTTTCTAAACTGAAACTTTCCTACCTCTCAGATATGATTACAAAACAGTAGATAAGACAAGTACCGTACAGTAATGATAGCCCATGACATTTTAATTACCAGACACTTTGCCTCCTTTTAGAGAAAATGTGAATAAAACAATAAGAATATTCATAAGTTGTACACACAGTAAAAAAGGTACCAGGATTATGTGCGAAACAATATGATATAACGGACGAGGGATAGTGAAATGTGCATGAGCTTGGTACTGTATATAGTGCCTTGTAAGATAATTAATGTAATGGCATTGATATTATGCCGGTCCTGTGGGCGTAACTAATATGGCCCTACCATAGGTAGGTGCTCCTTTGCCATACAGGCACATATACCAACCCTCCCGGCACATCAGGTGATGTATGTTTTGTAAATCCTCAAAACTGAAGCCTTGTTTGCCGACACAGAAAAAGTGTAGAAAAAATTAGGTAGTTCAGTATATTGGATACAACAAAACTATTTTAAATTCTCATGAATAAATATTTCTTATCAGAGAGAAGGTTCTGCAGGCAACTAAACATTCTTTCCATAAACCCTTTTGGCTCCCCTGAAAGCAATTTGATATTATAAAGTATTGGAAAGACAAAGAGCATTAATTTTGGCCATCACAGAAAAGGCTTTTATGGTACTGCCTGAACATGTGGGCTTTAGTGATGATGATAGAATGTTAAAGGGTTTCACAATGAAGGTTTGTTGATAAGCAGTTATGTTAATACATGCTTTTATGTTAAAGATATGCCAATACAGGCACTCCTGTTTAGGGTGGATCAAAACACACTCATGTTGAAGGAGGAGTCAACAGTTACTCATATTGAAGGCGAATCAATAAACACTCAAGAGAAAGGTGGGTTGATACACACACACATTAAGAGTGCAGCATTCATGCTTGTTCAATGTAGGTATACATATTGAGTGTAGGTTTTGCAGCCTCTTAATGTTGGAAGTAGACTGATGCAGTAAGGCCCATATACTGTAATATAAATCAATACATAAGAGGGAGCACCATAAATATTTTTATATCTAACTATAAACAGAATCCTGTAAACATCTCACTTCTTCAGGAGTTACTGCTGCCACTGATGGGAGCTGATATCATGGCACATGATAGTGTGACCTGCCGACACACTCCTGGTGCTGTTCCCTTCCCAAGCAGGCGCCAGCCTGGACATTGGGTTGGTATGCCATCCTCAGAATCCCTATTTCATTTGGGGAAGACCTCCAACATGCCCACCACTACACACAAACATGAGAAAAAAACCCTCAAACACCCCACACAGGGACATTCATCAGTAAGAGATTACCCTGAACAGGACAAAAGTGGAATTAGATTGGTAGACATAAAGGATGGTACTAGTATTAAGGTAAGCCAGGGAACAGGCCAACAAAGTCAGTTTACCACACACACCAGTCCCAAGGTTCAAAAGTCTAACCATGCAAGTCACAAGAAGAAGGTCAATCTTATGAGTCACAAAATGCAAAGACTTGACCCAGCATGGGAAGCAGAGGTGAACAAAGAGTTTGGCATCCCCGTTTGTCCATCTGCCTGTCGACCTCTGTTACACCCAGACTGGGATTACTGTTGAAGTACTTGACACTTTACCTTTCATACTTCCCACTACAGTTCAGTTGAACATGGAATTATGATAGGGCTCCTTATTTGTCCTTCATTGTAAGATGTCTACTGCCAAATGGGTTATCCATGCCTACATCAAATATTTTTTTACACTACATCATATTTAGTATTAATCTCATTCCTAATAATGAAGTATTAATATTTATTTATTTAAATGCCTAACCAATAAAATTTACTAGTTTTATGAATATTTTACAAGTCTACTACCTAGACACTGAAATAAAAGTTCAATTAAATTGAAAAGTTATTTTCATGACTTACGCTACAGAAATGAACATACGTATATGCGAGTCATGAAAATAACACGCTAAACGTAGTAAATAATACAGTCAAGTCCGAGCAAACCACACCAGTGCAATTACCGGTAGGATTCAATAAAGTACAAGTTTTATGGTAGCAGAACAATGTCATTCACAGAGAAAATCGCTTACAACACTGTTCATGTAGATGCAAGAGGCAACTAAATGCATAATCACTATACAGTAGGTCTTCGCTTAACGTTGTGGTTCCGTTCCTGAAAACCGCGACGTTAACAGAATAAATTTTCCCCATAAGAAATAGATAAAATACAGGAGTTACATTTTCCAGCCTCCCTTTGCCCCATAAAATGCATTACATATACATAAATTCAACGGATTTTTTTTAAGAAAATAGTATATATTATGAAAATAGTATATATTATACATCAAAAAATATAAACAAACTAAATCATTTTGTATTGTACTAACTGATGGGCGGAGGTGGAGCAAGTGTGTGGTGGGTAGTGGAGAGGAGGGCACGAGAGTCACTGAAACCCGGAGGGTGGCTCCTCCTCCCGCTCTGACTGGGCGAGAAAGGGTGATGCACTGTACAAAGTAAGCCGTGATGACGGAATACCGAATCGGCGGGACGTCCGAATCATGGGTATCTAAAGAGTAGCGAAGTTATAACGAAACAAATTTGTCAGGGGCAACGTTAAATGAGGACTTACTGTATAAGCAAAGGTAACAGTTGTCATACCCCCCTCCAAAAAAAGATGCAGAAATGCATTTTGAAGTGAGGCAGCAGTATATTTTAATGACAGTCAGATGGAGCAGCAGATAGCCAGTTAGATGGAGAGATAAAGGTGCAAGGTAAAGCAGCATAAGTGAAATGAGTCGATTGGAGCAGTAAGAGTGAGGTACAGTATACCGGTATACAGCAGGAGACATTAAAGACAAATGGCAACTTGGGCCAGTTACGCGAGATCTAAAGGAAGAGATGGGAGACCCAACAGCTGGAAAACAAGTGATGTAACAAAGTAAAATATGTAAGACAAAAGTTGCAAAATTTACAATAAACTCATTTGCTAGTTATAAAGCAATAGTGACCTTAAACTTTGATTCCTTAAAAAGCATGTACAGGTACACAGCAGTGGGTAGTACTAATGGTGCTTGTCAACTTTTCAATATGTTTCTCTACAACTAAGACTAACACCATTGAGCCATTCAAGTAGGAACCACAGACAGACACATAGTATGGATGACAATATCCCTGGAACCAAATTAATCTAGAGAAACAATGGAGAGAGACTTACAAACAATAGGTATAGAAATTATTAGATGTAAAATCTGCCATGAATGAAATAAAATAAGTCATCGGGAAAGTGCTGTAGTTATAGATGTTGAACAATACTTAATAGAAACGAAAATGAAGCCAGATCTATTCACTGTACTACAATACAGTATCTGCAAGACATAACAGTAATACCTCCTGGTATGTCTTTCCACATCACTGTACAATAAAGGCTCAGTAACCTAGTTCTCACAATTACATCAGCTAATAATTAATATTTTAAAAATTTTTCTACAAAGTACAATGGAACCAGGACAAAATTTAAGTTCACTGATTGTTTTCTACAAAGTACAATGGAATCAGGACAAAATTTAAGTTCACTGATTGCTTAAGAAATTTTGAAATATTACTTGATTATACAAAGTGCACTGGAACCAAAACTAGTAAAGTATGTTCACTTGAGTAATACCCAATAAGGTTATCAGCTGTGACAAATGTTAGGATAAAACAAGAAAGGCCTTACATGTAATAAAAATTTTGTCAAATTAAGTCTATACATATATAAATTTGCAGAATTTGATTACAAGTCATTCGAACTATGGTACCAAGTTGCTAAACATTAAAAATTATGTCCATCCATTTATAATGGAAAACATAGTAAGAGGGTGTAGGTAATAATTTCAAACTACTGTACAATATATGTTATAAAAATATTATAAGGTATTGCTGCATGATGTTATAAAATATTGGCCCCAGCCATAAACCTACACAGCACAAGATACATTTCAGGGAGGCAGTACTGTAATTGAAAGGACCAGAAAACTTTAGAAATATTTATTCTCCCTTGTGAAAATGGAATAAAAATTCTCGGCTAATTTATTGTGAAAAATTATCTAATGTTTAGTTCATGATGAGGAAATTAGCTTCGGATGTTTCTTAATGACTGGTCACAATTTTGTAGAAGCTAGTTACAGTGTTTAGCACTGGAGGATGTGGTGAAAAACTGCTAGTTCTTAAATAAACCATAAGCATGCAGGATTCTTACCCATGTATACATAATGAGAACTAAAAGAACTAAATGGGATATGGAAGTTTTGACACCTTAGATTGAAATGAATTTAAAAAGGATTTAAGAAGCTAGATTAAAATTTGAGATTGTTTTAACATAAATCAGTGAACCTAAACAAGCCATGTTTGTATTACATGACTAATACCACTACAGTATATAAATATTTGTAGCTTCCACTGCTATACATGTGGAATGCTATCTGGTTTACGTGAAATTTTTAATCTAATTCTGTGACGATGGTATGTCTTGGTATACTATATTGTACTGTTTATAATGAACCGCTTTTCCATGCTTAATAAATCCATCATTGTTATAACTTTGTTTCAATTTACCCCAAGACAAGTTAGTATGGAATGACCAAAAATGAAGGTTCACGACTTGTTCCCATATAATGTTAATCTGGATGGAGTAATAGCACTCTTCCTATTCAAGTTGTTTCTAAAGATAAAGGTAAAGATGCCACAGCTGGTGCCAGCACTGCTGCCATCCTTGTTTACATGAGCATCAGTATGTCGTTATAATCCAAACACTTCAGAGACAATATTAACACTACACTGGAATAAAACACACACACTGGTTCCCAGACAACTCCAGAATGAAATCAGTACAGTATACAGTATTGTATATCATAAATAACCGAAGAAAGAAAACTGTTAACATTCAGGGTCGGGTTAACGAGGCAGCTAACTATTTCTCACGTGTTTATATAGTACTATGCTTTTATTGATAAAATGCTCTCTAAATAAGATAGTCATTAACTTGTTATACTGTACCAAATTGAAGAATGCATATTTTATTATCATACAAGATGAAGAAATAATGATTTCCTGAGAAGCATTGTCTTCAACTGACCACCACAACACACAGCCACCACCATGCATCAACTAGCTAGCACATCCACCTGTCTACTGTACATCTACAGTATTTATTAATCTTATGACAGACTCCTTCACTATGGGGACAACACTTTTAATATTTTATTTGGTTTATGCCAGACAATTTCATTCTAGCAGAAGGGGGGCCCTTACACAAGTGGTGAGAACAATAAATAGGTATCCCTTATTATCCGGATGGGTTAGGTTCCTTGGAAGCCATTCGGATAGTGAATAAGACATAAAAACCCCAGTACTGTATCATACCCCAAAAAATTCAGTTGTTTAATAAACCAAAAAATTTTCAATCGACCAATTTTCAGAGTGAGAATCACTTTAAAAGTGAACAATGAAGAGGAATACAGGTACCTGTAGCATATAATTATAAAAATGTACATATGATTTATATAATATGTGGCAATTAAAAATTTACTGAGAAGTGTATACACCATATTCTCCTTATAAATGTAAAATAATGTGTAATTTTACATATAAAATTACACAGTTTCTTGATAAAAGGTGTACTTGTTGAAGCACTTGGTGGGTCTCTTTATATACAGTACAGTACTCATTATGAATGTATTAAAGTGACTTCTTTGACAATGCAAATTCAAAACCCAAATACCCAGTGTAATTATGAACTGTTTGGCACATCTCCAGTTACAGTAACTAAAAATTAGTGTAGTCACACTAGATTAAAGTAAACCTTAGTCTGTTCTTCAGTGACCAGTTCTTTCCCCTCCTAGAAATGGTGATGCAACCAAATGATATAGAATCCCTTCTGCACCAAGTTACTAGATCTTGTTCCATGGCCAGCCAAGTGGGACACCAAGGTCTTGGGGCCCAATATTCACACCTTGCAAAATGTTATACCGTGTATGGTGTAACAAATAGCCCCAAATAATCCTGCATTCATTATACCATTTCCCATGTAAAGCCATAAAAATAAAGTGAATCTGCATAGTAAGACCATCTGCTAAGCCCTTGCATTAAAACAATTGACATTAATATATTAAGTCTGGTTGTAGAGTACAAGCACTACCTACTCTACAGACCAAAAATCCATCCCCAAGTTAATTTACTACTGTATACGATCTACCTCAACAATTCCAGGAAGCCAATGCTCACCTGGTGTTGTGCACTGTTCCAGAAGGTAAGTTCACAAACACCTGTCAGTGGAAGAGTTGCATTGTCACAAGGTGCTAGAGGATCCAGGAAGGGTGTTGCTCATGGAATGCCCCTGCATACTCTCACATGGTTAAGCTGTAAAGTTTTGACAGACTGGCAATGAATACAGTACTTTGACAGAAATCACAAATTTAATTGTAATAATAAATCAGTCTTAGTGAGAAACAAATGTCTCCCATTCGTGGCAGCGCAATCCCACTTGTAGTTATTAGTGACCTTCGCCCAAATCAACAGCCCTAACACAGGGTGGTAAATGTTGTATCCAATCAGATGCCACACCCCTTAAATGCACTATTGTATTTCAAGAACTGTACAAGTAGGACTCAGTATGAATAAGTTTAACTAATTTTAATTTCATTTAATACACTATTCTAGTTCATGTATTAAGTTTAGTGTGTCATTGCAGTTTTGTCCCGATACCATTTGGCTCTTTCACTTAATGGTCTGACTACCCAGGTTTCACTTTCCTTTCAAACTTCATTCAAGCAGGTTTTAAATTGAAACCTATTTGGGCAAGTTGGGGGGGGGGAATGAAAATAATTTTAAGTAAAATTTGTTTTATTGAAAATTGTAAACCATACATTGCTATGATTTTAATTTAGGTTGGAATGTACCCAACTTAATGACCAATAGAAACTTGGGATCCCATTCTATAAGTGTAATAAATCTTTATCCACTTATTTAGCAGTTTAAATACTGCTACTCACATAAGGCATATGACAATAACAAGACTGACCATACATCAATCTAACACCAATGAGAGTACAAAACTGAAAAAATGTGTTACAAAGCTTAAGAAAGCTGCTTAATTCACTCATCATTCAAGTCTTCACCCTTCATCTTTGGGCTACCGTTCTGAACTGGAGTCCTTGATCGACTTCGGTCCCTGGAACAAAAGCACATGGGTCAACATTTAGTATTTGTTGCCAAATCTGGTGCAAAATATGAACAGAAAAGTTGGAGTAAGAATGGAGAATGGGTAATTATATACAGCTGTAATAAAATAAAGGCTTAGTGTTAAGTGATGCCCTCTACTAAAAATTTTTTTACTATTACACAAATAAATTTTTTAACACATTCTGGTGTCACACCCCAATTAGGTGAAAGAATGATTGTATGACAAGCAATGAAAAATTATACATTAACCTTAGTATTCAACATTCAATTTATAAACTTGACTAAAAAAGCATTCTATACGATATATTCGCCACTTGTTTCTTGCCGGACACCCTTAGTGCAGCTGGCCATGTAAAAATCTTCCCAGGACAGAGGGAATGCTTATCCTATGACAAGATTAGTGATCAAAATATTAGCTGAAGTACTCTGTATACTAGATTTTTGCTATCAGTAAAGTAAAATAGCCATCACTTTATCTCATGGAGAACATGTGAATGTTAACACAATAAGTATACATACAGTGGAAGACAAGATACACCTAAGGGAAACAAATTTAATAAACTAAAGGACTCCAGACTTTTAAGAAAGTATTCTACATTGCTATCCTTGCAGGATGTAGCTAAAGAAACCATTAATAGGAGTCTTCCCCATTCTTCCACCAGCAACAATAGCACTTAATTATACTGTACAACTGATACCAACCAATCTACTACGATAAGACAAAATGCCAAACATCTTTCAAGCAAGAGACCAATAAATCCCGTTTTCAGTATGCTAGCGCCATTTTCTTTAAGTAAAATTCAATTACAAGTGGATGTCCCATGGAAAAAATTAATCATGAGAAGCTGATCTGAACCCTCCCAACTAGTCTGACATATTGAAAAGTTGATTGTACCTGCCAATAACCATGGTAGTCACAACCCACATGCATTTTGTATGTGAATTATCAAGCTTAATAAAATCCCAATGAAATTAGCTGGAAGAATAGAATTTACCAAACTATTTATTACAACCAAATGACTCAACAACTCACAAGAAACATCATCCAATGGCATTAACTACAGTACATGGGCTTGGCATACCAGTATGTATTGCAGAGAGGACAATGGTGGTGTACAACATTTAGAACAGGTCAACTGAAACTTTCAAATGCAATGGTCAGGCAGCGTATATACCCTAAGACATGCCAGAGGCCACCATCTAAGATTATGCGGTACTGCAGCATAACACCGAAGAATAGTCTTTAGTTTACTGCAACCTCCTATTTAGAAGTAACATTACAGATGCACAACAATCCCCTTGTAAGCTTTGTGCTTGAGGATGTCATCCCAGGTTGGAATCGATAGTAACATGTGCACAGTTTAGAAAATCCGGTAAGGTTACGTCCACAGAAATAAAAGTTTTATATGCACAGCTACCCCATGGCAGAGGCAACATTGGAAATGCACATCACCCAGTTCCAGCTCTACAGCTGAAGCAGCACTTATAAGTAGGTATGTACAAGTTTGCTGATACATGAGACATTACAATCAAGCTGATGTCAAGTGCACAAAAGGTATTTGGGGAAAAAAAGTGGGGTCTGGATGTACATCTACCAAGTGGTTAGATGTCTTGATGCCGAATAACTTCTCTTCCCACGTTAAACATCAAAGACTGCATAAATTATCTAAGTTGGCAAAAACCATATTTTCACTGAAAGAGGCAGATGAATAATTAATATGAAAGGAGTACTTATTAGCCAACTGCCACACAAATAACTAAAGCTCACTTCTAAAACTATAAATGCATTAGTATGGGATATTATATATTTTAATAACAGGAATAAACACCAGTTGCATTTACACTCAGATCATATTACAATAAAGTGCAGTTTTAGGCAGGATAAATACACATTTGTGGATGAGCAAATACATTTAAACATATAATACAGGATGACTAAGCAATGCATGGGTAAAGCAACAAATCGGGATGAGAGTTCAACAGTTTAATGCAAGGAATAAACCAAGCAATAATTTGGATACCATTGTCAAGGAGTGATGCTGTAGGTTAACACTCAGAAGAAGGGGTAGATCTGTGCAAAAGAAAGTAAAACATATGTGGCAGACCAAGATGAACAATAAAATTAGTGACAGGTAAAATGAAAATAAGAAGGAACAAGTCTTAATTTTTCTAGTGTTCTTATGCTGTCTGCGGAGAAATAATTTTCCCTTATTTCAGTTCCATTCTAAATGAGCTAAGCATGCCCAAAGAAAATTGTGTGCAAAGCTGCTTTCAAAGAAAGATTTAGTCATAATTTAAAACCGTATATTTTCTGCTGATACTAATTAGGATAAGAGAAAAAAGCTAAGTTTCGATTAACTACAGTACTGTATTAAGAATAATATTTTTCAAGAAGTTAATTTCTTCTTAATGAGCACCTTAAAAGGCACTTAACCAACCTAATACAATGGTGAACCACCTGCAAATTTCCCTCCCCTCATCTTTACAAATTTTCAATAAATATTCCTACATTCCCTCAATGACAATCAAAATAGGAGTTCCGTGCCTCAACATAAGCATACACCTTGCAATCTAACATTAACCCTTTCACTGTAGGCCAAAAATTTATTACCTCCATGCACGGCAGATAATCAAGCACAGTTCTGTTCCTCTGAAGCATGTTACCAAGCATGCATTAGTCAAACCTGAGATTGTAGATCAAATGTGTATTGATGTGGCAAGAGCCTGCATTAATTCCCATGTCCTTGTTTCTCCCACACCACTGTGTACTGATGTGGTAAGCGCAATGATTCCCATGCCCAATTTCCTTCCGAACTCCTACACTTGCTTCGGTCAAGCTCACCGCCACAAGAATATAAAATCACCTTTTGTTCTTAAGAGCTTCTTGCACATTTCCCTACATATCAACACACTATATTCATCATCATTGCCCTCTAAGTTATTAGAATCAGTTGCACCCTTCAACATAATTTCTTGTCCTGGATGTGAGTGTAGTTGGTGTACTCTCCATGAAATATTGATTGGACACTGGGCACCATAGTTAAAAATATACCCCCACATTCATATGACAAACGCAAATGGTGAGAACACTAAATCTAAAACCACCAGCTGTATGAAAGTGCACATGCAATACATTTTAAAAATGCCTGACCTGTATGCATTACACCCACAATGTACAGTACACAATAATAAATGCCTTGTATACACGACACACAGTGAGAGGGTTAATCAATAAAGAAGTTCCAACCACCTGAAGGTACTCTCTCAAACCCTACACCCATTTACCTTTGGCATTCTCAACCATTCCAGTTCCAATTCAATTATTTTTTTTATCCCATCAGTGGAATGAATTATACAAAATTTTAACTCCCATGCTCCATATTTTACCCCAAAGGACCAGGGAGAAAAGCAAGTCTGCCATCTCAGTCCTATCATTACATGTGATATTTTCCCTTTACACTCATCCACCAGCTAAAATTTCTCCACAATTCTAATCACTAATTTATCCTCAAGTTCATTACATTTACCCAGTCCAACCAAAATTGGTACTTGTATTTCTTAAGCTCCTTCAATACTTTACCAATTATTCTATTTTTCATGTTCATCAAATAAGTACATAATTATAATTATGTAACCTGATGGAGCAATGTATCCACCTGCAACAAGTCCCCTTGTTCATGGTTTACTCTTAAATCTACATTGCAAAAGCTTTCATTATATACATTGCACAAACAGGACAAGCACTGTATTAACTTAGGTATGAGTCAAAATGCCAAATCCCCCAAAAGCATAAGTTTCACTGCCAAATCCCCCAAAAGCAGAGATAATGCCACATTACAATGTTTGGATACCAACAACAATTATAACCCTGACTAAACACTTACACTCAGCAACTTACCCTTTGTCATCTCGTGAACGAGATCTATCCCTGTCCCTTGATGGTGATCTGGACCTCTCACGTGTACGACTGCGGCTGCGATCCCTGGTACGTGAGCGAGACCTAGATCTCTCCCTGGACCTACTGCGGTCACGTGAATGAGAGCGATCCCTGGTCCTACTCCTTGAACGGGATCTGGAGCGTGTATATGACCTTCTCCGGCGTGGTGAACGACTTCGACTCCGAGACCTTGAGTACCTGACACGCAGGAAGTACATTAGAGTTTGCAAATGACTATGCTTAAGGTGTGCAAATCTGATTTCGTCTGAGCCTCCAGGGTGCCTGTGTTGGACTGCTAGCATCCACACACACACTGACAATGATACATTCTGCCATGCACAGAACTACGGCCTGGATGTTGGAAACCGCTTCAGTTCAACCAGGTGTGCTCAAGAGTATAGGCATGATAAGCACTGCAAGATCACCTCGATCATCCCAGATTATGGTCAACCTGACAAAATGCCACAAATCCCTAATATCAAACGAGTTTCAAGCTGTCCAACAATATTTGTTTGCCCTCAACAGCTGCAACACTACCCAAACTTGAAGACGTATTCTTCCAATATTTATATTGGAAGATTGTGACAGTATAGATTGGTTGACCATAAATCAGATTTGCACAGAAACACCTTTTGGTAGATGAATATTTCCTAAATTACTTACATGAACTGCCTCTGGCTGAAAACGGTTGATAAACATTATGTAAGGGGACTAAATAGCTGAAAAGTGATAACTACATGTACCTAAATTAAATAACAACCATTAATTAAATTTTACACCAGTAAGCTTACTGTGCCTGTCAAGAGTCATGAATCTCGGAAGAGAGTTGTCTGAAGGTCTGACGTTCGATCACGTAGGTAGGATCATGTAACTGCGTTGTTTAACCAGCGCTGAACGCTCATGTAACTGCGATGTTCGAGTAGAGCACGAGAGAAGTCTACGGTGAATGACTGGCAGGCAGTAAGCTTTACAAATGAGGCCATGAAGTTCAAGGTGTGGCCAGAAGGTCAAATTCAAGTTGTAGTGCGACGATCAATCGACAGAGAGCCGATCTTTGACTACTCGAGGTTTGGGAATGGGGATCTCAGCCGTTTTGCCTACAAAATATGAGTGTTCTGTCAATAGCAGTTCCACCAGTTGATAATCCCTTAGCTTTATTTGATAAGTTTAAGTAGACCACACAAGACAAGTCCACATGACATGGCTAGTGCAGAGATTAAGCATCACATAAAAAACAAAGACATTTCTTTCATAAAAAGAAAAATATGAAAGTTTCACTTTAATCATGACCTACAGAAACCAGGTGAACTTGATCTGATACTGGCCTCCAATGAGAATAGTGCTTATTGACCAAAGCTCAGGACCTGAGGATTTGTGCAATAACCACCAGATGCAGAGCCACGCCTCCCCCTTCCCCCCAAATACACAATACATACCTTGATCCATGTCGACGGCTGTACCTATAGCAATCTCTAGCATAGTGCCCGCGCTCTCCACACTCATAGCAACGATCCTCTGGGTGGAATGGCCTGCCTCGACGAGGAGGAGGGCCACGAAATCGACTTCGAGATTTACCGGTTGAAAGCTCTACGCGAACTCTGCGGCCACATATTGTCCTGGAATAAAATAAATCGATTTTAACAATTATTCTATAAGAAAACCAACAATGGCAAATGTTACTGTTGGTGCAGTAGATTGCCAGCATCCATGCTCAGAGAAAAATAGAAAGACAGGCAGACTAATACCAGCTAGTAGAAATAACATGACATCAGCTTCTCCACGAAGGCACTGTTGACACAAGATGCTTCGGAAATGGAAATACACGCAGTAAATTCCCTGTACTTTTAAGCCCTATCTCCTCCCAGTAAAACAAATGTAAGGAAAAAAATATTGATCCAGTTTTACTGTTTACAGCATCTAATGTAAATATTATGCTCACCTGCCATCAAGTCCCCGAACAGCATCCTCAGCATCACGTACATCTTCAAATTCAACAAAAGCAAAGCCTGGGGGGTTGCGGGCTACCCAAACATTTCTTAAGGGTCCATAGTACGAGAAAGCTTCTTCAAGCTCTTGCTTTGATGCTCCTGAGCCCAAATCACCAACATACACTTTGCAATCAAGTGATGCTGGCATCTTGGCAATGATTATCTGTGAAAGAAAGTATAAAAATTAGTTATTCAGTCAATTAAAAATCTCGCCAAATTCGCTCCAGTGAGTCAAAAACACACAATTTAAATTATCCTATATCACCAGAAATGGATTCTAGCTTAAAAATAAATTTCGGTTAGTTTACTTGTAGCTACAGTATTTAGCAGGAAGAAAAAAAATCTAAATTTCAAAATCCATTAGCAACTATATCAAAGCTTAATTTATTCTGCAGTAATATTTCATTCCTAAACAAACTTCATCATACAGACGCTACTATCGACTCGTTTATGGGAAGAAAATAACGGTAAAAACACTGACATGTCAGTAATTTCACATCTCTACATGCTTTGTAGGCAAAGAAATAAATTATTTACCATAATTATGGCATCATCGGATCTACCATGGCAACCCTGTTTTGGTTCACATCATAATTATGCTATACAGGAGCATCGGCAGTATTTGTTTACGTGCCAAAAACCAAAACGACGATCTGGTCAAGCGTGTTTCATACGATTTATATTGGAAGTTGTTTGGATGATAGTAAGAACATTGAAACGGCATTGCACAGGTTAGGAAATGGTAATGTACGAGAACAGCATTACCACCAGAAGTTGTTCAATTTCGCTAATTTTTCTCCACTGTTCTTATTATAGTACTTAAGGGAAAAATTACAAGACCATGACCTTACCAACCAGAGAAACTTACCTAACCTTACCCAACTTCCTAGCTAGAGGGTGGACCCACCCTCAATATTAAACAAACTCATTTTGATATCTGGTAACAATGAAAAAATTTATTGAAGCATAATGGTGTACTTTTAATTTTAGGGGGGGACTGAGCGGGTCGGTTGTAAACAGACACACAAGAGGTGACCAGGTACATTTTCCAGGATTATCATTTTCACTGGTTTACCCCACAATTTCCCCATTCTTCATGTCCTGCTCAATACAGTTAATAGATCGAGTGCATGTACCTAACCTAACCTAGACTAGTATTTGGTGTCACGAAGTCACAAAAAATTGGTAAACTTAATTTAATCTGAGTTAATAGATCAAGTGAAATGTACTTAACCTGATCTGATCTAATCTAACCTAACCCAACTCAGATTAAATTAAGTTTACCAATTTTTTGTGACTTCGTGACCCCAAATACTAGTCGAGGTTAGGTTAGGTACATGCACTCGATATTAACTCAAATTAAATTACGTTTTCCAATTTTTTTTTCTTTGTGTCACCAAATACTAGCCGAGAAGTGATTGGCAGTCCGATTTATTCATGTAGGACCATTATTTGACTTAATTGCGGGTACATTTGGATAAATCCGAGCAGGATAGGACTCGGAGCAACGGATTCAAGTTGGATAAGTTTAGGTTTAGGAGGAAGATAGGAAGAAACTGGTTCATAAATAGGGTGGTGGACGAGTGGAACAAGCTTAACAACTTTGTAGTAAGTGCAGGAACTCTGGAAAGTTTCAAAAGGAGGCTAGATAAAGTCATGGATGATAGAAAGTGGTAGTAACTCTCGACAGGAGCTGCCATGCACAAGCCAACCGGCCTATTGCAGATTCCTTATTTTCTTATGTTCTTATGTAATTAGTCGGACCCCAAATTTAATATTTTACTCCACCAGACTTGTATTAAATGGAGCATTATTTCGAAACTCTTTAAAATACAAATACAGTGTTCGGTAAATTTATAGTTACGGTCATGCCAGTATTTAAATCTTCAAACTAATCTAACTTAACCTAACTTTAAACTACCTAACCGGGGACTCCACCCCGCCGATGAACGAAATTAAAATGCCCAGTATTTTACTCCAGTCATTTAGCAATTTACCAAACAACTTTCTTTGAATAACAGCGACGGATACACGTGGTGTCTGATGCAAATATCTGTAAAACTAAAACAAAACACCAATAACAGAAAGAACGTTTGTCTGGTGTTAACTCAAATGACCTAGTTCTCAATATATGAATTAAGAAACTACAAAGGTAACCCGTAATCACTCCAATTTATATCGATGAAAATGACCCTACACTCAAATTAAACCAGTAACATCAAACCACCTCCTACGTAACGGTAACTATCCAAGGTGGGTTGAACTGGGAATCCTAACAATATTGTGATGGAAATACATAATCAACATCTTTCGAACATACAAAATATAGAGGAATGAGAGCACCTTCGGCAAATGTCATATCCGCATGACATAATGTATTCCCATAATGTTCGCTAGACCCGGGGGGAGGCATAACCCTCTTCCAATATGGCGTCACATCCACATGTTCGAGCGGGAAAACACACCATCATCTAGAACGTTTTTCCTCCTTGACCCTCAAAATATTAATGACCTAACGTACTAAATAACGTTATTAACTATAAATCCCTATTATCACCTACCTTATTCCAGAATCCCACGAAATATGTGCTTGTTCTCGGGGTATATATGCAGGACTATGAGCGCCCCGTCACAGGTGGCAGGAGACGCTCGGCACAACGCGCAGTACTGACCGGGATGAATCGATCACAGCCGACTGACAATTTGGTTCTTTTCTTCGTTATTTTATTCCAGTATATAATAAAAATATACATTACAATGATTCATATTTATTTTATTATTTCTAATGCAAAAAGTAAACGACTAAAAACAACTGTCTACTCCTAAATATTGACATTCAATGATCATTAGTTCAACCCTCTAAATTGCGTAATGTTATGAATTTGCACGTAAGGAAATACTATACTCCCCATTTTCTGATTTGTCGAATGCTTTGTATCATATTCCTGAATTATTCATACCTATTACTATTAAAAAGCAATACGTTTGGTGCTATAATATTTATACTGTATATATTTGTGACACTTGCCAGATGCTTCTAGTGTTATTGTACAGGGGTACCTAGTGAGTAGTGACAGCACTAGGATCCCGCTTCCTCTATCAAGGAATAAATAATTGAAATTTAAATTGAATACGTTTGGTCTCTTGAAAATCAAACATTCAGTAAATTATTCTGCCTTTCTAATCGTGTTTCAGTAGGTTATTCCGGGGCTTCTGAATTCCCTACTCTCCACCTACTGCCCCTACCAGCTCGTTGAAATTACGATTTTGATTTCAATTTCGTATGATTATTTTGAAAAATCATATATATTTTTGGTCGTACATTTCCTATATTAAAAGTCTTTCTACAACTACATACATTTAGACCATAAAGAATACTTAAATGTTAAAATGCTATTAGAAACAATGTTTAATATTTATATTCAATATTAAGTCTGATTTTCAAACACTCGTAGCCCACTTCCGCTCTAAAGTGCGATACGCTCTTCAAATTTTTTAGTTTAACAAATTTATTGACAAAGCTTGGAGTACAGTTTGCCTATTCTGAGTAATTCAGTCAGGTCTTGACACTGAGGGTGGTATCACTTCTCACTGCCACGCAGGACAGAGGTTCATACACAAAGAAATATATCATATTCATTAACAGTACACTGTATATAGGTCAGATTCATGTGGGTGATGTCACTGTTCACTGCCATGCAGTGTAATCTGCAATAATGTATAACATCGCCAATCCAAGTGATTTTCCTGTTTGTTCTCAGGCACCAATTAATCGTCCCTGGAGCAATTTCAGTGTTGCATCTCACAACAATTCTTGAGATTTAGCTCCTGTATATTCAGTATCCCTAGAATTTATATTGTTTGTGTTTTAATCCAAATTCGATTTTCATTGCTTCCATCGACAATTTTAGTATTTTTGTAGGATCTTTTCGGTTTGATGAACTGCATTTTTTTATTAAAACACATTAATCTGAGAAGCTAGTCGAAAATAATGAAAATTAAAAAAATATATATATAAGGCTCTGAACAGGGGAGAGAGGCCAGCCTGTTAAACGTAAACAAACATGGAGCAGTGGTTATATATCTTAGCTTCGGTCAGTATCGCTGGACTTTCTTTAAAGTGATTAAATCAGAAATGAGTGAGAAATGATTTTGTAATGGCTTTGCAAAACCTACAGTACAGTCCTAAGAAGAGGTAGTACATTTTTTTCAAGCATACAAGATTATTCCAGAAAACAGGATGTGCCGCAAGAAACACCAAATGAACTTGGCATTTTTACCTGACAACACCATAGCGATGCAAAAAAAAAAAAAAAACTTCTGTACGGGATCAACTTCCATTTATAAAGAAACATAGAAGGATCAACACTCTAAAAACAATAATAATATTCATTTATTGTTGGTCCAAGTACACAAGCATCAAGTTCTGCGAAGATGAACTTGGCATGACTGATTCTACTGTGGTGAACTATAACAATTATTTGAAGGAGGTAAGTTATCTAGATCTGAACTCATCAAGATGCAAGTTAGCTTATTTTTTTATTTTTTTATTTTCCTAACGGAGTGGTCCCCAACATGTAGCTCGCGGGCGCCACCATATTATGGATCCCGCAAGGGTTCATTAGATAATTGTGAATTATTTGGGATTCTTTGTAAGGGTGAAGTTAATGAAAATACGTAATAACTTGATACAAACGTCCTGTATAGGACGTGTGTATTTATCCCAGACCGGGCTAAGAGAGGGCCAGCCTTCTCACTAAAAGGAAATACTATATATATATATATATGTAACTAGTAACAAACGTGTAAAACTGCAAATAACTGTGCGGTATATAAGATGTTTTTTTCTTGAATGTACAGTAGATCCAAAGTTTTGGCGCCCTCCACTATATTGTTTGCAATGATAAATGTGACCCAGAGCCTACAAAATGTTGGGGACCGCTGTCTTAAGGTAATGAAACCTAACCTAACTTAACCAGCTTAATAATCAGCAACTTAACCTAATCTAATCTGGCCTATCTTATATATTTTCTGCAACGTACCCTAGTGTATAGTGTAGCATAACCTAACGGGGGAGAACGAAGCCATCAGGACTGAACTCCTTCAGGTAGGTGATCTGCCTAGCAGGACACCTACCTGAAGGAGTGGTGGACGAGTGGAACAAGCTTAGCAACTTTGTAGTAAGTGCTGGAATGCTGGAAAGTTTTAAAAGGAGGCTAGATAGATTCATGGATGATAGAGAGTGGCAGTAACTCTCGACAGGAGCTGCCATGCACAGGCCAACCGGCCTATTGCAGACTCCTTATTTTCTTATGTTCTTAAGTACTATTTTCTTCAAGAAAAAAAAATATTAATTAGAATGTAAAACTACGTCAGATTAATGTTTTTTATTAAGCAATTTTGTAGTTCATCAAACCGAAAAGACCCTTTGTATTTTTCTCCAAGCAATAAGCACCCACTCTCATCTGACTGCTTTTCAGTATTATCACATAAACACTACCACTGAAACTACCAACCTGTGGTTTTCCAACTAAAGTTAGTCTCGGTATCAAACACCGCCCCTCAACTTCCCCTTAACTTGTAAACGAATGCAGAATTTTTGAATTCAGACACACATGTGGAAGAAATAAAAGAATGAAAAGCAGGTGATGCACCTGTTAAATGAAAAGTATGTTTCAAAGCACAGGTCTTCCACAATAGTTTACCAACATCAAATTACTTATGATCTTTACCACGTCATTCTCGCCGTGGTCTTTCAGTACTCTGCAACCCAGAACCCAGTTAGCACCAACCACCCCCGAGCTCAGTGTCTGCTATTACAGATCTTGAGCAAGAGATGCTGTACTACAGCATCTCTTGCTCAAGATCTGCACCATCAGATCGCAAGTGACTTGCGGACAGACTGAACCGATATTTAATTATTCTTCACACTTATATTCCAAAACAACATTAATCTGTCATATTGTGTTATTGTTTTTTTTAATATAAATGCAGTAGTTCAATGACCGAGGTATTTTAAGCAGCATTCGACTTACTATGACTATACCGGCACTGTCTATGTACAGTACTGTATATTGTTTTATTGCATTGTCTATGTGCAAGTATCTGCCAAGACGGGTTCGATGACTTCCGAAATGCTACATACAACTCGTGATGTCCAGGGAGTGTTGGTATGCGTGGTTGTGACATACTGATCCTACTACTGTATGAAACTATTTTAAGATACTGTACACTGTATACCTGCACTATGTACAGTACATTGTATACCTGCAGTATGTAGTGTTTATACGCTTTTACTGAATCTATGTACAGTGCCTGTTCACCTACACTATATGTACAGTGTTATATATTTGTGCTATGTATATACATTGTATACTTGCACTAAGCACATAATTTGTATACCTGTAGTCAATACACACTGCTTGTATACCTGCACTGCCTATGCACATTGTTTGTATATTAACATTGTCTACTGTACATACTGAATCATTGCGAGTTTGCCGGACGATTTTACTGAGTAACTATCTAGTAACAGCTACATCTGATCAATGGCTCCTTGACTGACGTGCCACAAATACACACGAGACGTTCGCGGATTTCAGTTCTTTTCACGAACTCTTTCGCCAGACATTGATGATTGATCCACAAAGCACCTTACAGCACAGTATATGTGCCTTGTGACTGGTGCTTCCTGTGTAGCCTGGAGGGGTCGTCTGCAGGCCACGAGCACAGCGCGTGATGGTGAGTCAACGGCCTTATTATGTGAGCAGTATTTATTGATTTTCTCGTGACGTAAACAATAGTCTGGTGATGGTCCAATGAGCCATAATTCTTGTACAACTCTCTGATGGGCGGTGAAGGATTGGTTGGTTGTGTAAAACCCATCTGGCTTCGTAACAGCTAACTCGTATGCCACAGTCTTTTAGTTCGTCCATACTTAAATTAGCGCTGAACAACATAAGCTTTCGACAAGTATTTTTTTTCAGTGAAGTATTAACTCGAAGACCAGGATAAATTTTCCGGTAATGCTTTATAGTTTTTTTCTCACCAGTTTATCGTGTTGAAAAAAAAATAACTTCGAGAAAGGCCCTTTTCACTCAGAAACTATAATTTCAGGTATTTCTTAATATTCAATAAGAATTTAAGTGCGTGTTAATTGTTAATCTAAGGAATCCGCTTTTTCAATTACTTTTTTCACCATATTACTATCAAATATATGATAAAAATATAAAGAGAAGTTTGTGTTCTATACCAGTTGCTTTTATGCATATGGCCTCCGTCAGTGCGACGTTAAGCCAGTTATTAAATATAGGAACCAATGAAACCCAACCTAAACTAACAGTCTTAGCGTGTCTTTTATCTACATTAGGTAATGTTAGGTTGGGTTGGTGGTTCATTCTCTAGAAAGAAAAAATGCGTAAAATACAATTCCTGGCGGCGGGGGTACTACATGAGCCATTCTTGAGGAACACCTTTTTTTCTCGACCAAAAGTTTTAAGATATTTAGTTTAGAATATTAAAATATTGCCTTCTGTCTTTTCGTTAGCTTATCCAGTTGTAAGACTCTCCGAAGTACAGTAATTTTATCATACATAGGTTCTCTAAAATGTTATCCCTTATAATGAGGCCAGCAGAGAGAATGAGTAAAACTACTATTAACAAAGTTGGCTAAGTGAATGTGACGTGAAATAAACTTAGAGTATGCGTGTACTAAAGTGAGCTATGTACAGTAGAATATATCACAAAAAATAACTTTAGCTAGAAAAACAAACGGCAATTAATAACTACCACAACAAACAATAGTATTGTGTTAGGGTGTAGTTTAACATGTCATAAAATATGCCCAATTTTATTTCCGGTCATCACATAATAAACAAAGGGGTCTGCATTTGCCCCGTGTATTTACCCTTGTCGCACATATCCTTCAAAGCTTGTCGAAGGTGGATATTTGGAATCGTTTCATTTTATGCTTATCATTATTGGATCATCCCAGCACAGAAAATATATGTAGCGAACAATAAGTTGTGTGTGGCTCCAACAGGGCAACATCACCAGAGGAAAACTAATAGCAAATAGTGTACGTCAGTTGACCCTGTGGTGTAACTGATTTAAAGACACGCCACCTTGAATAAGTGAAAGATATTTGTAATAGTAATATATCATGAACATGTACATCTTCCTCTTTTCTTAATATGGTCAAAGGGATTATGTCTGGCAACTGCTGTACATCCTGTCTTGCCTTATCTCAGCAGCTGCGCACACCAACAAACTGGACGTTGGGACAGTGGCCACACTACTTGCTTGTTGGAGTTGCGTTTCATCATTATACTACCGCATTCACCATGATGTTGCAGAAGCTCTAAATGATAAGGGTAATGAGCACGTTCCACCATGACCATCCCTGTTGTGCGACACTTAGCTAACTCTATCAAGCAATCATGGAAGAAGTGGCGCGGAATCTTTCAGAGAAAATCCCAAGGGCGGAGCAGTAACTTCTGTGAGGAGATGGAGACGGTATGTGTGACTAGACATTTTCCTCTACACAGGTTATATGGGAGGCAGTAAAAACACGTCTGTAACATACAGTAGAACAAGGTTAGTCCGTACCTCTGGTGTTAGTCAGGCTTCAGAAACTACCTTCTCTTGCTTGCAATTTTAAGATCAGGATGATTCCTAAATTCGTGGATGGAAAGCAATGTTTACACTGTTTATGGGAATTGTGGGTGATGGTTTTAACTTCACATTCTGTCAGTCTGCTGTGTTCTTCACTCCACATACAGTATCAAAATACTATCGGCGGCTCTTTGTTAACCACAACGAAACAGGACCAACTGCTCTAGGAGCCATAAAACTTGAGATATACTGTACTTCTCTGAAGGTGAATAAATTAGAGGTCAGCAGCTAATAGTACAGCTGGTGCCGACACATTGTGGTGGTGTGGAGCTTCCCACTGCTACTGTACAACTCTGGATATTATTCTCTGGTGATTAACACCCTCCACGCTACGTAAGTTACTGTCCAAGAGAGACAGTGTTTACTGGTGAAGATATCTTGGGATGGTTTTTCCAGAAATTATTGCGATGGTTATCTAACCTCGACACGATAGTACCTGAGAGAGAGGATGAATTTTTTTCAGGATCGCCTTCTGCTACCAAGCTGTCCTCCCACCCGCTCTGCCTTAATTACGTTTAATTCACACCTTGCAATGTGTGTGTTATGATTAAATATACTTCTTTTTTTACGGGAATTAGCCCACCCAGGCACAGGTCAAACGACCCACATCGGGGCCTGGGGAAAGAACAGAAAGAAGTTGAAAATACAGAAGAAAAAGGTTATACTGTGTTAATCTACACCACGAAGATTTTTTTTTACGGGGCTTAGCCCACCCAGGCACAGGTCACTGACCCACATCGGAGCCTAGGGGGCGAAAATGTAATAATAATAATAATAATAATAATAATAATAACAATAATAATAATGATAATAATAAAGAACCATAAAGAAATACAAATTTAAAAAAATTTAGTGAGAAACAATATACAGTATATATGTTGTGTTGTCAATAGTAAGAGAAACAATTGAGACCCTGCAATTGTGTGTAAATGAGGCAAAAAGTCAGCTCAGCAACTTGGAACTTGGTCACAATTTTCGTGATGCCATATGACAGCAGGGTCTACCATTAGACAACACATTATGCTTCCAAGATGCCGGAAAACCAGCTTTTTAAAGTGAGTCGGATTGTATAAGTATGGAAACACAGAAGAAGGTAGAGCATTCCACAGTTTGGCTGTGTGAGGAAGGAAGGAGGTACTGTAACGGGTTATTCTAGTGTGACCGACAACCACAGAGAAACGGTGGGCATCGCGGGCAAGACGTGTGTTACGAGCCCACGGCCTTGCCGGCGGCACACTGGATGCCAAATCCACCGAACATTGCCCGTTAAAGTACCTGTAAAAGAGAGAGAGTGAAGCAACATTGCGGCGAAGAGAAAGGGAAGAGAGATTGTTGACTAAAGGATGAGAGTTAATAAGACGAAATGCCATTGATTTCACGCTATCTAATAGTTGGACAGACGAAGAGCCACCCCAGATATGAGAGCAGTACTCCAAGTTAGGACGAATGAATCCCTTATATACTTGGAGCAACTGCTCAGGAGTGAAGTAGCTACGGCATCTGTACAGCATTCCCAACTTTCGGGAGGCAGCTTTAGCTATATTAACGATGTGTGATTTCCAGGACATATTGGAGGAAATGGTGAGGCCTAACATATTTATTTCAGAATTTGGGGGGATGCTAGCGTCCTGAATTGTAATTGGTGGGAGATCGTCTAATTTACAAAGTGTAATTGGTAAATATTGAGTTTTATTACTATTGAACTTAACCAAGTTTGTACCTCCCCATTCAGAGATGCTGCACAGATCCGCATTGATAGAAGTAATGATATCAGTTCTAGAAACAGATCTAGTTTGAGAGTTAGGAGGAAGGGGAAAATGTGAAGAGTGAAGAGAATCATCAGCGTAAGAATGGATAGAAATAGTTGTAGTGTGAAGTAAATCATTGATAAAAAAAAGAAAGAGAGTAGGTGAAAGAACAGAACCCAATGGGACACCACTATATGAGGGCCAGAGCTGCCACCATTTATGAGGGCCTGAACTGCCACCATTTATGAGGGCCTGAGCTGCCACCATTTATGAGGGACACTACTGCCATCTTTTGTGAGGGCCTCTGTGTGCCAGTAACAATTCCTTTTACTCTCATACTTATTACCATTGGTAGCGTGACGAGAGGAGGCTCGTGGGTAGATGTAATGATAGTATCAAGCAATAGGGAAGAAATAACGGTAAACACTGTAGGTAAATAATAGACACAATTATACAACTACAAAATTTATTTAAACATGAATATGAAATTAGGAGAAAGAATTTATTTGTACCAACAGACGAAATCTAGTACTAGGCCCTCAGGCTCAACATACTCACACCATTACTGGGTGGACATATTCAATAACACTTCCAACCCTACTGGGTGGACATATTCAATAACACTTCCAACCCTACTGGGTGGACATACTCAATAACACAACTATTATAGTCACTTAGCACCATAAATACTAGGGCAACTGCCACTACAACACTCAGTCGTCAGGTGTGATACTCAAGCAACAGCCATGGGGTCCAGCCACCATGGAGTACTATCCGACGAACTCTGGAGATCCCAGTGGATTAATTCCACCACACAAATAGCCCTACTGAGTTAGACACTCATCCACCAATGATGGGGGCTGGTAGTGGTGTGTGGCTTGGTGATCCGGGGTCACCTCGCAGGCCGAGCGTTAGGGCCAGACGAGCCAGCTATGGGGGCAATAGGTAGTCTGAAGTGTCTGACGGCCGGGTCTCACGAAGGTAACTGATCCTACTGGTACCTCGGACATCTCCCCAGACATAGTGGATACAACATCCACGCTACAGACACGGCCTAGGCTGCGTTAGGGACATGTATGGATGAAGGGACGGGCACTCACTAACGGTAGAAATGCCCGCGGCGCCTTCACTCAAAATAGGCCAGGGAGTCCACCTACTTCTATTCCGATGAATTAATTCACTGTACACTCTGACGTTGAAACTGAGACTATGAACTCAGTTTCATTCCCTACTATTATCTTCACTAACAATGCTCTGACTCAGCTATCAAAAGCAAAATTAAATTGATTACAAAGGGTTGGATGGCAACAGATCCCAACATACAGCGTCTGCTACTAAATCCGTGGATTATATTCAAAGTTCCCTCTAAACAAAGGTGGGGAAACAGAGAAAACGGGGGACGTTTCCACTGGGGGACTCAGAAGGTTTTGTGGACGTTTGAGCGTAATATGAATCCTTAAGGTTTTCAGGTTAGCCGTTATCACGATCATGACAACTACTGGTAGAGAAAGAGCGAGAGATCGATCCCTCGACAACAACTGCCATGGATCGGTTCTCAAGGAAGCTAGAGATGAGAAAACAAAGTGGGGGAGAGAAACCAAAAGAGGGAAGTTTAGATAGCAAAGACTTGTGCCATACCCTGTCAAATACTTTGGAGAGGTCGAGAGCCACGACAAAAGTTTCCCCATAATCCCTATGAGAGGATGACCAAAGATGGGTGCAGTTGGAGAGCAGATCACCAGTAGATCTCACCTGGCGAAAGCCATACTGGTGATCCGACAAAAGAGAAAGGCGTTCAAGGTGACGGAGAAAATGGGAGTTCAAGATAGTTTCGATAATCTTAGAGAGGGATGAAGTTAGGGCAATGGGGCGATAGTTAGAGGTAATAGAATGGTCACCCTTCTTCGGGATGGGCTGGACCAAGGCATGCTTCCAAGAAGAAGGAAAAGTTTGGGTTTTGAGGCAGAGGCGAAAGAGGCGAGCAAGCACAGGGGCCAGAGCTTCAGCACACTCCCCCAGAACACGAGGGGGTATTCCGTCCGGTCCATGCGCCTTACTCACATCTAACCTGGATAACACACCGGCAACCCTGCGAGTGGAGATTATAGGAAAGTGCATAGGTTCAGTAGGAGGTGCAGGGCTAGGAGGGATAGAGTAGGAATCGTCTAAGGTGGTATGTCATTATTTTGTCGTAATTTTAGACAGAAGGGGCGTACTGTCTCAAACTAGAGAAAACTGGTATACTTGATGACCTCCCCTGCATGATACAGTACAGTACTTACATTAGCACTACCTACAGTGAATTGCGCTGATTCTTAGATACGGTCGATCACCAGCAGACTTAACTGGGTGAGTGTGTTGTTACCTATCTGACCTCTCCTCCCCCAAGCTTTAGCGTTTCCTTTTATTCCAACATAGGTACACAGTGAAACCTCTATTTAACGGAATTTATGGAGATGAAAGTTCGTTATATTTAGGTTCTGTTAGATGTGAAACCTCCATCTAACGAACTTTATAATGAAAGTCCGTTATATCGAGGATCCTTCAGATGTAAAACCTCCATCTAACGGATTATATGGAGAGAAGTCCGTTAAATGGAAGTGTTACCGTATATGTGTTTTACTCGTAAGAACTGTTGCCATAATTTGATGTACAGTACCTCTGGTATGCTGGTTTGGTGTAGGTGTATTTGATTAAAGAAAATAAAAAGGAATCGGTAGAAATGTGCACAAGATTTTACTAACCACTGGACCTGCAGTGACCATCATGACGCTCTTTTGTAAACCACTTGCGAACAGGTTGACGTAATACTCCTATGTTATTATAAAGACGCTGGGCGGTTGCATTTCCGTTCGGATTTAATATCAGGATTATTATTACATATACAACAAACATTATTATTATTTTATTTACTTTTTTTTTACTTTACTTTTATGATATACAGTATGTAATAATATCTACAGTCTGATATTATTACAACTCATATTTTGAACTTATATGCTGAACATAATCTTGTTCATTAAATTTTCAAGTTTTTGGTGAATAAATTTCAGAAACACTTGTTCAAACGGAAAACGAAACACACACACACACACACACACACACACACACACACACACACACACACACACACACACACACACACACACACACACACACACACACACACACACACACACACATGATCAACGCCAGATAATAATAATTTGTTGGTTCCTGTGTACATTTTATCGTCTGGTTGATAATGGTTCGGGCAGTAAGGACCCATCTATCTAGGAGCCTTCCCAGTCCTCCTAGCTCTCCCAGTATCCCAGCTCATAGTCTCCTAGCACTCCCAGCATCCCAGCTCATAATCTCCTAGCTCTCCCAATATCCCAACCCATAATCTCCTAGCTCTCCCAGTATCCCAGCTCATAGTCTCCTAGCACTCCCAGCATCCCAGCTCATAGTCTCCTAGCTCTCCCAGTATCCCAGCTCATAGTCTCCTAGCTCTCCCAGCATCCCAGCTCATAGTCTCCTAGCACTCCCAGCATCCCAGCTCATAGTCTCCTAGCACTCCCAGCATCCCAGCTCATAGTCTCCTAGCTCTCCCAGTATCCCAGCTCATAGTCTCCTAGCACTCCCAGCATCCCAGCTCATAATCTCCTAGCTCTCCCAGTATCCCAGCTCATAATCTAATCATCCTAGCCTCCCAATATCTCTCTCCCAGTATCCCAAGCCATAATCTCCTAGCTCTCCCAGTATCCCAACCCATAATCTCCTAGCTCTCCCAGTATCCCAACCCATAATCTCCTAGCTCTCCCAGCATCCCAGCTCACTCCCAGTATCCTCCCATAATCTCCTAGCTCTCCCAGTATCCCAGCCCATAGTCTCCTAGCTCTCCCAGTATCCCAACCCATAATCTCCTAGCTCTCCCAGTATCCCAACCCATAATCTCCTAGCTCTCCCAGTATCCCAACCCATAATCTCCTAGCTCTCCCAGTATCCCAACCCATAATCTCCTAGCACTCCCAGCATCCCAGCTCATAGTCTCCTAGCTCTCCCAGTATCCAAGCGGATGATGGCGGTCAACTCCGACTGACGCTGTAACCACGAATATTATAATAATTTGAGTGAATCATTAGTTGTTTAGTAAAGGGAGACTCTGTTTACATAGGAGGGAAACGAACATAATAATAATACTATCATTTTGGAGACTGTTTACATATGAGGGAAACGAACCTAATAATAATACTATCATTTTATATCCTATCTTCGTGTAGTAGAGTTCCAGGGGGTTAGTTGGGTGTTGGTGCCGTCACTTATACCGAGTGTTTGAGGGTCTGGGTCTGGTGTAAGTTGTATATATACACCTTCACTCTTTATGCTGAATCACTGTGAACATGTTGGGTGATTTTATTGAATATTTGTCTGTTGGTATATTAAGCTATTTTTCCGTCTATCATTCCTCGTTTACCGTGTACCATTCCTCGTCTCTTGTCTATTGTTCCTCGTCTCCCGTCTATTGTTCCTCGTTTTCCGTCTATCATTCCTCGTTTCCCGTCTACCACTCCTCGTACCTCGTCTATAATTCCTCGTTTTCCGTCTATCATTCCTCGTCTACCGTGTACCATTCCTCGTCTCCTGTCTATTGTTCCTCGTCTCCCGTCTATTGTTCCTCGTTTTCCGTCTACCATTCCTCGTCTCCTGCAGGACAATGAGGATGACATGCCCCACAACCGCCGCGGGAGGTCACTCCTACACAGGATATGGCGGGCCATCGTGAGCATCTTGCAGCGCCTTCAGATATTCGATTTTTGGAGGAATCGTGAGGACTTCTATCAGCGCACCTTCACCAAAGTGAGTCATTGGCCAGTGGTCCCAAGAGTGGCCATTATTTTATCTTGTTGACGATTCCCTCTTGAGTGTTACAGAACCATCACTCGTATGTGTGTGTGTGTGTGTGTGTGTGTGTGTGTGTGTGTTTGTAGTTGTGTATAGGTGTGTGTGTGTGTAAGTGTGTTTGTACGTAAGTGTGTGTGTGTGTAAGTGTTAGTATGAATTGAGTGCGTGCAAGTGGCAGGGTGAAACTGTGGGCAAGTTTCTTTACGCCAATTGCCTCTGTCTCCCCAGCAGTAATTGGGGACCTGGATGTTAATTGATTTGCGGATAGTATTCCGGGGTAATGGTTAGCCAGTGCAGTTAACGAGTTGTCCGGTCTTCTCGGACTATTCCTTGACACTGGGTCATGCAGCTCGTTAACTCAGGGTGTGGTTGTTGTGTTGGCGACAGCTTCTACACCTTAAACAAATTCACGCCTAGGTGGCCCTTGGGCCGGCCAACCTCTTTACACGAGGGGCAACCATTATTGAAGTGTTTGTATGTATTTGTATATTGTATAATTGTGTGTAGGTGTGTGTGTGTGTAAGTGTTTGTAGGTGTGTGTGTGTGTAAGTGTTTGTAGGTGTGTGTGTGTGTGTGTGTAAATTCTGGTATACAATATCGTGTTAGTTTTCATCCCCTCAAGGTTTCCTCACACCAAAACACTGGACAACACTCACCTGAGATATACTTTATGCTGTGTTACATGTCCCCCCCCCACCTGCATTGAACGATTTGGTTGTACAATTAAGTTCTGGTAAATTACTAACTCCATTTCTCCACGTTTGTTATTCTCTCTATCTTTTTATTTTTTTTATTTATCTTTCCCAAACCTTATTCCGTGTTCTGGTGTGATTCGCCTCTCTCATTCGTTGTTCGGTTAGGTTAAAACATTTGTGTGTGTGGGTGTTTGCTTTCATTTTGTCTCCTTTCGTGTTTGTTTGTCTTCCCTGTTATTGTCTTCTTCTATATTCTCTTTTCATATTCACTACTGTGTCTCTGTCTGATCATGTCTCTGTGTCTACCTATTTATATTTTTTGTCTACATCGGTTTCCTCCCCCTGCGGCCTCTCCATGATGTTTCTCCTGACATGGCGGTGTTCCTGTACTAGCCTGCAGTACCCGAAGCGCGGTTACTGGTGCTTGGGGCCTCTGACACGGGCAAGTCCACCTTCATGAAGCAGATGAGATTGGTGTTCGGCGACGAGTATCCTGTGCCCGACCGTAGAAGGTAGAGAGAGGGAAACAGCCTGACCAATTTTTTTTTTCCGGGGATCAGCCCACCCGGGCACAGGTCACTGACCCACATCGGGGCCTGGGGGGCGAAAATGTAATAATAATAATAACAATAATAATAATAATAATAATAATAATAATAATAATAATAATAATAATAATAATAATAATAATAATAATAATAATAATAATAATAATTAATAATAATAATAATAATAATAATAATAATAATAATAATAATAATAATAATAATAATAATAATAATAATAATAATAATAATAATAATAATAAACCATAAAAAATACAAAAATTAAAAAAGATCAGAAGTGAGAAACAATATACAGTATATATGTTGTGTTGTCATAGTAAGAGAAACAATTGAGACCCTGCAATTGTGTGTAAATGAGGCAGAAAGTCAGATCAGCAACCTGGGACTTGGTCACAATTTTTGTGGTGCCATATGGCAGCAGGGTCTACCATTAGACAACACATTATGTTTTGGAGGAATTTTTTTTTCTAGTTGGAGGTGTTTTATTGTTGCTAATTTTACACCGCCAGGCACCAGCCCCACATCCGTCGCAACCTGCTGGAGAGTGTTCACAGGATTATTCAAGCTATGGACACCTTCGGCATTACTCAGGCTACACAAGAGGCTCAGGACGCTGCTCGGAGGTTCACTGACTTGGAGCCCTTGGAACAGTTTCTTGAAGATGACGCCATAATAGACCATCAGCTGGTGGAGCAGACGCAGCTGCTGTGGGCCGACCCCATGGTGCAGGAAGTGTACATAAGAGGTAACGAATACCACCTCATGACTAATGCTGACTACTTCATCACAAACGCAGAGAGGATTCTTGATGACAACTACATTCCCAATGTGGATGATATCCTGCGCATGCGCTACCCGACGCGGACCTCTGTTACATCCACCTACGACCTCGGGGAGATGCGCATGACGATGCATGACATGGGTGGACAGAGATCTGAACGTGAACAGTGGATCAAACATGACAACAACCCCACCGCCATACTCTTCCTCGCCTCCCTCTCCGAGTATGACCAAAACGTCGAGGAGATACCCGAGGTAAGTGTCCGCCTCATACGTCCCTCCAGAAGTAGCGTTTTAGGACGAACTCACCTGTGGTGTACAGTACAGTACATCCGTGTTGAGGGACGTCTCAAAATGAAGTTTTCTTTGTCTGGATGTACTTTAGATGTCAAATTGCACCTCGCTCATGTTGAACTTGCACCTTCAGTACATGGGCTCCAACACTTATTAACCCACGAATTTTGTCTTTCTTGATACAGGACGCACTAGGTATAGGCCCTTAATTGTGTCAGTAAAGACCCTCACCCATGCCCCACTTCATTGTGTGGTGTTGTTCACTTGCTTCCTATAACACAGTCCTGGATGTTCTCCCATACATGTTCCCAGTGTCTACTCGTACGTCACCACTTACCAAAAAACTCATCTGGGTAGTCATGACCACAAAAGTCTTCACGTTAGTTGCCAAGATACAGTCAGTGTAAAAAGACGGATACTATCTGTACTGAGAACTGACACTTCCGGCGCTGATTACGTGTGTCATTCTTCCCTCCCTTGGTCAGATTCCATGACTATAGGCTATACGGGTCTGCCTGTACTGTATTATAAGCGAGCCACCACTCACCTAAAAGGTACACGAACTATAGGTAAGAGGTGTTTGGGAGTGAACAAAAACTACTGAACCTTCTCCCCCTCCTCCTCCTCCCTACTTTTCATCCTCTGCCTCCCTCTACGTTATCCTCCTCCTTCTTTCCCTCTCTCCATCCTTCCCTCCCCCTCCTCCCTCTCCCCCCTCCCTCCCTCCTCCTCCCCTCCTTTCCCCCTCTTCTCACTCTCACTCCCTCGGCAGCAGAAGAACCGGGTGCAGGAGAGCTTGGACATCTTCGAAGACCTGCTGGGGTATCCGCCCTTCGAGACCACCCCAGTTATTCTTCTCCTCAACAAGTCGGATATATTTCGCTCTAAGATCCAGTATCACGCCCTCAGAGACTACTTTCCTGAGTATGACGGTAAGTATGACCTGGTATACTGCACAGGGAGATCTAGGGTGACTGAGTGTGACCTGGTATACTGCAAAGGGAGATCTAGGGTGACTGAGTGTGACCTGGTATACTGTACAGGGAGATGTAGGGTGACTGAGTGTGACCTGGTATACTGTACAGGGAGATCTAGGGTGACTGAGTGTGACCTGGTATGCTGCACAGGGAGATGTAGGGTGACTGAGTGTGACCTGGTATGCTGCACAGGGAGATCCAGTATGATGAGTATGAGCTGGTTTAGGGATAATATGACCTAGGATACTACTCTGAAAGGTCAAGTAGTATGAGGAGTATGATCTGCTATAATGTAAGTATGAAGGTACTATGAACTAATCTAAGACGTATGCAAATAGTATGAAATAAGTATGATGAAGCATACTACACCACATACCATCCAGTATGAATGAGAATATGATATAGTATGTGGTATGAACTGGTATGATATGATATATTTAGCAGGAAAATGTGTTATGGTGAGTATGATTGAGCACGATATATTCCCGTGTATGATCAGGTATACTATACAGGAAAGTCAAGTATGATTGAGTATACTTGTTATGTAAGGTGAGTATAATTTTCATTGGGTCTGAGAATAAAGAGAGAAAGAGAGAGAGAGAGGAGTAAGAAGAGAGAGAAATGGAGGAGTAAGAAGAGAAAGGGGAATAAGAAGACAGAGAGAGAGAGAGATAAAAGAAGAGGGAGAGATGAGTAAGAAGAGGGAGAGAGAAAGAGAGGAGTAAGAAGAGAGGGAGAGAGGAGTGAGAAGAGAGGAGAGAGAGAGGGAGAGAGGAAGAGGGGGAGAGAGGAGTGAAGAAGAGAGGGAGAGAGGAGTGAGAGAGGGAGAGAGGAGTAAGAAGAGGGGGGGGGCAGGCTAGGCTTCTTAGGGTGTAAGCAGTGAGGTGTTGGTTTGCCTTCTACATTAAAGCAGATCCACTGATATATCTCTCAGGACAATACGAGTCTGCATGCATCTTTTAACACAGCATGAAACACACGAAACACAGTATGCAACACCTTAACACAGCATGAAGCACACGAAACACAGTATGCAACACCTTAACACAGCATGAAGCACACAAAACACAGTATGCAACACCTTAACACAGCATGAAGCACACAAAACACAGTATGCAACACCTTAACACAGCATGAAGCACACAAAACACAGTATGCAACACCTTAACACAGCATGAAACACACACAGCACAGCATGCAACACCTTAACACAGCATGAAGCACACGAAACACAGTATGCAACACCTTAACACAGCATGAAGCACACAAAACACAGTATGCAACACCTTAACACAGCATGAAGCACACGAAACACAGTATGCAACACCTTAACACAGCATGAAGCACACAAAACACAGTATGCAACACCTTAACACAGCATGAAGCACACAAAACACAGTATGCAACACCTTAACACAGCATGAAGCACACAAAACACAGTATGCTACACCTTAACACAGCATGAAGCACACTAAACACAGTATGCAACACCTTAACACAGCATGAAACACACTAAACACAGTATGCAACACCTTAACACAGCATGAAGCACACGAAACACAGTATGCAACACCTTAACACAGCATGAAACACACTAAACACAGTATGCAACACCTTAACACAGCATGAAACACACGAAACACAGTATGCAACACCTTAACACAGCATGAAGCACACAAAACACAGTATGCTACACCTTAACACAGCATGAAGCACACTAAACACAGTATGCAACACCTTAACACAGCATGAAACACACTAAACACAGTATGCAACACCTTAACACAGCATGAAGCACACGAAACACAGTATGCAACACCTTAACACAGCATGAAACACACGAAACACAGTATGCAACACCTTAACACAGCATGAAACACACGAAACACAGTATGCAACACCTTAACACAGCATGAAGCACACGAAACACAGTATGCAACACCTTAACACAGCATGAAGCACACGAAACACAGTATGCAACACCTTTAGACAACATGCAACACCTTAACACAACATACACCACATAACCCAACATACACCACATATACCCAACATACACCACTTAACACAACATACACCACATAACACAACATACACCACATAACCCATCATACACCACATAGCCCAACATACACCACATAACACAACATACACCACATAACCCAACATACACCACTTAACACAACATACACCACATAACACAACATACACCACATAACCCATCATACACCACATAGCCCAACATACACCACATAACACAACATACACCACATAACACAACATACACCACATACATACACCACATAGCCCAACATACACCACATAACACATACACCACAATAACACAACATACACCACATAACCCAACATACACCACATATACCCAACATACACCACTTAACACAACATACACCACATAACACAACATACACCACATAACCCATCATACACCACATAGCCCAACATACACCACATAACACAACATACACCACATAACCCATCATACACCACATAACCCAACATACACCACATAACACAACATACACCACATAGCCCAACATACACCACATAGCCCAACATACACCCCATAACCCAGCACACGGCCCTTATAATACACCACGCAATAGAGCTTTGGACTTTCCTGATAGAATCCAGGTGTCGCTAAACCAGTGATAAGAGCCAAGATATGACAGAGATAAGGACGTGGGGAGCAGACCGGAGGTGTAGTGAATCCCTACCTTGTGTACACCCACCTTGATATAACAGTGGGTTGGTTTACAGTACATGGTCTCTCTCTTTCTATGGCATTGATAAGCAGTGGAATTGTGTTGTTATATTAATAATAATAATAATATCCAATAGAGATGGGGTCAATTCATTTTGTCAGTTCAATTCAATTCCAATTCAGAATAAAATTTGAATTAATCAATTCCAATTCAATTCAATTCATTCGTAAAAAAGAAATCTTCAATTCTGATTCAATTCAATTTACAAGCTTTTCAATTCCAATTCAATTCAATTCATTATGGTCGATATTTCATTCAATTCAATTCAAATGCTTTTCAATTCAAAATCAATTCTAATCTACCATTAATCTAATGGAAAGAAATAAAAGTTCGAGGTTTCAAATTAACTTCTTTATTTTTTTATAAAAAATGCTCTACCACATAAACCAATCACATTCTTTACCAACCAAAAGTTCAAATGGTTTACTTCTTTGTATTAGTAAACAAAATATGAATGAGTCCAAGTTACTGAGGATTGCATCTGATCATCATAAGTTCCTCAAATCTTTTATCACTTGCACCTCTCTGGCCTGAAGAGCTTGCCAGCAATGGAGAACAGTCGTTCCACAGGAGCCGATGTAGCAGGAATGGTCAGGTACTTTGCTGCAAGTCTGGTGAGGACAGGAAACTCAGGCTGCTTGGCCTTCCAGTAGCCAAGGGGATCACCATCTTCCTGTAGACATGACTGGTTGAGGTAGAGTGAGACCTCAGTGATGGAGTTGGTCTTGGTGTAGAAGACCGGTTGGCCAGGGCAAAGAACTTGTTCCTCTTCATCGGTGGTGGTTCAGCTGGGGAAGTGTCTGTTGTTGTAGGATCAACACTGCCTGCCATATTGTATTTCACAGTCAGACGGTCACGAATGTCTTGCACCTCATTTTCATAGTCATGACAGTGTAATATATTATTTTATCAATCCATTACATCAATTCATATCAATTCACATCAATTCATATCAATTCATTGATCTCAATTCCAATTCAATTGAATTAATTTTAATTTTGTATTTTTTCAATTCCAATTCACGATTTTTTTAATAAATTCCAATTCAATTCATAATTTACCCCATGTGTGGGAATGGGTTTTTTTCTTTTAGCAGTCAGTATGTGGTTGTGTTGATCTGAATGTGGTTGTGTTGAGAGGCCAATTTGTGCTCGGGAGATCTCAAGTGGCAGCAGGTGGCGGTGGCGAGGACGGTGTAGTAACTTGGTCTCAAACTGTCTAAGAAGGCGTGAAAATTGTCTTGTACGCCCTCTTCTGAACTCTCGTGTGTGTGTGTGTGTGTGTGTGTGTGTGTGTGTTGTGGGTGTGTGTATTTAATCAAAGGCATAGGAAACGGGGGATTAGGGGGTCCACCTTTAATGTGATCAAGATTGTTAGTAATAATCTTCCCCAGGTTTAGAGAGATGAATATAGATATCCTCTACTTTCCATTTTCCTTTTACAGTTCATCATCCTATTTGGAGTCAGTTTGCTGTGTTATTTTTTTTTGTTATATTACTTTGCCCTTCTGTTGATCCTAACTCCACAGTGTTCACTTCCCAGACCAGTTCTTCCTTCCCAATTCTCCCTAACCAAACTCCATTTGACATTCTGTTCCTCTGCAGGCCCTGACGGAGACGAAATCGAGGGTCGTGATTTCATCTCCAGGCTGTACGAGAAGTTGGCCGTCCGTCACCGTCGTCACTTCGTGGCCCGCTTCACCGAGGCCACCAACACCGAGAACTTCAGGGCCATCTTCACCTTCATCAGGAGCACCGTCAGCAGAAACATGATGGGTAGAGGGGGGCTCTGCTAACGCCAACATAATAATATTATAGTAGGGAGATTCTGAGACCACAGTCAATAATCTTAAGCGTCGTGAGATATGACAGACTGAATGTAATGTAGTGACATTGTTGTAAAAGAGTCTGCCAAAAAAAGTGAAGCTGAAAAATTTTGGGCAACGAGAAGGTGAATGTGTAAGAGAAACAAAAGATTACTGAATGGGAGTGTGCACAAAGGTGACCGCAGGGAGAACTGCCAAAATTTGTGATACAAGGTAGACACGGACGACATTGTATCCATTGAGAATATCGAAAAGCTTACACAAAACCCCCTGAGTCCATGATATGAAAAGAACATTTGTAGTGTTGTATCGCTGAATACGAACAACATTGCATTAAATTCTTGATGGGGTTGGCGTCATGTGCTTCCCGATATGTTTGTTCTCTGCTTGACGGAACCACGAATCTTCAAGACATCATGGAATCAGAGAAAAAACATTTCCCCCACAAGGTCCCCGCCCCTGACTGGGGATGTAGGTAGTACAGTAAACGTATTTTGTCTTGATCATTTTTCGAAGCAAATTGGACGCCTGTGTTGGTTTGATAGAGGCTCCTTACTCTCAGCAAAATACAGATTTTAAAAAACTCAATGATCAATATGAAAGATTTAATATTTCGTTTGGTCACCAAGATACAGTTGTCGATGTATCTATGGTTAACACCTGTTGAATTTCCTCTTTGTAAAACACATTTACCTGGTGGTTATTAAATGACTTGTCCATAATACCTCACATAGGATGTCTTACAGTGTTGTTTGTATTTTAATGATATGTTGGAGATAGATTCACTAAAGTTCGCACGATGAATGTTACTTGTAATTGAAGTTGTTAGAACACAACAAACTGGTTGACGTAAGTTAAAACACAAAAACATCACCCAAAAATAGCTTTAAAAATTAACCAGAAGTTCTACTTTAATTACAGGATGTTTTTTGAAAATCTAGAACCTTAATTTTGGCCATAATAATGTCTCTTACTTATGTAAATATAACCTATCTTATCTTTAATGTTATTTTTACATGGCAATATTACGTGGCAGCTTATGTCAACCACCTAGGTACATTCTTATAAATATCTTCACTTTCGAGTTACATTTATCCTTAGAAGGTATATTTCGTTAGAACTTTTGTGAATCCAAAACCTGGTTGGTAATACTGAAGGATATTACTTTTCGTGGGGGTTGATATTCATGATCAGTATCTCGGTAGGTATGGTACTACTGATGAATGTTTTGGGATACCTTGCATGTGAGGGTTAGTATTGGTATATAAGTGTAGGAAATTTGCTTTGATAGTGTTTTTTGTGGACTTGTCTGAGAGTGTCAAGATAAGATGAGAACAGCTAGTCCAACCGTCCAAGATTCAAGTATATGACTGTCTCTCTTTAGTAACAAAGATGGAGGCCTGATTGACGTCGAAATCGCAGACATTCCTGTGATCAGAATTGTTTTAATTTTTTATTATTATTCCAAGTTAAGAGATAATGAACCATAGAGGCCAGATGCCACCACCAAAATCTGAGATATACATTGTTATATTTTGAGCTTTTATCTCGTGTCCAGTCTAATGTAACGTGGCATAAGGTACAGTACTTTAATTTCGTCTATTAATTTTCTGCAATTGACCAACCGCCCGATCTATATAAATAAGCTGACAATTAGCTAAGAAAGTGTAACAGATATCTTAGCCTTTAAAAAATCATCCAGTGTTTTAAGTTTGATTCGTTGTACTATTCTCACACTCAAGAACGAATACAGTTATTAAACTTAAAAGAAGAAAAATGATTATTAGAGTGGCGATAAGAAGATGGCCTGGGAAGTTGGTCGCTTATATGACAAAAATCAAGGTACACTTCTCTTACCTTTATCTTATCCTAACCTCGGCCACGCCTGACCTTCCTCTGTCTTGACATTTGAGTCATATTTTAAGAAATTTAGAGACTGTTATGTTGAATTTTCTTTTAACTTAAGGTGTGAAAACGACTCTACCTGGCTCACCTAAGCAACGCCACGAAGAGGACAACCAAAATTGCGTCAACGTTGCACTGAGACTACCGTAACTAAACACGTTCTCTCGTCCTTATTGTCAGTGGAATATAATTAACGCACGAAATTATAAGGTAAACTTTGGACAAAGATTCTCAAAAGGTTGAGTTTTCCCTCTGAAACGAAGATGTAAGACGGTACTAAACCACTTAACTGGCTGACTTAAACTAAAACATACACGTAACCTATACTGTACAAACTCTACCTTAACTAGATACGTTTACTTAGTAGTATTTATGTGACAAATTTAATGTGCAGATTCATGCAAGCTGTCAAGAGACAATTTGTTGCTATTTTTTAAAAGTTGGGGACATATTGATATTTGTTATGATTTGCATTGTGGATCTTTTCTGTTATGGCGGCTAATGGTATCATGTTCCCTTTTTAAAGAATCATAACTAACCTAACTCAATCTGCTATCAAACCTAACCAAACCAAACCCGATATGCTATCAAACCTAACCTAATATGCTATCAAACCATACCTAACTAACCTGAATTATATTGGACAATTGTTAGGTCTGATTGGTTCGTTTTGCCTGTTTAAAAAGAGGGTTTCTAAGATTTTCAACACATATGCAACTTAGAAATTGCAGAGCTTAAGACAGATATGAATATTTCTTGAATGCTCTTGTAGAGTGAAGGTAGCCTAGTTGTCTAAAAATCGATTGTAATGTTTATTTTAATTCCCAAATGTTCATACATCATCATTTACGGGAATAATTATTTTACAACCTCTTGGAGATATACAAAGCCTGTGCAGGTTATGTTCAGTCAAAGTAGTGGTATTCAGTTTCTATGTTCGACCAGCTTTTGCATTACTAAATGATTTAGAAGCTGACGAGAGGAAGACATAATAGTGATAATTTTTTTTCAGAAAAAATCAAACGAGAATTCACTATACTTATGACATTTTATTGAGGTATAAATTTGATTTTCTTTTTAATTTTATGCAGCAACCAAAAAGATTAAAATAAATATCTTAGAGATGCAGTATGTTTGTGTGTGGAGTTTAGAGGTTGGCTTAAAGGTCAATTCTAGCTTCTTTAGTTTTTCAGTAATTTATTGGTGATTGCCATAATGGTGGGTAAAAAAATAGGTAACTATTTTAAAATTAACTTGCATGACTGGAGTTTGACATTATGAAATATGGTTAATTTGTACGGTGAAGTAAAAATGGCCGTTGTCTCTTCCGGTGACGTCACACTTGGCAGCCCAAAAAGATGGCGATGTTTCTGTCACTATTACTTCCACATATTTTCTAGATTTATTTCATATAAAAATACGCTATTAATAACAAGCCTGACACCTATTGACTTATGTCAGCTAAGTAATTTTCTTCTGGAGTTGCCCTTTAAGTTACTTTACACAGACCACACTTTAAATTTTAAGAAAGATTTTATAAATTCATTGTTGTTACGTATTTAGGGCCTACAACGGCCTTAGAACATCGTTCAGCTATAGGTCAGTTTCTACACTAAATAACTTCGACAAAAAATAATAATAATGATTACTATTTTAACCTCAAACTTAATATACCGAGGAAACCAATGTACCGATGTGTCCTTCAAGTGAATTATAATATAAATTGAAGGACTTTATATCAAATACTGTTAATTTTTTTTCAGATTGTACAGTATACTTGATAATTTTGTACAGTATATAGCTTGTTCTATGTAGGTGAAGCTATGACTTCTGATTACTTTTTTAAAAGTTTTTATTAGATAATGAAAAGTAGTTGTTTTATTTCCATAACATCTGTTTTAGATGTGTATATAATTCATTCATTTAGTTCAATAGACCAAAAATTCTTTGTCCATTTTTTAACAAAACCAACCAAGCTTTTATTCTGGTCTTCGTTTCTTTCAGCATTTTCAGTATACGTATGTAATTTTTGTCAGGTTGAAAATTTTCTGTCACTACTCAACGCCAACCACTCTCCATTCATCTGTTTTTATTCCTGGTTCAGTATAAGATTTTCAGATTCATGAGACAGTTTTTTCTTCCATGACAAAATTGTGTAGAGCTTCAATAATACGAGCTATCTCGCTTCAATTCCCTTGACTATTTTTTTTGTCTCCTGGTCGCTGGTGGGGAGGTAAACGCACTAGCTTCCCGACCTTAACACTAATTTTTGCTCGAGTCTCGACAACAGAACCAAAGTCAAATTAAACTAGCGTTTTAGTCTTTGATTAGTGATGATACATATTTATGGGAAGTTTCGTTAATAATTATATATATCCATGACAAAAATAGCAACCAAAATTACCATAGAAACTTGATTGAGACTAAATAAATACCCTCCTCACCTAGTATCAGTTAGAAGAAAATTTAGGCACAGTATTTTCCAAAAGATTCTTCATATATATTGTATATACACACACGAAACTGATCACCATCCATTACAAGAACGTCCTGGAGACAGCATTGTCGTCTGGTTGGCAAAATTGGTGATGATGACAGTGGCCACTCGTCAGGTCATTAAGGGATAGTATATTAAAGGAGATGCCGCCACCTACTGTCAATGAGACACCACCGCTGATGTGGGGCCCTATTTTTTATGTGAAGGCAACAGGTATCTATAAAAAAAGAAAAATACAGGTTCAGTGCTTCATACGATAGAGAAAACGGTGGTATTAATTAACTGGTTACTTTTGGTCATATACATAAACAACAGGAACAAATGGAACTGGCACTATTTGGTTAATTAGCCCGCAATGAATTGGGTATTGTGAGTTCGCTTCAGTTTTTTGGACCACGCTGATTGGAACAATTTTCCTACAGAGTGAATCAATGGCTGCGGTTAAAGTTACAATGAAAGTATCATGAAATATTTATAACTGGTGATTGAAGAGGAGCATCCACAGTGCGTAGGTTCTGTCGACCTCTGGCCGTGTCTGTCACCTGGCGCACACAGAGTCTCATAATTCTTCTGAGTCCATTGAATGTCTCGGTCAATAAAAGAAAGATTTGGAGTTGTTTTTGTGAAGTATGTGTTCTATATTGGATCAAAACTCAAAGGGTTTCTAAATCTAGTAAGATAAGCAACACAAACTCAACCTACGTCATATTCACCACAGTAATTGTTGTACACCTACAATTGTAGTGTATGATGTGTACTGTGTATGCATGTGTACAAATAAGTATATTTGCACATTTATGTATGAATAGAGACTATTTACCTACGCTCATTTAAACACGTTTTAATTTTTCTATTGAATAATTTATTAACATCAAAATAGAGTATTATTTAGGTTTAGGGTCCAAGAAAGTGATTCAGCCACGAAGAGCACTTAACAATAGTGGGGCAAATTACGATGTGCCCGACAAACTTACGTTCACCCTCAAATTGCTAGACGAATAATGTTCTACCTTTAAACAAACATTCTCTCCTTCGGGACGTCATATATACTTAAATATCTTGGACAGAATCAGAAATAATTAATCGCTATGAAATCTGATGAACGTGTTTGTGTAGCTTATCCATGCTGCCGACCATTTTTGCCTTAAAGTGGGGATGGAAGGACCACAGATGAAGAGTGGTACAGCGATAAAGTTCGTAATTTATTGTGGTATTATAGATAATGATAGAGCTTGAGGAAGAATGCTGTAATATGATTAAAAACTATCATCTATGGAGAGGAAAGGAAACAGCTAAGGAAAACAAAGGGTAAAAGGAGAGACAATTGTAATATGAAGACGTCCAACGTTCCCCGAGACGTATGTCATGTAAATTAAAATTGTTTCTGCACAGGGGCAATGTGCAGAAACAATTTTAGTTCAAATAGGAAATGTATCCGCCAGAAGTTATCAGTTTGCAGACGCCAGTTTGTTATATTTACTGGTAACTTTGTACAGTATGATTTTTTTTTTATACACGTAAATTTTATTTATATTATTTTTTTAATATTAATGGATGATGGATGTTACAAGTATAATTTTGTAAAAGTATGAAAATTGGCATTCAGGACCTCATGTGAATCGCGAATAAACAGCTGATTTGCACCGCGAGTTGAGGGAAAACTATTTTACCTGCTATTTCCAAAATTAATATTTCACAATTTCTTTTGAAGCACGGTTATAGTATTATTTTTAAAGGCAATGATAAGAAAGGTTAAAATTAACTGATATTTTGGACTGAATATAATGATTGATTTGACCTCTTCGTTATTTCCAACTTGTGGTCTAAATTTTGATACTGAATGCCGTTTTCCCTTCTTGCTAAACATTCCTTTCTACATAATGTAATTGCTTTCGCTCTCGTCTCGCTACTTCTTCAAGAACAATAACAGATAACTAGCATGCCCAGTGCTAGAATAGCCCTCTCCCTGTTGTACGCCATGTTTGTTTTATGTTGTCTTCTGGGCACGGCAAAGTTCAGTGCTCCACCAAATAAGGACACTGCTATGAACTTAAGTGTTTCAAGACGTTTACTCCGCGAACGGCATTTTGCCCGAGCATATGGATAAGTGGAATACGACCTATATTCTGTGTTGTTCTTCATACTCTACGTATTACCGTGTTTAGTGAGAACCTTTAACGTGTTCATAGTGCTGTGCTGTTGTCAAGTCATCATCCAGTGGGCACTTGGAGTGTATAAGGTAAGTAAAATAATTTAATTTTATCAAATTCAGGTTATCAAATAGGTATGTTTAAGAAGTTTGTACACTTCTGATGTGACATGTTTAACATTGACAAAAATAATAGAAAATAGGCATAAAACGAGATGGTACCAGCGATCAATGTGCACTATCGTAGCAGAGCCATACTGTAGGTATAGGTCGATACGGCTCATCGCTTAGGCAGTGGCCTAGTATTACCAAATCTGCCGTTATGCTGCAAACAGACTATGGCGTATACGGGTCTTGCAAATATTAAATGATCCTGGTCTTTAATCACTTGAAAATATTCTGGTTATACTCTAGAACAGATCGCACATTAACCAGAAACTTAGGGAATTTCTCTATAAAAAGATTAATTGTTTTTACGTCATGAAAATCATTACTTAAATTACTGGTTAACTTGCGATAATATTCCAGAGTATTACCAGTGTTTATTTAGCATTACACGAGAGCCTCGTGTTTAACCCAACATATACAGTTTATTTCTTCTTAGTCATTAATAAACAACTAGGTTTGTCAGGGCGGCGTTCAGTTGGGCAATACGCGCGTTACGTAGTACGCTAAACGTGGCAGTATTGGCAAGGTCTATCGAAGACTTTTAGTATTGCAATACCGTATTTTCCCCACGCCGTGCGAAGCAAGCGATAGCTGATAGCTCGATGTGGATTGCTTTGTAGCGAGGTTTATTTCCAAATAAAAAAGATGGCGGCGGCCACAAGCGTCTTCTCTTTTTAGTTCTGTAAATCACTTTTTACATACGATTATGTCGTAAATTGAGGTAATTTATGTAGAAACATAACTAACTAACTGTAGGTGTTGGTAACCGATATAAAAATACCAGGATGGTGGTGGTGGTGATTGTACAGCGGTAACGATTGTTTCAAACGAATCTGACGTTCAATTGTGTCGCAAATGAGCCGTTATAAAGATACGATCCCCTAATTACCGACAATTGGTGAGTCATACCTATTTAGCACTAAAAATGGTAGGATTATATAAGTAAAGAATGAGTATGAACAACAATGGCACCAATAAATAAGGAAATAATTAATAAAGGAAATGTACAAATATTTCACCCACGTGTATATATATATATATATATATATATATATATATATATATATATATATATATATATATATATATATATATATATATATATATATGTGTGTGTGTGTGATAAATCTGAATCTCTACCCGCCAGGCTTCATGACACATACCTACAGTAAGTCACACATTTAGTTAGGTGAATATTATACAGTACTGATGTGGGTGGATTATCTCGTCCGTTTTCTATGGTTACCGACAAAAGGAGGTTTTGGAAGTGGCATATTGTTTATTTCTCTTTATTTCTACGTAACAACCTCTTTGGGTACAGTGGGGAAATGTTATCACATATCACAAAACATCTTTCTATAGAACTGCACATTTTATTTGGTTATCTTTACAGTACAGTAGTGTATTAAAGAACAGAGAAAACAGCCCAAATTTCTCTTTCTCAAGTACACTCGGGGTCAAAAGTTCACCCTCTCCCAAGCTGAAGCAGTATTGCTGACAAAATCCATGACCCTTCAGGCCTTTACCCCTTAATGCATGAGTCATAAAGGCAAGCATGAACTCCGCATGCTTCCCAGTTGGGCACTGTAAACGCTTCTGCGCTTCACCTTGCACAGGATGTAAGGGGGTGCCCAATAAACCAGCCCCCTCTTGGGCAATCTGTAATCTGTAAATCGCGGACTAGATGAAATAAAACTGCACACCCGGACCAGATGAGAGTCAGGGTAAGCTCAGAGACTCATTCCTATGACTCAGTTTCACCACGGGGAGCGAACTTTTGACCGTGACTATACCCTCCTCTTTTATATGGGTGCACCTGTCTAATGTGTCATATTTAATGTTTTACCTCACTTAAAACTACAGTCGTGATCCAAAGTTCGTATCCAGAAGGGCCGGGTGACCCAACTCCGTCAAGTCCAAAATAAATGAAGTGCGTTACTCAAGACCTAAAGTGAGGTAAATATAAAGCTACTCGTATACCCATGATTCAGTATTATGTTAATTATGTTTATTTGTACTAGAGGCAATGACGTGTTTTCACAAAGAAACTCGTACACTTAGGTTATGAATGGTTAGGCCATGTACTGTATGTATGGTAAGAGGCGTAATTATATATACAGTGTTGTTATATTTACTGTGACTCAGTAGACAGTGAGGGTGACCTGATCGCAGCTGCGTTAAGTGACTGAATTCTGTTATTTCTCCGGAAACGCTCCATGGTGTGTAACAACCTCGGGATGTAAGACAAATGTAGTGAGAACCCATGTATATATAAATTAATGAATATAAAATATTTACATTTATGGAGTTAGATACATTGGCATATATTCCCACATGAATGCGTGCACACTTCAACACGCGTGCGCAAACTTACATATTAACTTATGTACAGTATGTATAAAGGTACAATATGTGGGTATATAGACACACACAGTGACCTGCACTACTCCGTGTTGTCTGGGCATCACTCTGAAGGTTCTCTTCTTTGTAAATGTCACCAAGTCAAGCCAGAGTATTGCGCCATCACCTTGTTGTTATTTTTGACGCCCACTATTGAGATAACAGAAGCTACAGCAGTTAAAGATTCTCTTAACATTTATACTTTCCGAGTATAACTGAACACTAAACATACATTGCCAGGGTGATACGTTCTATGAGACTAATCAATAAAATAGGAGTCATATAAAAAATGGATATATTTCCCAGGTGAACTGTAGTGAGGAAGGCGCAATGTTTGTGTTCAGTCTTTACAGTGGAGGAGGTGTACAGCAGTGACACTCAGTGTTCCAGATCCGAGTTGCTGTCAATAATGCCATGCATCTCTACATAGCTACTCTCGGGCGCCAGTCCATCCCGGTTCTTCTCCCACATCTTCTGCTTCTCTTCCAGGAGGGAGAGTTTCGTCTGGGCCTGGTAGCGAGGTTCAGGAAACTCACCATTAGCGTCCATATTCGTCTTGGCATCATTGCGTCGACACTTGGCGGCGGCATCCGAGGTGGCGTTGTAGCAGCTAAAAGTCTTGGGGTCGAGCTTCTGGCGTAGGCGAGTCAGGGCGTCCTCCTCGAAACTCTCATAGTTGGGACCTGGGTCACTCTTCACCTGGCCTCGCCTCTGTAGCGGGAGGTGACTGTTAATTATGAAAGGAACCTGGCCACAGAGGGTTAGTGAATTATAATTATCTGCAGCAAATAAAACCCATCTTATACAGAAAAACACTAACACCTCACTCGACCCCAAACACTACTCCTACAACAACACGATAAGCTCCACACACACACACACACTTATGATATTGGAATTAGGAGGAGTCGTCTTTAACGGCCACTAGATGGTTGTAGTGTGATTCTGGACCGGTCTGGTAGTTAAACAAAAACATGGGAAGTGACGTGACGTGACCGATGACTCAAGCTACGAAGACAAAGAATTTATGTATTTAAGCAACATCACTAACTTACGTGGGAAATTCATATGGGAAAATTTTACGGCAGTCTCCCTTACGATAGATATTCTTGAACACCTGAAGATTTGCCCCGAGCTTATTTCACTGAAGATTAATTACTCTAGCGCTAACCTAACCTAACCTAAACAACTCGTGTGGGAGGGAGGAGGAACGGGGTGAAGTTATAGCGCAGGGAGGAGAGGTCACGATAGGGAGGAGTGAATGAATGAAGGTTGTTAGATTCTACTTGTAAACACTCAACAAAAAGCTACGTCGCTGATGACAGGCAGATAGATACAGTCGGTATTTATTGAGCAAAGTCATCATAAACACATTGGTTTAACATATACAGTTCCCCAAAACGTATCGTTATCCATAGAGTCGACGTGGTTCGTGGTTTTATGAGCATTGTTATTGCCATTATCTACTATGTGGATCAAAATTTCTGGTAACACTGTTGTACAGGCAACTGCCAGAATGTTAAAAACAATCAATGCTACCTAATCTAACCTAACCTAACCTAACCTAACTTAACCTAATCTAACCTAACTCCCCCGCCAAGGTAGCGTTAGGGTGTTTTAATCGTGAGGTGAAATAATTTGGAGACTAATCTTTAAGTAAACCCAGTTAAGATATACAAACAATGGTAAAGAGTAAGTCGATGTGAGTCTGAAGTCTGAACAGAATATAAGAGGCTGTTGACAAGAGGGATGGAATAACTCGGGTATACAGACGACTGAGATAAACGTTAGTAAATTATGAGTGTGTGATTTAGACTTAGTGGCTGCCACCGAGAGCGTAAGTTCAGGGAGGTGAAGACTGTAGTAGAGAGTGACTGAAATTTATTGACAATTAGTTTGAAAGGTATTTTGGTGAGACTAATCTGTACAGAAGTAGATCTGGTAATTGTTATAGTGTTTCCTTTGCCAATAAGAGAAGACTAGAGAAGGTTCCAGCTTACTAGGGCCTTAGGTAGTGGAGGCACTGGTGGTGGGTGGTCAGGGTGTTGGTTGTGTCGGTGGCGTCTAATCACGATGACGTAAACCCAGATGGTCACCACCAATAACACTAGGAAGACGCCACCCAGGACACCCAGCAGCAGCAGCGGGTTGGACACCGTTGCGATGGCCTCATATTTGACAATATCCAGAGGGGAGCAGTCGAAGAGTAGCTTTGAGGACCCGTCCACGAAGATCACAAAGCCCTTATAGCTGTGTGTTATTTGCCACTTAGATTCCATCGTTCGGGTTAACTTCCCTATTATAACTCTCAGCCCGTTCTTATCTGGCTTTAACCAGATTCGATGTTTGAAGTATTCTACCTCAACTTCTATCCAGGAACCGTTTGTGATGTCCATCAGTTCCCAGCTGTTGAAGACAATGTTCTTCGCGGTGGTGTATGGATCCTTTTGGTTTAGTTCATTATCTACCTTCATGTGAAACATTATTTTACGAAATCCTGGTTTTGGCTGAATGAAGAATTTGTACTTCTTCATATTTATTTCCTTCAGGAATACAACCTGGTCACTGGGAGACTCCACCTCAGAGCACTTTGGTGTTACAGTTTCTCTCTTTGTTATGACTTTAGGTTTAAACACGTGGCTGGTGTCCAGTGCCGTGTCTTGGTGTGAGCCTCCTGGAGACCCGTCACCAGTGTGGAGGGATTCATCTTGATGATTTTGTGACTGGATCGTGTGATTTTCTTGAGATATTTGACTGTTTGCAAAAGAAGCACTGAGCATTACACTGCACAAGACAGCCCGCAAGTAAGACATCGTTGATGTTCAGATGTATGGTTTACTCTGGCATGGGAGAAGAACACCGCCCTACGTTGTTGTTAAAACACCTACAATGTATCACTGGAAAACAGCCTTTGGTACCACTTTGCATTCAATAGCGGGAGCCTCTGTACCCTACCGTGTGGGTGAGTAGGACTCTACTGCCTGCGTCGCGGCAGGAGTGTTGGGTCGCTGTAGCCAGCTGCAGGACGTGAGTCACACTCCCAGGCAGGAGCCGCACCTCAGGAAGACCATTGACGTAAACAAGATGAACCAAGGCCTGATTGTTTCCCGTTGTTACCTTCACCTAAGAACCTGAAATCCTCGTAAAAGTTCCCATATGGCGGTAAACTTATGACAACTTGGATCCATTATTGAACACGAGTCACACAAAAGAATTATTAGATAAAGTTTGTTTATATCTTGCCTATACTCATCGTCGGTCAGTTTTTATCGAATAAAGCTATTGGTCTTCTAGTTTAAGGGTTACACACAAATATTTTCTTGAAAAATAGCACTATATCGTACACAGACCCAGCTGCTTATACCCACAAGACACAGGGTGTGAGATAAGACACGACTCTTTATGGCTCACCTTGCTGGGCTGACCATCCATCAGTCCGTGAATGGGTGTATGTCGTGGAGGACTTGAATATATACTGTACTGCCCTGAGTCGGAAGTCTGAGAGTCCCTGACAAAGGTTTAACTAAGACAGGAAAGGATCTATTAAGCAATTAGGTACTCTAAGACAGAAATGGTTCCAGAAATCTTTAACAGGTGTGTGTGTGTGTGTAATAATAATAATAATAATAATAAACGGTTTATTAATAGAGTTGCAGCCGGTGGCTGAAAATATACGGACTTACATTTGATTTAGACATAATGATATAATATGCATTGAATACATTTACACGGCTGTACAGTACATAAACCAGGAGTTGTTTATTATTTTAACAATAGATGGGATGGTGCTGTTCTTATATCTATCGGTGCTGGCTTTTATGGGCTGAATTTTGTTGTAGTGGCGGACTGCGGGAGTTGGGTGGGGGGCTGCAGGTGGCAGGAGGTGGCGATGACGAGGGTGGTGCAGTAGTCCACTGCCAAACCTTTCCAGTGCTTGGTGGTGGAGGTCACTGAGGGATGGCATTTCCAGGGTGGAGAGAGCATTGGTGTAGCCGGAGTATTCTGCGCCGAGCATGATTCTGCAGGCCCTTTTCTGTACCTTCTCTAGCTGACGTTGTTGGGTGGAGTTGAGAGATGACCAGGCTGGTGACGCATACGTTAGTTTGAGGAGAATAAAGGCGTTGTAGATGGTCCTCAGCTCTGGCGTGGGTGTCCCAAGTGACCGAAGTCGTCGTAGCATGTAGAGACGGTACGAGGCTGCCTTCACTGTGTTATTTACATGGGCCTTCCAGTCAAGTTTGTTGTCTATAGTTACACCCAGGAGTTTGTGTGTGTGTGTGTGTGTGTGTGTAATAATAATAATAATAATTAACGGTTTATTGAAAGAGCATGGCAGCCCGATGACTGAAATTATACAGTTACATAATTGGGGAATGGGTCACTTGATTGACAAATAATATACAAGTAACATATGTGATGCAAATATGATGTATAATAACTAGGTGGGGAGAAGGTCATGCTACAGGGCATTTCAACATAGTGACAGTGCAAAAATGTAAGACTGGCTGGGAGTGAATACACTGGTTGATTACAAGTTATTTATAATTGTTACATTGGTTGGGACCGGGCTGTACTTATAGCGATCAGTACGTGCTTGAAAGGGATCTCGGGTGGAAGTAGGAGCCGGTGTCGAGGATGGTGCAGAAGCTTCTCATCAAATTTGCAGATGAGGTCGTGGTGATGATCAGAGATAACCAAGAGGGTCAGTGTGTTGAGCGCTTCTTGATATGTGGAGTAGGAAGGGGAGAGAATAATCTTGCATGCCCTCTTTTGCACTTTTTCTAGGTGTTTATGTTGTGTGGCATTTAGGGAGGAAGACCAGACAGGGGAGGCATAGGTGAGGTTGGGAAGTATGAATGTTGAATAAACACTGAGGAGCTCGGGCTTAGGAACTCCGAGGGACTTGAGTCGGCGGAGGAGGTGGAGACGAAAATTGCGTCTGTGTGGCAGGGACTTTTTACTTTTATCCTCTTCTGACAGGTTGTTCTAAGAGTTCACAAGTCTCACTACGAGAAAGTTCGCCCTCAGTTTTCTGGACTAATGACTTCTTCAGCCTTGAGCTGTGATCCCTTGTATGGGCGAGCGTTCGCCAGCTCCAGGTAAGGGCATTCGACTGAGTAGTGCCCTCTGAGATGTTTATACACCCCAATTAGGTTACCCCTTGCGGCCTTGCCTAGATTATACTACAGCTAGGCAATTGCAGACGCTCTAATCTCTCTGGATAGCTTAGGTGCCGTAGTGCAGGCACCTTTCGGGTGGCCCTCCTTTGGATATTTTCAATCAACTGACAGTACTCTCATGTCCACAAAAAAACGTAAAACTACACCGTGACGCTTCGACAATGTTACTTTCATTGGTACCAGATATCAAAATAAGTACGTTCTGTTTAATATGGCGGGAGTCCGCCCCCAGGCTAGGAAGTAAGTATGTTTCTTTGGTTGCTTAGGTCAGGTTCTCGTAAATGTCGTTTCCTTTAAAATACTTTTAGAGTATAGTGCCAGGAACTCTCACCTGTAAATACTCATAATGTTAGAGGAATTAGAGAGGGAGATAGAGAGATGGTGAGAATCAGGGTAAAAAGTCTTATTTCTATAATTACTTTATGTTATAGACAGAGAGTAAACCAGGGGTGAAAAGTCTCATTCCTCTCCTCATCTCACCATTCAGTTTTGTGGTGTAGTGGAAAGGAAGCAGGCATCCTAAGTACAGTACATCATTACACCATATTGTCTTATCACAGTATGACTCAAACCTCACATCCTTATTTCTCTTGTTCTTTTTTTTTCTTTTTTTTTTTGGGGGAACTGTCAACACGCTATTTAATCTTGATGCAACACTTGAGATTTTCACCCCCAAAAAAAATATATATATTCTTATTCAGATTTATTTATAATATATATATATATATATATATATATATATATATATATATATATATATATATATATATATATATATATATATATATATATATATATATATATATATATATATATATATATATATATATATATATATATATATATATAATTGTTCTCAGTAGTTAGGTCACTGAAGATTGCATGAAGTCACTTAGAAATATCATGTATTTCAGGCCACAACAGGAAACAGCTGTATTGTGTTGTATAAGAAATGTATCATTGTATGTTACTAAAAGTCCGGCCTGTGAACAGTGTGGTGAAGAAATACGAGTGATTGCGTCAAGCAGCTGAATAAACTTTGATCATTACGCAAACAATAAGGAATAGTGATGGTGTATGGGAAAAATAAGTACGTTTGTTTATTGTTGGGATCTCCTGAGGTTTAGACACCCCAACTTAAACACCTTCATGCTGCCTATCTATCGTTACCTCATCATCGACGCCATTGGTTAGCTTACTAGCCAATCAGGTGGTGAGTCAGTCTCTCTACTACACACTATTGACAGGTTCTGGCACTTGTATTTTTGTATAGTCGCTGGTAATGTCGTCATGAAACACGATAAGAGAACGTTTCGTCAGTCGTCCCAAGACCAAGTACCGTACTCTATATACACGACATGAAAGGTTCAAGTCCCTGTGTCAAAGGTCAAGGTTTACATTTGACGAGTGGGTTTGGTTACTGGAGCACTGCTACACCGACTCCAACAATTACCACCACACCCGACACCGAAACCGACCCCTGACACCGACCCTGGCATCGACCCTGACACCGACCCTGGCATCGACCCTGACACCGAAACCTGACATCGTCCCAGACACCGACCCTGATACCGACACTACCCACCACGACAACCTCGACACCAACCACTAATGAGCGCCCGACCGGATGTGACGTCATTGAGCTAAACATGTGATGAAAAGTTGAAAACAAAGAGAGAGACGGTGGAGCACAGAATGCCAGTTTTTACTGTGTTTAAGTTCTTCCCATCTGTCTCTCACGAAACTCAACATCCAGTACAGCAAATGTTTAACTTGAGCTGAATCTTTATTGTAATACCCCTGAAGATGTTTGTATTACGGCTATTAACATTTGAACTCTAAAGAAATATTATTGTGGTATATTTAATTGGTTCTTAGTTTAACACCTGAAAGGAAAATGGAAAGAATGAATAGCGAGTAGTAGGGAAGAGATGTAGTTCTTGATGACAGTATATATGTTAACTTTTATCCTCTCCACCACTGATCGGCTCGTTAGCCACTTGGGCGATCGGTCACGTCTCTGTTACGCACTGTTGGCAAGCACTGGGCATGCACCGGCTCCTGAATGTACCTGAACCTGCTCCAGTGTTGGTCAAGTCTGGTCTTGAAAGAGCTCACACTCGGTGCCGTCACAACACTTTCTGGTAGATTGTTCCAAGAGTTCACAACTCTCACTCCGAAAAAGTTTGCTCTCACAGTTTTCTGGACCTGCGGCTTCTTCAATCTTGAGCTGTGACCCCTTGTGGAGTAAGCATCCACCAGCTCCAAGTAAGGACACTCCCTGAATATAACCCATGTACACCCGTCCCCGTTCCTCCTCGACTCTTCCCTTCTCTGCTGCAAGTCCTGCAGGAGCTTCTTGTGCTGTTCCCTCTGCATTACCGTGCGATCTGGGTGAATGAAATACTCCGAGATGCCTCGCTCCTTGCTAAGTTTTTTGCCTGCCGAATAACCTCCCATTTCTCCTCCTCATTCACTAGTGTGATCCTGGGGGGGGGGGGGAAACTTATTCCCCTGCTTTTGTCCCAGCCTCCCACATCCTGAGGGGTTGATCAGGTAAACAACTATCAATGGTAACTCTGAAGCAGTGTGAATATAGCCCACTGTAGGTTAAGACTATCCGGCAGTGTGACCGGCACTGGACTCGACTGCCCATATTTCTCCCAACTGTAAAGTCACGTTATGTACCCCAGGCGCGAACCAGGATTGGAAATGAACGCTGCATCCACTTGAAAATTGCATTCCTCCTATGGGTACAATTCGTCAATAAAAATCAATTACTGTAAAAGAGACATTGTGGATTTTGTAGTTGAATTCTAGGATATTTTTCCTTAAATATTATGAGTGTTTCTTAAGACTCACTACATGTCTAGCAATGAATACGAAAAGAATAAAGTGCGGTGAGCTGACGAATGGTAGTGACATTTACGTATATCATTAGGGAAACCTTAGAATCAAGGAGCGGGAGGCAGGGGAACTGTACGACTCATACATCATTATCGCCGTCACATTCGGGACAAACGCTTCATGAATTTAGATATAACAACACCTACGTTTTAAAGTGATGATAAAAAGTAGCCACTAGTGCCTCATAGATATAGATATAACAACACCTACGTTTTGAAGTGGTGAAAAAACTGTACCCTTTATGTTAGACCATGAAAAATAGGTGGAGTGAAAGTAGTCGTGACAGATGAGAAAAACTTCACGGAAACTGATAAAGGTATCATGACTAAACATTATTAAAAAATAAATTATTCCACATGTAGTTGCCCAAGATATTTCGTCATGTTTACTGACAAGATTAACATATAGCGTGACTGAAGCATGGGTGGTGTGACTGAAGCATGGGTGGTGTACCTGAAGCATGGGTGGTGTGACTGAAGCATGGGTGATGTACCTGAAACATGGGTGGTGTGACTGAAGCATGGGTGGGGACTGAAGCATGGGTGGTGTGACTGAAGCATGGGTGATGTACCTGAAGCATGGGTGGTGTGACTGAAGCATGGGTGTGGTGTGACTGAAGCATGGTGGTGAAACTGAAAGCATGGGTGGTGTGACTGAAGCATGGGTGATGTACCTGAAGCATGCGTTGAAGTGAAGCATGGGTGGGGACTGGAAGCATGGATGGTGTGACTGAAGCATGGGTGATGCCTGAAACATGGGTGGGACAGGCATGGATGGGCAACTGAAGCATGGGTGATGTACCTGAAGCATGGTGGTGACTGAAGCATGGGTGGTGTAACTGAAGCATGGTGGTGTAACTGAAGCATGGGTGTGTATTGATTGAAGCATGGGTGGTGACTGAAGCATGGGACTGGTGTGATTGTTGGATTAGCACATGGGTGGTGACTGAAGCATGGGTGGTGTGGCTGAAGCATGGGGTGGGTGTACCTGAAGCAGCATGGTGGTGAATGAAACATGGGTGGTGTGACTGAAGCATGGGTGGTGTACCTGAAGCATAGGTGGTGACTGAAGCATGGGTGGTGTGACTGAAGCATGGATGTGATTGAAGCTAAGCACGGTGCAATCTACCTGACTATGGGTGTGACTGAACATGGTGGTGTGACTGGGCATGTGGGTGGTGGTGACTGAAGCATGGGTGGTGTGACTGAAACATGGGTGGTGTGACTGAAGCTTATGGGTGGTGTGACTGAAGCATGGGTGGTGTGACTGAAACATGGGTGGTGTGACTGAAGCATGGGTGGTGTGACTGAAGCGCCGTGGTGTGACTGAAGCATGGGTGGTGTGACTGAAGAACGGGTGGTGTGCTGGGGGTGTGACTGAAACATGGGTGGTGTGATTGAAGCTGGGTGGTGTGACTGGCAGGGTGGTGACTGAAGTATGGGTGGTTTGACTGAAGCGTGGGTGATGTGACTGAAGTATGGGTGGTGTGACTGAAACATGGGTGGTTTGACTGAAGCGTGGGTGATGTGACTGAAGTATGGGTGGTGTGACTGAAACATGGGTGGTGTGACTGAAGCATGGGTGGTGTGACTGAAGCATGGGTGGTGTGACTGAAGCATGGGTGGTGTGACTAGGAGGAGGGACAAAGATCTAGACAGAGGGGAGGGCAAATGAGGAGAGAGGGGGACACATTGACTTGGGAGGGGAACATAGAGTACCTCGTCCCTCCCCTGGGAGTGCCATACACCACAAAGTGGAACCCTTTCATAACCTGAGGGATGCCTGTACAGGTATATAAAAAGTTATATCACTAAATAAAAACCAATACAAATGAAAGTTCAGGAACTCACTTCATATGAATATGGATTATATTATTTGATGAATACATACACATGCATACAGTATCAATTTCTTCTAGGTGAAGGTAAATTACTGGTAAGCTATCATTTTTAAAGCCATTTCCTATTTAAAGATGAAGGCATCCTCATAAACAAGAATGGTTTCCTTATTTAAAGCACCTCAGCTATCCAGAGAGATTAGAGCACCTATACTACAGATGGGCAAGGGGTGACCTAATTGAGGTGTATAAACATCTCAGTTGAGTGTCCATACCCGGAGCTGGCAGATGCCCGCCCCACAGCTCAAGGTTGAAGAAGCCACATGTCCAGAAAACTGTGAGGGTAAACTTTCTTGGAATGAAAATTGTGAATTCTTGGAACAACTTGTCAGAGAGTGTTGTGACGGTGCTGAGTGTGAGCTGTTTTAAGACCAGACTTGACCAACACTGGAGCAGGTTCAGATACATTCAGGAGCCAGTGCAGGCCCAGTATAGTACTTGCCAACAATGTGTAACAAAAATGTGACCGACTGCCCAAGCAGCTAGTGAACTGATCAGTGGCAAAAAGGATAAAAATAAAAGTAAAAGTAATGAAGACACAAACTTTACTCATATGAAGCAGAAAAATACAACCTCCTGTCCCAGCTCTGGAACAAAACCTGGTTTCATGCAATACCAATGTTGAGCACTACACATTTCAAGGCAATGCTCATTATATTGGTGAGATCACAACAAATCTGGTAAGACACTGGCTACAAATAACAGTTAATGCATGGGAAGCAAAGGTAATTGATAATGAATAAAAGTTTCAATGTAAAAAGTATAAGAATTCTTTCTAATTTGAAATTCCTCAAAGATTTTCAGTGCCCTCTGGAGGACTGAACAAAAAAAAAAGATAAACAATATCAAGAAAGTTTGCCAATTATTTTCTTTCCAAGCATTTTGTTTTAGTTCAAACTTTATATAAATTACTGACATACTTAACTCAGTTAGAGAGTACAGTACACTTGTTTATCTAAACTATATACTGTACCATTCCTAACTAAAGGTATGGTATGTAATTCCACAAAGTTTCATGTAACATGTTACAGTGTACTTACGATAAGAAAAAAAATTATAATTGCAGTCATCCTAAGGCGATGTTATGTTAAACATCATGGATGTGGTTTGCAACACAGCCTATGGGTTACACATGTAGCACGTTGCTCAGTACTGTACATGGATTTACCTGTGAAATTTTCATCTCCATTTTCATATGAGATCCTTATCTGCAGTGGCAAATTCCCAAGACATTTCGACTACAGACTCAAACTATTTTTTCACAGTACTGTATCCATTCCCCGCCGTTATCGACTATACTCTACTACTGCACTAATCTATCAATATCACATATCCATTTAGGATAATGTCTCAATGTCTCTTTACAAAGGCATCTTCTCCACACATATTTCTCATCCCTTAATTCTTAACCATGTCAGTTCTCTTAACTTCTATTACATTTCTTGTTTTTATTTCTTGTAATCTCACTCTTGATGTCATCCATACTGTATTTGAAGCTTTCAGTATTATATCCACAAAGAAGGATTGGACCAAACTCTTCATGCAGGCTTCTAGCACAATCCCCACTTGGATTTTTCCCATTCACTAAACTGTACAAAGGGCCTTTTAACTTTTCTCCATGAAGTACTTAATCTTTTAAGAGTAACATAAATATTTGTTTGTACTTTAGTAACATTATCCAAAACAACAATGTTCACCTCTTCCAAATACAGTATATACAGTGCAATATACTTTATTATATATAGTACAGTATAATGTTACACTAAATCGAAAATAAGACAAGATGACAACTGTAAAAGTATTTAATCACTTTACTGAAACTAGGACAACTTGTGAATTCACAACTAACCCTTCAACATGGTGTCCTCAAAACATAAAATTACTGTTTTATAGACAGTATACAGCACCTGTATCTCCTAAAGACTGCAACATACTGTCACCTGGAAAAAATAAATTCAATACAAAAGTGCAACTTCTCATGGTACTGTAAACAACCAAACTGAAAATGAGAACTTCCAAGAAGCGCACAAAATCTTTGTGAAGAAACAAAATAATAATTTTCTCAGGTAAAAATGATTCAATAGCTACCAGACCCCAATCCTCACAAGCCACAGAACATGTAACTCAACTTTTACTGAACAGTTGTTTATACAAAGTACAATTTAACTATCAATATTCATGTTATGTATAGTACACTACAGTGGCACAGCACTTGATTCCTTTGCTTCTGTCAGCGCTCTGGGTTTGTGGTATAGTACAGCTAGCTTGACGCCCTGGGGGGAAAAGTACTATATGAGAATACATATATGAAATTTGAAGTAGCCATTCGCACACTATATTTAACGGGTGTCTCATACATAAAGCACTCATATGAGTAATGTTTATGGGTGTTTTGCAACTGATCAGTGTGGAGCATCTGGCTTTCTGTACATGAAAACTGGTATTAAGCTGACTCTTTCCTCTAGTGTTCATAGGATGTGTGACCTATGAGACACCCTGTGAGATAATAGTACATGTTACATTAAGTCAGAGTGTACTGCCCTCAGGGCACAGTCGCCAGCCAATCAGTGCTGACTCATGCAGCTAGTACATATGACCAATGGGATGATTGTCATATTCCTATGAGTCCATTTGACCAAAGGGAAGACTACTTAAGTCCCACAGTGCCCAAGCAGCTGCCCTTATAAGGACAGTCCACGCCAGGACAACGTACTCTTTTTACTGGACTTCTGCTCCACCTGGAACACCAGCGTTGCCTCGCCGATGTCTCAAGACTCCAGTGCTAACTATGGTGTCCTTCCACTACTGTAACATTTCTTCTGGAACTTCAGACAAATAAACTTGTGAACTATTCAGTCACGATTTCAAAAGTCATATTCCTATAAGGTAAATGTCCCGTACCTGTAGTTACCGGTGAGTGGACAATGTCCGATATCAAATGGGTAAATTAAGTTTAATCTGGCAAAAATACTGTACATTGTTAAATGTTATGCACTAATCATTTACCTACCTTATTAACTTTAATGGCCATCCACTAGAGGTGACCATGCCAAGGCTTATCAAAGGCAAAAATATGCAATGGTATGAAAGAAAAGATGAGAAATTTATAACTTTTGGCTGCTCCTCACATCTTCTGGATCAAGATATGCAGATCAAGGATGGCAGAGAGTAGACCACCCAAGTTATCAGATAATGTACTGTACTCCAGGAATTATCATATCCCTGGATCCTTGTATAAATCATCAGGAGGGCTGGGATACAGAGGCCGGTTCCTTTGAGTCATACCTAAAGAACTGGCATCATCATCATTGCTTTCTGGCAATTTTCTGTGCTTGTGTGGGTTAGCCTCATTTACTACAGGTTTTACTCCATATATGCATGTGTTAAGCAAAATTATTAATCCCTTCCGAAAACATGCGATAGTCCACCTATGACAAACATGTATAGAATAAAGATTTATCAAATTAACTTTTACAGTTTACTTTTGGACAAGTACAGTTTAGCTAAATTTTTTTTAAAAGGGCATATTACTGTAACGTACCTGATGCTCGGCAGATCTGACGAATCCTCCATTAGATGTAATGGTGATGGCTCTGTGAACTTGACCAGTGCCAAAGATGATCCTAGAGAGCTCACGCACTTTTCCTCCAAGTTTCACCTTTTCCTGGAAAAAAAGAACGTGATATATATTAACTTAAGAAAAGCCAACACCAGGTGAAACTGATTTTATTGAAAATTAAAATTATTAATACTGTAATGCAATTCAATAATAAAAAGACAATAGAGCATAAGACTATTAGTGTAGTTTTACCTTCAAATAGTCTTCTCCCTCGACAATTGTTAATCTGGAAACCAACTCCTCAGCTCGAACCTTCTCACTCTCACCTCCAATGGTTTTAACAATGTCCAGGAAATGAATGACAGCCTCTCGACATGCTAACAGTTCTTTACCTGAGTCACACAAGAATAATGAATTACTATATTTTTTTGTTTTTATATTCCAAAGAAAGTGATATGTGCAAGTCCATTTACAAACTTGACTAAAGTGTTGCCATTAACATCATGTGGAGTGACCTACTGGGCACTGGTAGTAATGTTGGTGATGGTGGTAGTGTTGTTGGTGGTGATGTTGGTAGTGATGATGGTGATGCTGGTAGTGGTGGTGTTGATAGTAATGGTGGTGGTGATGTTGATAGTATTGGGTGGAGGTGATGTTGGTAGTACTGCACAGTATTGGTGGTTGTAGCTAAAGCCCAATCTTACTGTCATGATATATAGCTATTGCACAGTATATAAATTATGGAAATTAGAATAAAGAAGGCAGATTGATAGGCCAAGTACAATACAGTCTCGCTTTATGTTATTAACTATGTAATTATGTTTAGTAAGTATGGTGCAATGGTGTAGAGTAAATTTAAAAATGTTTGTATTTTGTACATAACTTTTATTTTTAGGGGGAGAGGGAAGGAAATGTTCATGAGATTTAGAAACACATTCCAAAATTTCCCTAAAGTCATTAAGTTTCATTTTTAGTGAATATGATATATTGTAATCCCCACAAAAACCAAAGGCATATTGTACTGAAGGGACATAAAACAGAATTAATAAAAGTAAATTCATCTCCAGCATTACATTCAGGTTGTGGAAATTCACACATACAGAATTTATAAATAATGACCACTAAATCTGAGATACGGAATGAAAGTTCACCGTTACGGAAATGATTTGTTTCCCCCAAAACTTCAACACTGAGAAAATAGGAAAAAAAGCATTAAAATAAATTAGATTTCATGAGGCCTTTGTTTACCAGCAAGTGTGTCAGTTTTGTTTACTTTTACAAGTGTTCACAAACCTACTTTTTTTTAATGCAGTATAATCCTAAGGTTCCTATCATTACCCGTATATCAGTTTGTGGAGTTTCTGGTTGATGTGTCATATTGCTTATGTTGGCAGTATGTAGAGCATCACATGTGTTTAACAGAGATTCTCTCCATCTTTTCTTCTGACCATTTGCTGCCATGATTTCCAGTTAGATAATTTTAAGACTAATATTATGTATCAAAATATAAAATTCTCCATTTACTATGTGCTTAAAGAGGTTTATTTTCATGTCACTTGTTTTTAGCAGCCCCCCCAACCCCACCCTCCCCCCAAAAAATCATAGGAATGCATCCACAAATCCGTATGCACTACAGCAGTGTTTAATGGGTTTCATGGGAAATTTTTTTTTTTGCATTATGGAATATCACGTAACGGACAATTTCTCAAGAACGCAAACCTTCTATAACGTGGAGATGCCTGTATAAAACTTTACTAACCTTTAAAGTAACCATTAAGAGTTTCTTTAACTGGATTCTTTCTTTCACACACGGCTTGTTCAGCAAGGAATTTATCCTTAAATACAAAATTGGCTCGACCATTTGCTGTTGCTGACACATAAGCAATCATGGCTGTAACATCAAGGTTGACTTTATCTATTGTCTCTTCCTTATCAGCATGACTCTGGCTTTTTGTATATTGTCCAGAAAAATATTCTTTCTCACTTTCCAAAACTTCACTAGAAATTATTTTTTGGGTATGATCTGGTTTTGACTTGAGATCTGCCTCTTCTAGTGAAAAGATGTCGAGTGTGTTATTTTCTTGTCCAACATAACCCATACTAACAATGTTCATAATTTCATTTGTAATGTTCTTTTCAATTACAGTTTTGTCTACTCTGTTTCTGGCCATCACCTTGACTTTGTTTTCCTCTTCACTGTCACTTGAGTATTCATAACCAGAAGAAGAGTCCTCATTCTCTGTCTCGGAGTCCTCCTCACTCTCTACCTCAGAGTCCTCCTCACTCTCTACCTCAGAGTCCTCCTCACTCTCTAATTCAGAGTCCTCACTATCTACCTCAGAGTCCTCCTCACTCTCTACCTCCGAGTCCTCCTCACTCTCTACCTCAGAGTCCTCACTTTCTGCCTCAGAGTCTTCTCCAAAATAGTCTGGCAGCCCTAATTCATGGTCAGGTATTTTCTTCCCCTTTACTTCCACACCTTTTTCTTCAAGATCGTTTGCCAAACTCTCACTCACTCCACCACAGAACCAAAACACCACCTGAAATATAAAAATACAGTAAAATTAGTGCAATATCTAAAATAAAGCATTTAAATTGTGCTGAACATACTGATGGAATTTGACTTGAATAACATCATTTTCAGTAGCTTGTGCACACCCTCATCTAGATACTGTGGTCAGTGTATATGTTGTCCACTACTGTCTAGTTAAGCACACTGAGAGTCCCTTAACCCTTAAACAGCAGCAAACATCAGTGGAAATTAGCTGTAGAGATGACAGCCATCAACAGTGGAAGTTTTATGTTCCATGCATTCCATTTTTGAGCTCATGCAGAGAGTTGGGAGTAGGGAATCCTTAGCCATGGGTTAAAGGCCAATTTCAAAATTATTTTTGTGTATCACAAGTACAGTACCATGTTAAATAGTCCTACTGATATACCTCAAATGATAAAATGGAAAATTTGTTTCCCTTTACTGAGTTTCAAGCTTGATAATTTTTCAAGAAAGCATCCCTTATGTAAGGCGGGGAATTCCTGCAAGTGTATATGTTCTTCGTTTCATTCTTCAGCAGTTAGTCTAAATTGGAAAATTCAGGCAAATTCAGTATACCTGTATGAGCAAAGCCAAAGCCCCAACTGTAGTATGCTAAATTATCAAGAGTTTAAGGTACAGTAATTCCCACATAGTCAAAGCATGATAAACTGGCATCTTAACCTTGATATGAACACCTAAGTAATTTACAGTAATTAGCACAGGGATTCTGTGAAGAAGAGATTCCTGTCAAGTTTTAAGACACACAGTATTAGCAGTGAGAAGTACATCCTTGTTAACAATTTTACCTGAAGCAAATAATGAACCTTCGATACAGTATTGTAATAATAGTAATTATTACAAACACAATGTATTACTTTACTAAATATATTGCATCTTACAGAACATACAGTACAGTACTTCATTGCACATTTCCGTGTCACTACATCATGTACATTAAATATTTACCACAAGAGAGGCTGTGCACATTGAAATTTATGAGAATAATTTCTGCTTAACGGGATATTATCCCTGATCTTATTATCTGTGGATTACCCCGTTACATAGAAATTCTATTAACTAACAAGTTTCTCTATATTTCACATATTGTACTATTTTGTACTTAAATAATATCTTTGTTTCGGTACTACTTACCTGTGGGTTTGAATAAAAAACAGGGTGTTTCTGTGCACATATTATGAAGTCCTCTGCAACTTCATCTAGGGGTTTAACACCATTTCTGCCACCCAAGATAAACAGCAGATGGAGAGCTTTAGGGTTCCTCAAAATTACCTGTTAAAAGAGGATAAATGTAAGGTACATTCTAAGCTATGCTGACAATTTCTATGATTATTCCATTGATCCCATATATTACAAGGTATCATGCAGGAATGGCCCTTATAACCACAGACTTTTTTCTGAACTATTCACTTGTAGATTAATTTATTTGTAGTCTGAGTACAATATAGGGACACTGAGGCTTCACTTGCCAGGCTCTGCACGAGTACAGTATAGGGCCATGTTAGCAGACATCTTGTGCCTCTACCCTCATTAATTTCAAATCTTGCCTCCTGAACTCTAACAATATATGGTAAAATATACGGTACATGCAATGAAAATTAGACAAAATTGTTTTACATTCAGCATGGTTGGTTCAAATGCTGTAATGGAAATGAGGTTGACAGTCTTTAGTGTTAGCAAATAATGAATCCGACTGAGAATTCAAAACAGTATTATATTGTAAAGGTATGCGTTAATAGACTATGAAAGAGAAAGAAACTAGATCAATTACAAGTTAAAGAAAGTATAAATATATTTCAGAGCAAACATCCTAAAATGAAAGTGGTTGACCAAATAAGTGAACAGTGGATTATCAGTAAAATTCCAGCAAGCACCAAACATACAACCAAAACCCTACCATCACAAGCTAGGCACAACCAACACCAATTTAAACCATAACCTTCCTTGGGTATGTACAGTCAACAACAAAAATTTCTACACCTTAACAGTGTTATACAATATGAAACACTGGACCAAGAATTCTGAACACTCATTTACTAAAAATTTATCTGTATTAACACTATATGTGATAATTATAAAGAATACATTGTATTGGTTACACAATGAATCACAAAATCTGAAGTACCAACCTTACCAAATGAACATGGCCCGTCAGTGATTGTTGTGAAGGACGTAAGACCCAGGAGTGCAGAAATATTTAAAATTTTGTCGACTGTATACACATGCCAGAGTATAATCAAAATTTTTACAATATACAGTACCTTTATCCACTGTTTCCCCCCATCCCCCACCACATCAACTACTATTTTTTCAGAGCCACCAACACAAAATGTCTGTAGTAGTCCAGTGACCTGAAAAAAAAAGACAAACAGCAGTTTAATATTTACTGTGGAATACAAGATACCTACCATATACTACATAATATAAATAATACTGTATAACAGGTAACATGATTTGTAAAACATCATCATTCTGAGATCAGTAACAACTGGGTACTTTATGATACTAGTGATATGCAGGCTATAAGGACAATGAACAATCTTAAACAATTCACTACAAATATCTAAGGAATTTTGCAAGATTTAAATATTTGCTATTCACAGTTCTAAGTGCAGTCCATTTTTGCAACCCTTCCATTCTTATTACATTTCCAAGACACATGCCCAATGATTGGCAGTTCTTCAGTAAAATAAGAAAATTGTAACTGGTCCTTCTTTACAACAATACAGTATAGTCTGGATTTACGCGGTTTTTGTTTACGCGTTTGGTCATTTACGCGGTGCCTTGCCAGAATGAAATGTTTTAATTACGCGGTAAATTTGATCATTTATGCGGCGAGGTCCAGACGTGCCGTGCCATTTTTTACTCACGTGGTCCATTCTTGACCATACGCGGGAAGCGGCACGGTGAGGGGTGTGCATTAAGCCACTCTTACGTTATCGCTGACGTCATATGACGTATCGGACTGTGATTGGGCCACACATCCTTACCACCCACGCATTCCCTCCGCCGCTAGCTGTGATTGGTCTAATGTAACATGACGTGCCCTGCCACCAGAGGGTAAAAGTCGCTGACCTAGTCGGGCCAGTCTCATTGTTCTCAGTCTGCGTATACAGTTCTCTCTTGTGCCCGCTATTCCCCTCACAATGGCTTCCGCTGGACCCCCACCACCCGAGAAAAACCTTGAATTACCTGGACCAAGCCATAATTGTATGAAGGAAATCATCGAGTTGGGGGAGAAAATTAAGCTCATCCTTGACAACAACCCAGACGAGAATCGGTATGAAGAGTCTAATAACCATCTGACGAAATTTATGGAGCCGTATATCCAGATCTATCTCGACAACATCAATGCTAGTCGTCAACGTAGTACTAAGGACTTCTTCGCCCACAACCCACCACAACCACAGCCAGCCCAAGTCACTGATAGTGACAGTGAGGATATGGACTTTGAGGGGTTAGTCTGGGAGGCCCTGCAAACCTCTGCGAGTAGTGAAAGGTATTTACCGGAGGGCAACTAATCTGCTCTCTGCCTTGGAACCAGCCGCCATCCATGTGTGACGACCCATCTTTTCTACTGACGTAAGTGTTAAAAAACCTAATATTATTGACATTTCTCTTAAATATTAATTGTATGTGCATACTATCATAAAATTAAGATGTTATTTTTACTACAAGGTACGTATTGTGTCGGAAAAAGTGGAGTTTGGGGGTCGGCCCAGTCTCTATTTCAATTAATCCCATATGTTCTGTTATTTCGTTTACGCGTTTCTCGTTTTACGCGGATCTCCACGGGTTCAATTGACCGCGTAAATGCAGACTATACTGTACTTTCTTATCACGATAAAACCGTAAAGTTTCATTATCTGGCATCAATATTCTCTTAGAAACACCTGGCAACTGGGGGGAAAAGATATGGAGAAAAATGAAATATTTATGGATTCCTTATTTTATGTCCTAAAGATTGATGAACACTAATGTGTATCAAATTTTATAAAAAAAATTCTTTGAAATAAAATCTGGTATTAGAAGCAAAATTTGTCTTAATATACTTCAAAAATATATTATTTTACAGCCAACTTTAGGTAATTTTTTTTTAATATTTTACGTCCTTTAATTTCAGGTAAACCAAATTAAACAGTGCAATTACTTAATTTATATTTGTATTATGAAGTTGAAAAATATTGGGAGGTACGTACTGGTACAATAATTTAAGGAGAAAAAATTACATGTCCAGATGCAAATATAAAAAATGCTGTATGTTATCATAATACTGTACAGTACTGCATACTGAATCTTACTTTATGCATTATAATCAATAACACACACTTATAAATCATACCTTGACATTTTAACATCCATAAAATATTTTAATGATAAAAACAATGTAACAATGAGAGAGAGAGAGAGAGAGAGTAAAACCCCCCATAATTCAAAATAATAGGGGCTCTTACCCTTATGAATTATGAGATTTTACAAAATATGAGGGACACCCCACCCCCCCCTCCGAAAGAAGAAAGGGAGAGAAAAAGATACTTTTCTATTATCTGCCGAGAACAAAATTTAGATGTTTCTTAGTATAGCACTTCTGTGCTCGGTTCATGGGTATCAGATATAAATGCTCAAACACTGAGCAATGATGGAAAAACAAGTGGAAAAAACCCTGCATGGTAGACTGTAGATGTAAACCCACTAAAAAATTATTCGGCAGCTCAAATAACACATGACTAAGTTTACAAGAGAATTAAAAATGCAAACATAAATTTCAGGAAAATTCATAAAAAAAAAGCTGGCGACAAACTAAAGATTTTTGTTTGTTGGACAAATTTATGGTGTCATAATACAGTACCTGTAGTTTCTGGTTTACTTACATCATGTGTTGCTACAGCCACTGATGACAGTGCCCCTAGTTGACCCAGGTTGGAACACAAGACATGTTCCTCCTTCAGTTCACTGCCTTTTTCCAAGCCCTGCAATGCAAAGAAATCAATTACTTATCCATATCTTTTTCAAGCCTTTTTCTATCATAATGCAGGATGGCCACACAGGCATTATCTCCCAAGATCTTAGCATTCTGCAGCTCTAAGGGAACCATTACCCCACTCCCTTAGGATACTATTTCACCAAAGGGTTATTTCACCACTGGCAAACATACAGTACTAATACTGTATATGTACTCATTTAATGCCAAGTGCAGGATGGTTACTATACAAGATGGGAGCCAAAACTCCAGTCCAACCAGGAACCAAACCTTCACTTATTCACTAGCAAGGTACAGGGTACTGTATATGTTCTACCAATGGTGGAATGATGACATGAAAAGAAATATACAGTATTGAGAGGAACACAACAGTTCCTGTAGTATAGTTGACAATAAATCACTAAAACTTAGTAAAGTATGTTGAAGGGGGAAATTTAAGGAAAGGACATTTAAGTTTTTAAAGAGGTGTAACTATGACCATGGCTACTACTGCACATGCTTCAGTTTTGGGCCAGAGTAAATAGTATAAGCCTGAATTCACATAAAGCATAAATTTTCTGTACTGAATCCTGTCGATTACTCAGGGTAATCATAAACCCCCTATCTCATTATTTACTAAGATAACACCAAATAACCTCATTAAAGAGTAAGTTAAGTATAATCCTTCATGGCAAGATGAAAATTAACTGTATTAAGGTCCTCCTGAGAGTGATCAAATATGGAATTACAATGATAAGAAATGGTCCATTCAGTACCTGGCACTTTCAATGGTATACATGAGTTTATAGTTATAAGGACTCCTGATTAATTTTCTGTTTTGTTGGGTTCTACGTGTAAAACTTTGTATTAAAAATTTTGTTTAATTACAGTGGTCCCTCAGTTAACGAGCACAATCCGTTCTAGAAGGTTGCTCGTTAACCGAAACCATTTTTTCAATGGGTTTTTGGGTAATTGGTTCCAGCTCACCGAAAATTGACTAAAGTCAACGAAAAAGGTAGAAAAGTACACTTACTTTGAGGTGTGTAAGTAGAAGGCTCCTGGATGATGATGATGGGAATTAGAATGGGGGTGGAGGAGAAGGGAGAAGTGAAGGCATTGGGGAGGAAGAGAAGTCACCCCATGGCGCCATTTCACCCATAAAATTTTAGTTCTCTTGGTGTAATTCAAGATTATTTTCTTTAAATCAACCCTACACTGCATTATATATTGTCAATATGTAAAATAAATTTCAAAATGACCAATAATTTGCTTGTAAATACAGGAAAAAAGCATTTAGTTGAAGAGAGTCTCAAGCAAGATGTTACCTCCACTGAAAAGACGCAAAGACTGACGCCTGTATGGTGTGTTGAGAGGCTGGATGGCGTGCATAAAACTAGTTTCATTACCTTCAATTATGTTCAATAATTGTTAAAATGACTAAAAAATTTTATATTCAAATTTTAAAATTATTTAATAGAATAAACTTCTTGATATTTGCTAAAATGGTAAGGAATTTAAGCCCTAGAACCGATTACTGTATTGGCGGACTAATACTACAGCTGGTGGACCGCCAAATGCAAGCGAAAACATGTTCAGGTCGGCTCGTAAGAAACTCGTTAATCGAGGGATTGCTTGTTAACCGTAGTTAAGAATCTTATGGAAGGTAACTCGTTAACCGAAATCTCGTTAACCGAGGCGCTCGTTAACCGAGGGACCACTGTACTGTACATACTTCATTTTATATAAACCTGTATACAGTATTAAAAAAAATAATAAGTCATAGATCTGTACTTAAGAAAAGGAGTTACTGTGCCAGTACTCATGCATTTTACTAATCTGTGCATGATTACAAGGCAATGTACAGTACAGTACATTGTACTGTACTGTACTGTACAATGTTTATAATACAAGTAAAAATATTATAAAATCTTATGGTAAGTTATGGGGGTACAGAATGGACCAAGTCCAACAGGTAACACAGGTGGTGGCTGTAGAACATAACCTTTAAGGATGTTGATGGAGGAGATCATGTTATTAGTATAAATTGTGAACTAAATTCTTCATGGACAAAAATATAAATAAGGTGAGATGAATGGTGATGTAAGTGGAAGTTACTTAACAAGTTAGAATACTGCAGGAGTGCAAGTGTGGGCTTGCAGTTAACCTAACCTAATTAGTATACAGAAATCATCACAACTACAGTACATATATATAAATACAATACAGTATACTGTACTATCTGGCCAGATAAAATGGACCAGATTTTTTAAAGTGTCAGGCAAATTCAATTTCCAGGCGGATAATAAATTCAATTATGCAGTGCATCCTATCACTGATTGGAACTCAGGAACTTCTATATTGTACAGAACTAGTTCAACCCTTCAGGACTGTGTGGCCATAGGAAGCTTAATGTCTGTTCTTTCCTGAATTAAATGAGAAGTGGCTTTTGGTTGTTTACTCTACAGCTACCATTGGAGGTGCAAACTGAGCATAGCACTAGGAGCCAGATTGGTACTCACCTTTTTCAGAAAATTTATTTCTGCCTGAATGCGTTTCTTCAGTTTACCTGTACCATTAACAGACTTCTTTTCCAAGTCAAAAATCTGGTCAAGTACTTGTTTGGCATCATTGATTCTGTTTAAAGCCAGTTCTGCAGTCCGCCCTCCAGTCTGTTGATAAAAGTACAGTAATATTTTTAAGTACAGTATTTCTGAAATGATGAAAAATCGATGTTGAGTTTCTCAACAAATGCATAAATTGAAAATCTGTAAATTAGACCATTTTGAGCATAAATACACGGGGATTGTGTGTTTTCCAAGTTGAAAATTTTGATTTGTTGTAATATGTTGAAATTTTTTAGGCCATACTGTATTTCCAATTTTGAACCACATTTCACAATACAGTAAAGTACTACCTGACCTATCCCAAGACATCACCCATTTGGGGTCTGACTAGCACAAGCTTCATCTCCTTAACCTGTCTCACAGGGTGTAAACTGGTTAGCTCACATAATCATTGCTTTTGTATGTTGTGTAGGATTATTCCATTGTTCTCGATAGTTTTCTCTGGGGATATTTTGATTCCACAACTTGAGCTGGTAGACTGTTCTAAAGATCTACCACCCTCTGTATGAAGAAGTATTTCTTAATGTTTGTTCTGCATGATAGCTAGGTGAGCTTACAGGTGTCCTCTCATGTTGGTGGTGCATGACATCACAAAATAAAATGGCCTGGGTTCATATTTTCCATTACTTTCAGGTTTAATACTGTGTGTCGATGAGAACTGAGCTATCGTGTCTTAAGGGTTATTAGTTGTAAAGCCCTCAGTATATACATGGATAATCGAGATGACTTGGTTATGAAATCATCTTAGTTGCTCTGTGTTGTAACTTTTCTAGGAATGTTAGATCTTTCTGGAGGTAGGGTTTCCATGCCTGTATACAGTAATCCAGACTGAGATGTTGAAGAAGCATTTTCCTATCTTTGTATTCTTTTTTGGAGAAATGGTTTTTGAAAAAAGATTAGGTTAGGTCTTTTTCTAAAACCATTTCTCAAAAAAAAAATAATAATAAAAAATACAGTACAGTATACTGTATATATATATTTGAATTGGCATGAAAATATACATTCAAAAAACACATTTTTATATTTTTGGGGATACAGTACATGAAAACAAAAGGATCCTTAATATTATTTACAGGAACCCTTTCAAAAACTTAAACAGTAGTGCACCCAATAATGCTAAATTTTTATTTATTGGTGATGTAGTGGCAGCTGGTAAGTCATTCCTGTGTATGGAAGAAACCGAAATGTCCTGAATGTAAATATTAGAGATTTGGTATTGTAGCATATGGCTGTGTAAAAGAACACATCTACATCAAAAACAAGTTTACAGATTATTTTAATTTTTTTTACAATTTTCTTATACTTTTACTTTTTTACTTTTATTGTTGTATTTTAAAAGAGGTGGCATTTACTAAAACCTAATCTGACTTGACCTAACTAACCAAAGAAACCTTCCTAGATTTTCCTAACCTCCTAGCTGGGGGTTTCTACCCCTCGGAACCCCCCACCATATTAAGCAGAAATTACTTATTTTAATATCTGGTACCAATGAAAGCAACTTTGTTGAAACATCATGATTGTAATTTTACGTTTTTTGTGGACTTGATAATACATTAGGGCCGAGTGTGTCAAGTTCTAAACAGGGCAGAGGACAACATGCACGACTTTTGGAGTATTTATGGTATATAAATTTCTTCATGTACAGAACATGTAGACATCATTCAGGAGCCAGTACATTCCCAGTACTTGCTCACAGTGCATAAGAGAGATGTGACCGACTGCCCAAGCGGCTAATGAGCTGATCAGTGAAGAGGATATAAGTAAAAAGCAAAAAGTATATGAAAAAATTTTCACCTTGTTTTATCTTGTTATTTCCATCATCCTTCATGCCCTGCCCACTAAAGGTGATTTATGATCATAGAGAGACACACTAAAAAATAAAAATAAAACAAATATAGTACAGTGCTTATAATTAAAATAAAGGGTTAATATTAATGACTGACCTGCGGACGAGTTATTTGTTTTACTGCTTATTTTCTTACTTTACTTTCATCACTGACTTCTGATATGATAATCATTTCTTGTGCAAATGCTTCGTTTGATAGATAATTAGGCGCCTAGGTGTGCACTAATTTGTCTTCTCGGCGGTAATGTGGCAGTGACGCCTCATGCCCCCATCCCATGATATAAACAGCCAATCATATTGATGTAATTCAAAACATTCTGCCGCCCGGGCTTGATCAGCGGCGATGCTCAGTGGACTCTTAAGAACTTTTCAGTTTGGACGATTGCTCTCACGTCTACAAAAAAATATAAATTAGACCATATAGCAACTTTGTTTTGTTAAATATACCGGGGGTCCAGGGGGCAGAGCCGGGGGGCTAGGAAGTAGGTTTGTTTAGTTAGGATGATGAGGTCTTCTAACAACACTTTTGCTGCTTGTTTTATATATCAATTAAGGTTACGTTACATTTAATTTAGAAATAACCACTTTTTTAACACATTCACACAAACTAATCGCTTTCTCTGAAAAATCGGCCGCGGGTCAGTCATCAATAATTACCAAATAAAAAGTTGTCACCTATTTTAAAACACTTACATTTACTATAATAAGAACATTTGCAGGAAAAAAGAAAGTAACAAAATCGAAAAACTCCTTTCTGGTGATAGCCATTTGCTTCAGTATTACCCCCAAATTTTTTTAAATATTTTTAAGTTACTGGTCACTGCACTACTGTCCTCTAGTATTACATATACAGTAATTGTCGAATATTAATATACACAACTGTTATGCTTCAATTTGAGTAGATTATCTTTGTTTTGTGAATTATTAAGAACGAGGAGCCAAATTGAATCACTGCCACACCTTGTTCCAGGTCTTAACATGACGGATACACCCCATATTATCACCAATCCACTTCGTCACCGACCCGGTTCGTCACCAAAACCCCATTTCGTTACCAATATCAAATCCGTTTCGTCACCACTAACAGTCGCTGGTGTTAGTGACAAATTGTAAGTTATTATTTTACATGAATAGAAATTACACATGTATACAGACAACTCCAGAAGTACATATTGTTATTATTATAGTACAATACATGAATACTAATTATTTAATAAAGAAAACGATTAAAACATTGGTAAATAAACAAAATACAGAACAAATAAAGAATGATTGTGTTATTACTATACATGAATATTAATTGTTTAAAGAAAACGATTCAACATTTGTAAATAAACAAAATACAGAACAAATGAAGGTGATTTGGCACCAGCGCAAAAAGCACTGAGCAGTGAGATGATTGCAGGCGTATTAACAATGTTTTTATTATTTGTTTTTCTTTAATAATTTGTCACCGTGTTTTTACTATTTTCTATCACAAGTAACAGTTATTTTCGTGTATATATTCATGGGGATGAGCACAATGACGAAACGGGTTAAAAATAGTGGTGACGAAACATGTTGGTGACGATATGGTCAGACCCCAAAATGACACATTCAGAATACCGTATTACCCAGATGTACCCAAATATAGCCGCAATGAAGTCAAATAATGGTCCTACAAGCGTAAATCGGGCTGTGAATCACTTCTCGATTATTATTTGGTGTCATAGTCACAAAAAATTGGTAAACTTAATTTAATCTGAGTTGTGTTGTGTTAGGTTAGGTTAGGTACATGCACTCGATCTATTAACTCAGATTAAATTAAGTTTTCCAATTTTTTGTGACTTTATGACACCAAATAATAATCGAGAAGTGATTCACAGCCCGATTTACGCTTGTAGGACCATTATTTGACTTCATTGCGGCTATATTTGGGTACATCTGGGTAATTAGTCTGACCCCAAATATAGTTTACTCACGACATACCATCATAAAATAGAGCATTTTTTTTAAATGCATACGGGTAATAATAGTATTTGAAAGCAACCTTAAGGCTAAAGACCATCACGGCATGCAATATTCCGGAAATATGTCATGTTACTGCGACACAAGTTAGCTTGCAGAACTTTGTACTTCATAAAGACCTACACTTGTCATAAACTTATATCTACGAATGATAAGTGAACACCAAATGGTACTTGAAAGTATATAATACATACCATTTTGTTAAGCATGCATATAAGAAATCACGCCACATAACAGTACGAGTCACTCAGTTCAGTATAAGAGACGTCACTTGTCCCAACAATAACACAAAGAGAACACTTGGTTATGAGAGGGTTCACATTTCATTAAAGGACTTAAATTTAAATATTGTAATAAAATCGGTATAGATAAATTTGAAATAGTGTATCGTAATTACTGATTTGTTTATTTTTAAGTTTATTAACCAACTTTACCGCAGGGCATAAAATGGCTTTGACTTAAGCTTATGCTGTACAATGCATAGATTTATTTCCTGCTGTGATGTCAGGTCCGTTCCCAGTTTCACCCGTTTCTCAGTTACTAACCTCTATTAAAGTGAGTGGACTGGTGGTTTTACATGTAGTATTTTATGTTTGTGGCCCAAAACTTTGAGGCCCTGCGCAGTAACGAACGGGATCGAGACATTCTGAGAGCGCTGTTATCTCGACATCCTTAGCTGACTTCATCTCTCAAAGGTTATAAAGTTCCTCTAGCCACCTTTTTACCTAAGCTGTTCCATTTTTTCTAAGCGCTGTTTTTATGCGTTTTGGTGAGCTTAAATCTGACCTCGAACTCAGACATACTTCGTAGTTCTATTATTTTTGTACGATCTTGACTCTTTTTTTTACTTTTATCCTCTTCGCCACTGATCGGCTCGCTAGCCGTCCGTGCGATCGGTCACGTCTGTCACGCACTGTTGGCAAATACTGAGAGCCTTTTCCTCTGGCTGTATACTTTAAAGAAACACAATTTCCTATATATTGCCATCACCTCAACTCTGATATGAATTTAACATTTATTTAATGGCATATGTTATGATTGTCAACTTACGACAAATACCGTATACTGCATAAAAATTTCCTGTTAACCTTGCATTTTATAATTTCACACAGTATAGGTTACTAGCCGTGCGGGCAGTTGGTATGTATTACCGGAATACCCGAAGAAAGCTAGGACGGGAAGAATGCACGCGTATATTAATTTCTATGAAGGTAAATCAGTTGAAGGGAGATTCTAGGTAAGTTTATGATGAAAATAGGTAATAATAATAATGGTTGCCCCTCGTGTAACGAGGTTGGCCGGCCCAAAGGCTACCTAGACGTGAATTTGTTTAAGGTGTAGAAGCTGTCGCCAACGCAACAACCACACCCTAAGGTAACGAGTTGCATGTCCCAGTGTCAAGGAATAGTCCGAGAAGACCGGACAACTCGCCAACTGCACTGGCTAACCATTACCCCGGAATACGAATCGCAAATCGATTAACATCCAGGTTCTCAATTACTGCTGGGGAGACAGAGGCAATTGGCGTAATTAAACTTGCCCACAGTTTCACCCTGCCCGGTGATCGAACCAGGGTCTGTGCAGACGGCTAACACCAGGAGTTGTTGGATTTCGTTCATTTTTTCCACAGTGATGGTAAATAATAAAAGCGATCCAAGTTTTTATTTTAATTGTAAGTATTTTTTGTATTCTTCTATTTACGATCATAAATCACTTATAGTGGGCAGGGTATGGAGGATGATGGAAATTGTGAGGTAAAACACGGTGAAAAACTCTTCATTTCATAGTATTGTAGGGGTATCGAGATATTAATGTTGTCTAGCACTCAGGATGGAAGGAAACTCTAATGTGGTCTTCTTGTATAATATAAGTTATATGATAGACAGTCTGGTGCTGGAGGTGCCATGTGGTGGGGAGCTGCTCAGTAGAAGAAGTTCGGTGAGTAGCGTGTTGAAGGAGGTAGATGTGCAGGAGCTTGGTTAGAGAAGATGTTGCCTGTTGCTGGCCTCCTGGTTGAAATAAATGTTAACAGCGTGGAGCTTGCTGGAGGAGGTGATGCTTGTTGTAGAAGAGAGACCAGAATGAGAAAGCTGGTGGGTGAGGAAGCTCAGAGAAGGACAGCTGGTGCGTCGCCATGCTCGCTGGCGGGAGCGAGGTCCGCCAGGCAGGCGGAGGAGAGGCGAGGGTCGCCAGGCAGCGGCAGATGAGGAGGTGTTGCTTGTTCAAGAAGAATGGTCAGAATGAATTCTCAATGGAGAGACAGAGCTTATATACCCAGCAGCCGCTATGAGTCATGTTGGGAAAACCCGAGAAGTCGCCGGTGAATAGTTTCGTTGCTAGGCAACGGCACGTTGGAATGTGGTAGCAGGTGGTGACTGCTACGCAGTTTGTAGGGGAGACGTCCACTACAGTATCATCAGGTGTGCTTTCTTGTTATTACAATTAGTATTACATCTGGGTTGCAGTCACTGCATCCCAGTCGTAATATTGTAGGAGACCTCACTGCAGTCTCTTACACTTCTCAATGTTGAATCTCAGCAACCAGTCATGTACAATACCATGCTTGGAGCCAATAGAGACCTTCCTACGAGACTTCACGATCTGTATTTTTTTTTTTTTGTGAAAGCTTGGCGTCATTGATGATATAATGGGTTAGTGAATACAGCTGGTATATCATAGTAAGGCCGTCAGATAAAACTGCCACTTATAAACAAGAAGTAGCGTGCGTCTCTTTTTACCACTGAGTTATCCAGTGCGACTACCAAACATTGCATGTTTCTCCGGGTGTTCTGGTTTCCCCCGTTCTAACACTGGACAATGAAGGCTGTAACAGAGAACAGACCGAACGCCCGAATGGCTAGCAAAATGGTAAGTGGTAGAAATTATAAATTAAAAATTTTGCAGACAAATACAGCAGCGTTGCCTTGACGTTACTTGTCAACTTGTATTTTTGGGTTGGAACCAGACAGAATATGAAATACGCGGCATATTGCACAGTGAACTACAGTACTTGAAATGCCCAGAGTATGATACATGAATGCCTCCTGATCTAACACTCCTTCCTGTACCATTAAAATAACGAAGAGTGCGGGGAGATATTATAGAAGAATTCAAGTGGGTGAAAGGAATCAATAAAGGTGATATAGATAAAGTTCTTATAATATCCGAGCAGGATAGGACTCGGAACAACGGATTCAAGTTGGATAAGTTTAGGTTTAGGAGGGAGATAGGAACTGGTTTACAAATAGGGTGGTGGACGAGTGGAACAAGCTTAGCAACCTTGTCGTAAGTGCTGGAACGCTGGAAAGTTTCAAAGGGAGGCTGGATAGATTCATGGATGATAGAGAGTGGTAGTAACTCTCGACAGGAGCTGCCATGCACAGGCCAACCGGCCTATTGCAGACTCCTTATTTTCTTATGTTCTTATGTTTACACTCTGTGCTCTATGTTAAGTATTGGTGATTAAAAAATGTGGCAAAAAAAACCCAAATGACATTAAAATGCAACGACGATAAATGTGTGGTAACTTTATTAAGAAATGTCATATAAAGTAATTTCTAGTACAAAATATAGTATATTATAGCTTAAGAAACTTGTTTGGAATCACATAGAAAACTCAAAAGTCAAAACCAATCATTAATATTACGCAAGTCAAACAAATTCGCTGCAATCATTCTTTACAATATATAAAACAACAAAGACTTAAGAAAACAACATACCTAACCCAATTCATCCAAAACGTATATTGTATTTAATTTTAGAATATGTTCATTATATTTGCCTCCAGATGTGATAAAGTGAACAAATCTAGCTGAATGCTATCTTTGAACGAAATTTGTGTGTATTCGAATTCATCCAGCTTATTTCTCCAGTTACGATATACAGTATTCATAGTGGGAATTTTTAAGAATGTCTACTCAGGGCCACACAGGTGTTGGGAATTAGGCGGCGAGGAAGGGGGGCAAAACAGAGACAAATAAGAAACAGGAAGTGATGATATGACTTATCTCTCTTCCTTGTTGGCGATAATCTCTCCCATCTCCCCCTCCCCCATCTTCCGGTGCCACATGTAGTACAGTATATGTGTTTTCTTTAGATATGTCGCTTTGGTGACAGGAAGTGTGATGGCGGTGGTGAGGAATATATCATGGTACTGATTTTGTTGGATATTGGTAACGAATGTAAGGGTGGAGGTAATGGTAACTTATATGATAGTGTAGTGGACGTCTCCCCTACAACTGCGTAGCTGCAGGCCACCTGCGACGTCTTCCCAAGCAACCAAACTAGCGGCCCGGGGGGCGTCACCAGATGCCACAGTATCCTAGCAACTGAGTCAAAAGACCGGCTACTTCCTGGGTTTTCCCTACATGACTCACGGCTGACTCACGGCTGCTGTGTATATAAGCTCTGTCTCTCCATTGAGATTCATTCTGGCCTCTCTACTTGAACACGCAACACCTCCTCCTCCGCCGCTGCCTGGTGGCCCTCGCTTCTCCTCTGCCTGCCTAGCGGTCCTCGCTCCCGCCAGCGAGCATGGCGACCCACCAGCTGTCCTTCTCTGAGCTTCCTCACCAACCAGCTCTCATTCTGCTCTCGGTTCCTCAACACGCAACACCTCCTCCAAGCAAGCTCCTGCTGTCCCGTTCTCATTCAACCAGGAGGCCAGCAACAGGCAACATCTTCTCTAACGAAGCTCCTGCACATCTACCTCCTTCAACACGCTACTCACCGAACGTGTCTACTGAGCAGCTCCTCACCACACGGCATCTCCAGCACCAGACTGTCTACCATATAACTTATATTATATAAGAAAACCACCTTAGAGTTTCCATCCATCCCGAGTGCTAGACAACATTATATCACGAAACCCTACAATAGCGATGACACACTTGCTGCATACGTTTTTACTTTTTACTTTTATCCTCTTCACCACTTAAGCGTTTGGGCGATTGGTTGCATGCCCAGTACTGGGCAAGTACTGGGCATGCACCGGCTCCTCCATGTATCTGAACCTGCTCCACTGTTGGTCAAGTCTGATCTTGAAAGGGCTCACACTCGGTGCCGTCACAACACTCTCTGGTAGATTGTTCCAAGAGTTCACAACTCTCACTCCGAAAAAGTTACCCCTCACAGTTATCCGGACTTGCGGCTTCTTTAACCTTGAGCTGTGTCCCCTTGTGGGGCGAGCGTCCGCCAGCTCCAGGTAAGGACACTCGACTTAGTTGTGCCCTCGGAGATGCTTGTACACCTCAATCATGTTTCCCCTTGCCTGTCTATTGTATACGCGAGGCAAGTTTAGGCGCTCCAATCTCTCCGGGTAGCTGAGGTGCCGCGTGCAGGCACCAGTCTGGTGGCCCTCCTTTGGACATTTTCAATCAGCTGATAGTCCCTGGCATATCTCGGGGACCAGATGGGATGACAGTACTCCAGGCGGGGAAACACTTCACTCTTGAAGATCGTGATCGTTACGGCCTTATATGACCTAATAACTTCATGTCATTGTCAATATACACACCAGGTTCTTTCACATTCCGTCTCATTTAATGCAGTCTCTTCGTCCCGTTGGGACATATACGCCTCCTTACCGTTGGTACGTCCCAGGTCCATCCTCTTACACTTCGTGTCATTGAATCTTAGCAACCATTTCTTCGCCAGCACAGTCTGGTACAGTGTTTCTCAAACCTTTCACTCCATTCCCCCTATTAGGAACATTCAACGTCCTCGTGACCCCCCTTCAGTTTTTCCTAAGCCCCTCACAAATAATTTGTTACAGTTCAATGGGATGGATGATTATTTCGTTTCAGTTAGTCGACTGATTCGAGGTTGAGTCACTGAAAAAGCACATCTCATGTCTGGGTCCACATGTAACCGGTTTCGGCTTTAATTCTTTATTTGAAGAAGGTGGAGAAACCAGTTTCACATAAATAAGTAGTAGACAATGGCAAGAGGACTCGAAGAGCGATCTCACTAACTTTTGGATATGACTGATACATTGATTACCAGAATATAGTCAGAGATTTTTCTTCATAGAGGTCTCTGGCAGCAGATTCGTTCCTGAGATCAAGGAATTCGTCCAGGCCATCGTCGGGAATGACAACAATATCAAGAGTGCCAGAGAAAGGATTCCTCACCAATTTCCCTTCTTCCTCCTCGAATTCTGGGAAGTACCTTTTGAGCTCACTTTCCAAGGATTTCAAGTGCTGAACTATTTCATTTTTGAGTGATGGGTCAAGTAGATGATCCTCTTCAATCTCGTCAAGAACAATGAAGATATTCTCAAACATGGCAATATTTCCTGTACTGACTTTCCTTTGCCAGTTCTGGAGTTTGTCAAGAAATGCACGAATACAATCCATGTGGTGAAACACATTTCTTTCCTTGCCTTGTAGCTTGAGATTCAGCCTGTTTAGCTGCTCAAATATGTCTGCCAGGTACACAAGACGTGGCTCCCACAACACCTCGTTGAAGTGACTTAATAGATCATCCTCCCCTTTCATTTCCAGGAACATCTTAAATTCTCCCCGAAGTTCGAACCCTCGATTCACAACATTACCCGTGGGAAGCCATCACACTTTGGAGTAAAAGAGGAGGGTTTCATGCTCTGAATCCGTGCCTCTACAGAGGCTCTGGAAAAGGCGATACTTTAAATCTCCTGCTTTCACAAAGTTGACGCATTTTACCACTGCCTCCAGGATCTTGCAAAGGGCATCAGGGAGGGTTTTCAACGCTAGTGCAAAACGATGGATCATACAATGAACCCCTTTGGCATTCAGAGCTACTTCCTTGACGTGCTTCTGTAACCCTGGTTTCGATCCCAGCATCGTCGGGGCCCCATCAGTACAGCCTCCACAACAATTTTTCCTGGTGATCCCGTTAGTTGTGAAGAAAGAAGTCAACTTTTCCATCACATCTAAAGCTGTTGTGGCAGTTTCAAGCTGTGTACAGAACAAATATTCATCCTTGATGTCAGGCAAGAGAACATACCTAACAAACACGAGTAGCTGTGCACAAGAACTCACATCCGTTGACTCATTCAACTATATTGCAAACATACCAGTTGGAGACGATTTAATCTCCTGTATCACTTGTTCCATGATATCATCTGACATTTTACTAATTCTCCGTGTCGTTTGACAAGGAAATCTGTTGAATCTTACGCTCACTTCCCTCTCCAAGAACCCGCTTGACCATTTTAAAGCACACGGCTTAAAGTTTCACCAATCGTGTGGGCCTTCTTCTTTGCTATTTCAATGGAAACCTCATATGATGCTTCAACTACACTTAAGTTCTGTTGTTGGAAGGCACCACTCTCATCCAGGCTCTGTTTTCCCAAACTCCGTTCATGGCGCTTGAAGAAATCGGGTGTCTCTCCGCATACTGGCGGTGGATTGTTGTCAGATGATGCTTCAGCTTACTAGGCCTAATGGAATCGTTCCCCAGCACTTTGAAACACAACACACACCGAGGTTTCTCGATGCCATCAGCGAGGATTGATGTAAATCCGTAGTTAATGTATTCATCATTGTACTTCCGCTTCTTAGCAACACTGGCAGCCATCGCAATTCTCAAGAAAAACAAAAACAAAAAAACAATGCCAAACAGACAGAAACAGACGAATGATAAAGACTAAAAACTATAATAAAAAACAGAAATACAAGAAAATCATGAATATCTTGGTTTTACTAAACATTTGTAATCTTTCTCTCTCTCTACAAGTAAATGTTGACTAGTTCTTAAAAAAAAACAAAAAAAACAGAATGTCGCAGAAACAGACGAATGATAAGACTAAAACTTATAATAAAATAACAAAAATGAGAAAATAATCGGAATGGCAAACACAAACATGCATAAAGTCCATACATGCTGTATGTAAACATACATAAAATGCCTATGCATTCACACGTAAGACATACACATACAGTCCACTAACAGTACAGTCATATTTTCCTAATGATATCCTGAGCAAGACTGAGAACATCTGGCCTGATCACCACTTGTAATACGATGACACACGGACATGTACAGAACACGTGAGATCAGTGACTCAGTCCAGCGCCCGTCACCCTGCTGACAGGAACTAGAATGTGCAATCTGAGCGAATCCGTTGGAAATGAAAAACAAGCTGCTGCATCATACTATGTAAATATCAAAACTGTATCGTACGGGTATTATGATTAAACACAATGACAAAAAAAAAGATTTCTCCCCTCACAAGGCAAAGTAACAATAAAAACAGTTGAATCAGTTTCCACATTTTCTGCAAACATATACTACTTACACTAGCCCGCCATGGCCCCCAGTTTGAGAAACAACTTACTAGTATGACTCACTCAGTATAAGATGTATCTATTGCTTTTTGGATCTACAGAAACAACTAGTGATTCTTCCTTTCTCCTTATCATTTTTTCTCTCACTTTTGTGTGGATGGGATCGTATGGTTACCTTAAGGGGCAACACGAGGAAGTGGTGCACAAGGGTAGAAAGCAATAGGGAAAGACTTAAAATACAGAAAATATCCATCCACCCTTGACTCGCACATATAAATCAGTATTATTATTAACTTATGATGGATTATGGTTTCAAGTGTAAACTAGATAAGCACTGCAGGTCAAATGGGCCCCAGATTTAGTAGACCGCAGCCTAATCAGAGCTGCTGAACCAGGGCTCCGTGGACCTTATCAGGGGGGTGGACTACAAGGATAAAATACTAGCCCTTGGGGTGACTACACGAGATACATTTCGAGGAGCCAAAGGTAAATTGTGTGTCTACAGAATATACTATATGTATAATTTTTGGGTGATACACACAGTTTATTTATGAAATCAAAATAAAAACGACTGAGTCCCCATTGAGAAAGGATACGTGAAGATCAAGGGCTATACCTACTGAAAAATGTTCAAAAGCTCTGATTACAGCTAGGGTCCGTTAGGATTAGAGCTCATAAGGTTCAGGCCACAGTTCTAGTGGTTAGGTTAAGATAACTTTGAGCAGTTAAGGCGTATTTGACCAGTCACCAAACAAAAATAATCTAGTTTACATACGAGTTAGAATCTTAAATGAAATGTTAAAGAGGACATGGATAAGTACTGTAGAAGAGATAAACAAGTACATCATGCTAGAAACAATACTCCAGTGTCAAAAGAGAACCACTATTGTATTAGACCAGGGGTTCTCAACCAAGGGGGAATTTCCCCCCTCAGGTTTTCAGGGGGGGGGGGGGAAACTGATACTAATATGGAAAAAATAAAGGATTTTCAGTATTATATGCATATTATTTGGAATGCACTTTTTGAGGCAGACAATCTTGGAAAGGAGGGGGGAATGACATTCTGACATATGGTGAAAGGGGTGCATGGGGCAAACAAGGTTGAGAACCACTGTATTAGACTATAAGTTTAAAAATTGCGTATACTGTACTGTATTTGTATATGTACGTATTGGTGTAATAAACAGTTATAATAATCGCCCAGCTAGTAATAATATATATAGAGAAGTAAAATGAATTAAGTTAGATTCATTAGTTTGTTTACACCCTTCTTCGTGCAGACAATATGAAAAGAATAAAGGAAACTGCAACAGGCATAAGTGACCCATACTAGGCCGCCCCGTTTACATCCAACTTTTATCACTCCTATATTTGAAGTCTCCCAGCGGGTTCGAGTTATTAATGGTGTTTGGTAATTTGTTTCATTTATCCACAATACTATTTCTAACCCAGTATTTACGTATTTCACGTCTAAATCTAAAATTGTATAACTTAAAACCATTGCTGCATTATTAGCATTTGTCATCTCCCTCTAAATGTTTTCTAGGGAATCAATCCATTTTTATAGTACGGTAACTAAAACTGTCGTCTGACAGGTACCAGGGAGAGGTAGTCCCTTATCACAGCTAAAGCTCGATGACGGAGACTTTCTTCTGGTCTTGCCGGCGGCCACTGGCTGCCAGGGAGGATCGACGGGTCTTGAAGGAGAGCTTCCTCAGCAGCCTGCCACTGCGTGGCGGGGTGGGTGGCTTGGGTGGAAGGGGTGGGGCTATCATAGAGGGGGGGCGCAGGGTGGCCATGCGCTGATGCGACGGCCCCTCCAACCGACGCAGCACCAGCAGACACTGCAGGCAGTGAGAATAATAATGACTAAAAGTAATTAACAACTGCAGCACGTGAGGCAAAATATAACTACTTCATTACTGATCGACATTTATCAGTCTCATATCCTTCATATCTGACACAAACACGAATATAAACTATACTGATGAAATTCCTTTAGATTTCTACTTGTTACTACATTTTTTAAAGCATAAGGTCTTCATTTTTTCTTTAACACCACACTTTATAATTCCTCAGTGAGTTGCGTTACTCTGGTCCACCACCACCACATGCAGTAGTTAGTTACTTATGTTCTTCCTAATACTAAATGTTGTCACACTATACTAGGCCTTGGTATTACTATTTCTGGCACGGGTGTGAGGGGGGAAATTGAAAATGTTTTTTATTTATCTTTATATTTATTTATCTATTTAATAATGTGTGTAAGAGGAGATATTTTTTCTTTTATAAATATTTATATAATTTCTATTTATCTTTTCTATTAGTATATATTAATTTCTATATCACTTTCTTTACTTCTTTCTTGTTTATGTTTTCTAAGTACTTATTTCTATGTTACTTTCCTTACTTAGTGTTCATTTCTTTCAAAGTCATTTATACGTTTAAATAATCTTTTATCTTTCTTTTCTATATCTTAAATACTTGTTTCAATGTCACTGCTGTTTCTTAACTTTCCTTTTACTTCTTTCAATATTTATCAGTGCTTAGTTATATTCTATACAATGGATTAACCTGAGAAAACTATATCATTCTTTAACAACACCTATTAAAATAATTATTATACTCACAAGGGTCCACCACCCAGGCTTTTATTAGAATATAACTGATATCATTAAAAATGTTAGGTAGCGTAGTAGATACGAGCTCAGGCACGTGGGTTACAGCATTTATTTTATGAGAAGCAATTGTTAGAAGGGAAAGAGTAAAAGACATATTGGTGGAGCTCACCTCCTTGGCGCGTAACCAGCGGCTGTAGAACTTGTAGCCGAAGGTGAAAGCGAGAATGATGCAAAGAAGCAACACCAAGTTCAAGTATGCCATCCACCAAAACCCAACTTCGAAACCTTAATAATACAAAATATCTTAATTAAGATATGTGAATAAATATATATAACTGAAATGTTAGACAAATAGCACAGAGCCTGAAAAAAAAACCCGAGGCAGATGAACACAACATACATGGTTAAATCTTACGAAGTTAAATACTGTATAACTTTCTCTATTTCCTCAACTTTAATACTGTACTTATTTCTTGACTCGGGGCCTCATAAAGATTTGGAGCCGCCAATTATTTCCCCGGATGATTAAATACCCTAATACGAGCCTAACAAAACATCCCATATAGCGTTGGGACGTTTAATCATCAGGTAAAATAAATGGAGGTTCCTAGTATTCACGTGATCCTTTATAAGGTGGGGGGTGATGCAAGTGCTACAAGGACTGAATTATAACAGTACAGGCACTCACCAGGCATGATGAAGAACACAACTTTCACAACCACCTACCGCGACGTCTCGACTCTCACTAATCACTAATCTGAAGGAATGCGCAAACGCCCAGAACACCTCATGAGCCTCACCATCCTGGCAACAATCTTATTTCATTCATTCTTGTCAAGGAATGTAATTATAGTCTTCTATATTTATCGCTCTTGTTTACTTTCTTCTCTTCGCCTTTTATTTTGTGTTCGGTAAGATTAAAATTCAGTTAAGATTTGTTTTCATCGTAGACGGTTTGACTGTAAGTTATGGAAAATTGGAGTATGGAATTCTTAATCTAGCCAAAGAGAAGAAACGTATATCATAAATTTTAATTGTTGGTAACTAGTGTAATTATATTAATTTAATATACGCGCTTAAACAGCTCAGGTATTGACGTGCAATAATGCATTTTATAATCAACATCAACATACTGTACAGCCTGTTTGTATTTATGACGGTAACCATAATGTACAGCGTAAATATTGTAAAGAAAAAGAAATGACTTCAGGTGCACTTTAACGTTTATCATCACAGGTATGTTTGGGACGTAGACATAACATCAGATTATGCTGCAGATTAACCTTGCTCTTAGTACTGACAATCTAAAAAAAATAACAGTCTAGTATTTGTTGTGAAACGATAGGTAATTTGGGCGATTTTTATGAAAGGAAAAAAAACGTGAATTTGGTAAAAGCTCAAAATATAACGTGAGACAATTAACCTTTAAGAAATGGATGGGGGGAATACTTCTCGCGAAACTTTTCTCTCGTTGGATGGCCACACATCCAATTTGCCAAGTGTTTTTACGCGAGTGATATTGTGTTTGCCCTGGCCAATATGCTTGTTGGTGTTGTGAAGCTTTCAGTTTTTATATATAACTTGGTATTTCGATATTATATTTCTCAGGTGTCTTGATCTCAGAGGGGCTATTATCTACAGATCCTCAGATCACTGGGTCTAAGGTGACAGTGAAGTGATTATCTTGTCTGTCATGTGAGCGCCAGACATTGCTTTGTCCTCTTCATTAACTGGCCCTTGAATTAGTCTTATCGACACTTACTCTTTCACTTTTACTCACCGACCTAATGAAATATAGGTTACTGATCCAAAATTCAGAAATGGTGATATATGGAAAATGTTTCCTCAAAGAAAATAATATTGGGTTTATGAAAATGTTTTGAATGTGTTGACTGAAAATTGATGTGAAACTGCAGTTGTATAGAAGAGTAGGTAAAATGTTGTTTCATCCGTTGATTCAAATACACAAGAGTTCACATACACATTTTAGATGGGCGTAAAAATTTAACATGCAAGACCTTTGTCTATATATATATATATATATATATATATATATATATATATATATATATATATATATATATATATATATATATATATATATATATTTATTTATTTATTTATTTATTTATAGAAGCATCACCATAATACAGTAGTTGTGCTCCTCCAAAATATTAATAGGAAATTAATTTTTAACATATTGTGAAATTCTTGATGCGTGTACAGGTATCTTCTCTACGTCACCTACATGGCTTTAGGGTTTAGGCCAATTGACAACAACCATCAATGGATGTCTGGTTTTAGTAACAACGAATCACCGAGGACTCGGGTGGTTTATTCGGTTTATTCCTGCTGACGTTAAACACATTCTAGTGATAGTTGTTGTGAATAACGTAGAGAAGGAAAACTCGTACGCATCCGGTCATAGATTTGTAAACCATAAATTAAAACATACCTAATTCCCAAACTCTACTGTATACGGTCCTAAAAGAAGACAATACCAGACTTTAACATAATAACACCTAAATGAAGAGACAGTTTAACAGGACAGACTCATTTAAAGGTATTAATCGTCCAGGGCCAGAACAGTAGTGTATACACGTCTATAGGTAGGTAGGTGCATTTTACATCTTCAGGGGTGAATAGAAAATGTCAAATAAGACCTCCTCTACACGAAAGCAAGCACTTGGGAATTTCGTGTTTTCTTTTTCCTTTGTGGTTATCAACATACACATGGATCACACACTACAGTGGTTTATCGGTCTGTCTAGAGGTGTTGTGGCTCTAACACACAGTATCTCCCAAGGAAGGAAATAGTGTCTACTTTATCTGGTTTATTTACACCATCACTCGGCTTGTGGGGGTACGTTGTGTTAGAGGCGAGTGACAGGGATGAATCCAACCCGGCATCTTGTGATTTAACAAAACTCGCTGTATGGATGTAACCCAATTAGAATTAACCCATTTAGGTCGAATTCAATGGCCATTACTTTTCATATGTTCTAGAAAGTTATGGGCCGTTTTCTATATATGTTGACGGGACACTTTAAAATCCCTTAAACCCTCGTGGTCAACTTTCTAAGATGTGTAATGAATCTAGAGTAAGGTGAAGCAATTTAAGTGATATAATGAAGCTGAAACACCGTAGAGTAGTGAATGTTTTCAGTAGATCAGATAATGTGGAAGCCTAAAGAGAGGATATTAATGAATCAGGATGACGGTGGAAGAGTAGAGAAGGGTGTTAGAGTCATTGGTCGTAATCTTTAGTTTGTCCATAGTGATTAGCGTCCAGACGTAATCTTCACTTAGGGATTTTTCTTGATATGTCCACTTGTATATCCCTCCTTCACAGTTTTTTGCTATTGTCCCTCCTGTTGGTCTCGATGTTGGGATTCCATGTTTTGTTGTGGTGAGGGCGAGGTGAGGGCTTATATAGCGGAGGAAGGCGTGGCTTGGTAGCCGACCTTAGACCGCGAGGCATTGGCTGGGGAACTCGACAAGGGATCGGCTAGTCAGCGACAAACGGCAGTTGTAGTGGAAATAGCCACAACAGCGGATCAATTGATACTCCGTATAAACGTATATAATAAGTTTAATCATTATAAAAGTTCACACTGGATCAGCGTGTATACAGAAAAAGGAGGTCTTCAAACACTAAGTCGATTCACCCAAGAAGCCACTGAGAGCTTGTATTACTCTGAGTGTTTCAGTGAGAACATGATAAACGGCACCAGTGAAACGAATATGTCAGTGTTGAAGGTTACAAACAGAGTTCTAGATCTAATATTTTTAATTGTTGATATAACAATGTAATTGGATAAGTTTAGGTTTGAATTGAATTGAAACAGTTTATTTAGCCAGAAAAACACAGATACAGAGTAGATAGGTTTAGGAGGGAGATAGGAAGAAACTGGTTCACAAATAGGGTGGTGGACGAGTGGAACAAGCTTAGCAACTTTGTAGTAAGTGCTGGAACGTTGGAAAGTTTCAAAAGGAGGCTAGATAGATTCATGGATGATAGAGAGTGGTAGTAACTCTCGACAGGAGCTGCCGTGCACAGGCCAACCGGCCTATTGCAGACTCCTTATTTTCTTATGTACTTATGTGCTTAAGAGTGACAGGGTTTTGGAAGCACTTGTAAGGTAGTACAAGGGTGGCAGAGGGTGTCAGAGGCACTTATACAATCATAAGAGTGACAGGGTGTTGGACGCATTTGTTGAAAAATTCTACCAAAATTGAAAGATTGCATCGGGGAAATTAGAGGTCTGGGTCCGGCCGTGGATAATAATATTAAAGGAGATTAAACAAAGGAATATATATAACTTGGGAGGTAACAGAAGGAAGTATTTCACCAAAGAAATAACAAGAGAAAGACCTTGAGAGTTAAAATAGAGACAATATTAACAAGAGAGTAAGAGATAATTTGATGTTTTTTGCGGAATAAAAGTGAATCAGGTGAAATAAGCTGGGGTAACTCTTCAGGTGAAATAAGCTGGGGTAAATCTTCAGGTGAAATAAGCTGGAGTGAATCTTCAGGTGAAATAAGCTGGGGTAAATCTTCAGGTGAAATAAGCTGGGGTAAATCTTCAGGTGAAATAAGCTGGGGTAAATCTTCAGGTGAAATAAGCTGGGGTAAATCTTCAGGTTATCCGAAAAAAAAAACCTGAGTTTGTGGGAGCGTCAGGTAAGGAGGACCTGGGAGAGCTGAAGGTGAAGTTAGTCAGTGTCCTCCTTCAGGAACTTTATGATGTCGAAGTCGTCGAAGGTGATATCGGCCCTGTCCTGGACCTCCCTGAAGGTGTAGTCCCGCAGCAGCTCACCATTCTCAAAGACAGTTACCAGTTGGTCCTGAAATGTTAGAGAAACATTATTAGATGCCTGGCTGCCTGAGGTCGCCAGCAGCTTCTGGGTTGGTTAGGGAAGTAGAGAGATCTTGTGGTCTGGTCTGGAACTCATTTGTACTAAAGAGAATGATTATCCCAGACCTTCAGAAGTCTAGAGATTCATTTGTTGGGGAAACAGATTATTAGTGGTTAAAACACATCTGTAGTTCAGAGGCTGAGCATCTCAAAAGTCAATATTTAATACAGGTTCAAGATTTCCCTCAGCTTAAATTTTTAATTTTCTAAAAATTCCAGGTCTTCAATAACTCTGAGATACAGAACCCGAACTAGAGGTTCTCATATCCCTGGTCTGGGCTTCCCGTTATTTTTTGTTATCTGGCCCCAGACTAACCTTGGCTGGGTCGCCCTTGCCACTCTGGACGGTGGTGTAGACGCCGTCTTCACACTGGAGGGTGAGGCGGCCTCGCTTGCTAGTCTTGCCGGAGTCAGTGACAGGCTCTTTATACACCTCCACACCCTCACCCTCCACCTCCGCGAAGCTCACTTTGTAGGCACACCTCTGTGTGTCTCGGTCAAGCTAGAATAAACCAACACCCAGAATGAGTTACTGTTGACTCTGAGATAAAACTGAAGGAGTCCATATTGGTGATGGCTTATTAGTGAGACTAAATTAAAGGAACGAGCGTAAGGGTTGGTTTAATTATGATATATTCTAGGAGGTAAAATTAAAGTAACGTTTACGTGTAATCAATTAAATGTGACTGTGTGATTAAAGGAACAAACCCTCCGGTTTATGTGATTGTGTTCACCATCAGACTCTGGGAGACAACACCAGCTATAGTACAGTGCTCACCCTCTGGAGCAGGGCGGCCCCGGCCCCAAAGTAAGCGCTGGCGGTGCTCCAGCCGTGGTTCTTGAGGTGCTCCAGGATGGACCCTGTAAAGTCAGGTGCTCATAATGGTGGGATTTAACTCACTATAAAAAAACACTTCAATGAAATGTATAATTTCCCGAAGAATATAGTGAAGACTGGATTTAACTGTCTATTACCAGCGCAGAAAATGGTCCTGAGATCCACTAACTAAATAAAATGGACAAATACTTTGCTCTCCTAAAAACAAAGAAAAGAAGAAGTAACATCACGACCAGACCACATTCCTTAACTGTTGATAACCAATGGCATAAATGTTTACCTACCAATATTTACGTAATTCCCGCTGCGTATATATACGGGTAACGTTCTTGAGAATGACAAATAGTCAAAATAGAAACAACATGGAACTGCATAATGAAGTTTCTATGACATGTTTATTATCCTGATACAGCCCAGCCTCCCAGTCACTCAGTCGGGACATTAACTCCCCCGAATCAGTCTATATATCTCGAATGTTTACACAGTTTGAAAAGCTCAGATAACCTGAAAATTAGCCCCAGCTTATATCACCTGATGATTAAACACCCTAATGGTACAGTACTTGGGTGCTAGGGGGTTAGGTTAGGTTATTGTATTCTAAGACTTACGTTCTATAAGTAGCATTACTCTAGACACATTCTTAGTGTTTGTCGTACTTTGTTCAGACATTTAGTATAACCTAACCTAACCTAACCTTAGCCTTAGCCTTACCTTAATTCATGCACATGCTTCTAAAATATGTTCAGTGAGCTGTGGGGTGACTTACAGAGCGCTTTGTGGTTGATGCCGTCGGCGTGGATGACTCTGAGGTAGGGAGGCAGCAACTTGTACCCCTTCGAGTTGGTCTCTGTCCCGTACGCCTTACCCAGGATCTCAAGGCTCTAGGCAACACACAAACAAGGAAACAGTGTTTATCTTAACCTTTTGAAAACATACCTTAAGTCAACGTCCTGAAAGGGTTAACGTGATTCATCCTGTATCATAATGTTTGTGCTGTCTTCAGTGATGCGTCCATTAAACAGTACATTGCAAAGACGCACAAGGCTATTTAGGAATATACCTCATATCGGTCTTAGACGATGAATTAAATACGTAAATTTTCTATGCATATAAATTAGAAACAAAAGGCAATCTACGATGATAATTTTAATAAATATTGTACGAGACTAAACCTGTATCGAAAAAAGAGGAACTAGTATTGTAGGTTGCATTATATACAAACAAAGTGGGGAAGCGTCCCGGGTAAAAATTATGAGCCACTTGTCTACCCCCCGTCCCATCCCCTCACCTTGAGGACGACCTCCTTGGGGTCGCCACTGTCGGGTCTGAGGTAGATACAGCCGCCCTTCCTGCCTCGCTCCAGCACCAGGTCTCGCAGATCCTCACACCAATGCTCCTCCAGGCACTGCCAGATGTTGTACGAGTCACACACACACCCCACGTCTCCTGTATGAAGCAGGGAAGACAAGTAGTAACGTTGGAGGAAGGAAATCATTATAAAGACTACTTTTGTTACTAAACGTGAGGTCAGGTCACAACTTCCATCTATTTACACTAAGTTATATGTGGCCCTTCAAGTTTCCGTGATGGATAAGTTATTTTTACATATAAATTAGAATTTTCAGAGTTGGTATCCCGGATTAAATAACTAACTAAAATTAGTCACAAGTAAAATGTTATTTCTATTACCACTTTACCAGGGGAACGATCTTTTTACCTTTGACGAATACCATCATTAATGGCTAAAGATCCCGCTAATGAAACATAATGGTCTCCTGTGCAAAATAAAAATGGTAGTAATAATAGTCACATATAATTTCGCTATTATTTTTTTTAGCTTTTTTCGTTTCTTCTTCATTCAGTCCCGCGCTACTCCCACCTTCGTTCAGATCTTAGGATCACGGTGCTGTGTACAGTACAGTACAGTACAGTACAGTAGAGTACAGTACAGTACACCCCTTACCTACAAGAACTGACCTTTGTGTTCCCAAGATACACAGTACCTACTACATAGCCTCATATACAGTAGCTGTCCTAATGTCACCAGCGGCTTAGATCATAATTTTCTACAAACTCTCAGCAGCAAACCGTGGTGCTAGGTTGTACTAGTTCCCAGCAAATAAATCTCCTGGTTTCTCAGTATTCCCAGCTGCATATCCTAGTGTTCGATGTGAGAAGATCTATCATGAGCCTTATGTGTGTAAAGCTTATGGGTTCGAATCCCTTATTAGTGCTGTTCGTACATTTATCTCGTTATTGTCGGTTTGTTTCTGAACTTTCTGGGGGTCTGCTAACTCGTGCTCACACTGTACAAAGGGGTCACTGACTACTAACCTTCAGAATATGTGGATAGCATATGCCTATGTGCTTCTAATTCCCTGGTCTTGCCCCAGGTAGTAACGGTGGAGTGCTCTGACGAAGGTGAGGAGAAGCCAGCCACGGTCTCTAGGTGGTAGTACTTCCTCAGTAGGGAGGTTCCCGCCACGGTGTCCGACGACTGTAATATTTGTAAACACGAGTAGTGCATCACGTCCTGTGGTGCCTCTTCTGGTTATGTCAAAATTGCAAATATTTATAATGCATTTTGCTATTATGTTATTGAACTGAAAAACAAAGTAACTATTAAAGCACGTAATATTTATAGTACAATACCTAAGTCATATACCTCCTCACATCATCTCTGAAATTCTCGAAATAAATTTATAAGTAAATCTAGTAATGGGTGAAGGGTCAATTACCTTGAAGTTAATCATGTGAGCGGCGCCACCCAGAGCAGCTGACTCTACGGAGGACACCCCGCGGTACCCAGCGTCGTGAAGCTGTGGAGACAATGTTTATTTACTCAGGCTTTACTTTAATTAATCCTGTTTAAGGTTATTTATCATACTGCACACCGCCCATCCCACCTCCGCCTATTCCGTCTCATCGCGTGCAAAAGCTGTGGGTGAGGGGGATACTGTGCTGTTTTAAGTCACATTAATAAGAACCTCCTGAGCAGACGTCAGCAAACTGTTCAGAAACCTTAGTAAAGTAACTCACGGAGTATTCGACGGTGTGGGTGTTGTCGTGGGTGAGGTTCATGTAGTGGTGGATGATCTGCTTGTAGACGCGGGAGTTGGTGGCTACCGTCATGGGGTACCACGTCTGGACCAGCAGCGTCTGTACCAATACACTACTGTACACAATCACCACTCACCAGTGCTTAACCTAACCTAACCTAACCTAACCTAACTATGATGGTAATAATTAAGAATACAAGTTACAAGGACGGCTGAGTTAAGATTATGAACTATCTATTATTGACTTTAGTTATTATAATGAAATAAAAAGTGACTCAGAACTGACATAAAATGATCAGAAGAGATCAACACTATTCTAACTAAATACAGTCAAACGTCAGTCAGTATTGATCACTATTATGAGCAGTTAGCAACTATTCATCATGTTTAAAGTAGAAAAAAAAGGGAAATGATTTGTTTCCAATACGTCTCATCCTGGACCCATTAAGGTACTGAAACCATGGAAATTCACACAATAATGAGTGTTTCAGAAAGATGTATACACACTACCTGACAGATTCTCGTGGATATCGCGTGAATGTTTGTATTACAACGGTAACATTGTCCTCACGTGTTGATGTGCGAGGTCTCCCACCAGTGAGGACAATGTTGTTCTTGTAATATAAACATTCACGTGAACTCTACGAAATTCTGTCAGGCAATGTGTATAAACATTTTAAGACAATCCTGTATATAACAGTACCATCAGTATCAAGACACACATACAGTACCTCGAAGAAGTTGGTGACCCAAGGGAGGGCGGGGTCGGTGTTCTCCACGGTGAAGAGCACGTTCCTGGTGGGGACCACGCTACCTTCAGGCACCGCCTTCACCCTCAGCGGCAGACGACCTCCGTGATGCTGGACAGAGGAGAGGAGGGTGAGAGTTAACACCAGGGAGGCAGGTTCTGGGTGTTAGGGGAGGGGAGGGTGAGGGTTAACACTAGGGAGGCAGGTGCTGGGTGTTAGGGGCGGGGAGGGTGAGAGTTAACACCAGGGAGGCAGGTGCTGGGTGTTGGGTGAGGTTAACACTAGGGAGGCAGGTGCTGGGTGTTGGGGGAGGGAGGGTGACAGTTAACACTAGGGAGGCAGGTGCTGGGTGTTACAAGAGGGAAGGAGTACAATTCACACTTATTCCAGGCGGGAAATGTTGGTTCTGCCTCACCTACCCCCTTCTGTGTCCATCGGTATCTGTTGCTTTTTCTCCCTCTTTCCCTCTCTCTCCTCCTGCCCACTCTCCTTCTAACCCCTCTTTATCTTCTTCTCCTTTCCTCCCTCTCTCCTCCTCCTTCTCTTCCTCCTCCCTCCTCCTCCTCCTCCTCCTCCTCCTCCTCTCCTCCTCCTCCTCCTCCTCCTCCTCCTCCTCCTCCTCCTCCTCCTCCTCCTCCTCCTCCTCTCTCGCCTCTTCACCCCTCCTGCTCCCTCACCTCCAGCAGGTAGTTCCAGCCTTCCTCGTTGAAGACATCGTTCCTCTTGAAGACAGTGTTGATGATCTGTTTAGCCTCGTCCACCATGGCCCGGGTCACCACAGGACCACACAACCATTGCTTCAGGATGTACTGCAGCCCGAAGAACACCGTGTAGGGGAACCTGCCGGGGGAGACACGTATGTACCTACATATTCTCGGGCATGTGTACATAAGGTACATGCGTAAAGTTTGTCAGGAATATGTACACCGACACGTACAGGTCGCCAGGGGTACGTAAAAGTTACCGCAGTCGACACGTACAAGAAAATTGGTATCTCATTAGATACGACACCCGGAATTATAAAAATTCTGATTTAGATCGACGACATGGGATGATCGGAATCATTGCTATATAATTATGTAGTGTGTACTATTATTATTATGCAATGTTACATTGCCAGGTAATGATTAGAGCACTACATATTTCTCTTGAAGATTGGAAACAGCTGTATAATAAGTTAGGTACTGGTATTACTGTCTAATACTCCGGAAGGCGTTCTGGTAGAAGTATAAACTGGTAGTTAACTCGATAACCCAACAGCTCTCTCTTAGACAATGTACAGTACCTTACTCTATTGTGCTTAAGATGATCTCTCCAGGTAAGTTTGCGAGGAAAGACGAACTCATTCATAGAAAATTAAAGTGTTGGTAACTTTCAACAGCAGGCTGGCAGAGGGTATTACCGAGCTGGGTGGTCGTCCCAGAGTGATCTCTTGTACAATATGAAAAGCCGCACGGCTGTGTAGTTTGTACTTACAAGAATGTGGCGTGATGTTGACCATCGCGCGTTTCGTCATACAGCAAGAATGACAACAAGACCCGCGCCATAAGTGTGTACAGTATATTACAAGACATAACAGAATGTTTCAATCGGTGCCACTGTGTGTGTGTCGAAGAGTCTGTCAACCACCCATCTCGGTAGACGTGCAACATTTCTATACATATAGATACAATATATAGCTAATGCCATTGTATTTCTGACGAAGATTAGAAAAAGGCATTACATTTCCAAGCATTTCAGACTTAGCCTTTTGAAGAACTGAATCCTTACATCCGAATTTAGTCAATAGTTTCCTTAGATTTGCTCTTACATGAGAGAAACCTTTAGAAAAAGATTCACAGGTACTGTACTTACTTGCCGCCTCTGGACTCAAAGTAAGCGTAGAGTTTTGTAGTACCAGGCGGGTAGACCTTGTAGTGTGACGACTGGGGGGAGAGGAGGTGGGAACATGTACTATACTGTATATATTTAATTATTTATTTATTTATTTATTTATTTTATTTTTTACTTTTTTATTTTTTATTTTTTTGAAAAATATTTGTTTGGTGTACATTCTAAAAATCAAGCAATGGGCACCCTAACCCAAATTATATTAATTGAAACTAAATTAACTTAACCTAAGCTAAGCTAATCTAAACTAAATTAACCTAACCTAGCCTAACCACAGTAGGGTACCTAAGAATTTTTGGTGGTGGGTGGCAAAGGGCCAATTGTTCGACAAATGGCCGTGACCGATATACTGTTTATCAACCACCTTCCTCGTCAACCATAACAGTTTACAGACAATACAAAGAATCTATTAAGTTATATAAACCAAATCACTAGTTACGTTATCACACAGACACGACCACTAATGGCCCATGACGACGAAATAATTCATTCTATTCACCTTCTGGTCACACAAACACTATGAACCATCTTTACAGGTCACACATACAGTACACGCGTGTATCTTATAGTCTGTACAAACACTAACACCGATTTCACCTGAACTTAGAAGAAATACTGATATTAATATGAATATCTTACTTTACAGCTGACCTAACTCAGAAACCTTACTTTAAAGTAGAGGAAACAAGTATTAACTAAAATTTACTTATTGCTAGTATAAAATAAGCATAAAATAGCTATTAAACATAAAAAAATAATAGAATCTCTCACTAAATTTAACCTAATTAATAGTCTAGCGTAATCCAAGTGGCGGAGGTTCTGTCTCACCTTATAACAGTCAGCCAGAAGTATTATATTATCAACGGGTCCTGCAGCCATTGTGTGTGTCTTGTCTATGCTGGATTGTGCTACTAACTGTGCATGAGGATGTGGGAGGTAGGGATGAGAGGAGTCCACACGCGTATACCCACCACAGAATTGCACATTGCCAAATACTACCATGACACGTCTTGTTCTGCATCCAGTTCTTTTTGGCACTAATCTATATTATCCAAGTTACGGATCATTCCTTCATTCTCAATAACGTGGTGCATATTTATACCTTCTGGGGAGTAGATGACAGTCATGATTTTGGGGGGAATATTCAGTTGGTATCCTTCACATTACCGCCGCGCCACTCAAGGTTACAATCTCCATGATCTGACCAATGATGTGCACAAACAAACTCAAGGTCGATGGTCGGGAAGAAGCAATTGTTTTTTTTTTTATGTTTTTATGTTTTTGTGTGTGTTTTTCATTTGACCTCTGATGTGTGAATTCCTGGATCATCTCTCTACATGACTCGCACTGTTTCACTACGTAGATCATAAATAATAATAGTAATAATAATGTTAATAGTAATAATAATAACATTATCACTGATTCAACTCATGTTACACCTAATACTGATGCCACTGCTGCTGATGACAATAGTAGTAATAATAAGATATGTACGGTTATACAGTAGTTAAAGGTGAAGGTCAACTAGCTGGTCTTCCCCTTTAAATACTGTAGCTTATCGCCTTGTGGAGGTAGGCACAGTACGGGTAAACTACACAGTACTATAGTGAAGAGATGGTTCGTCGACGCTAATGCAAACTTTCTTAATTATGCTAAAAAAGAGAAAAAATGTAACTCAAATGATAAGGAGAAACTTATTCAAAACTATATATCTAACACAGTAGTAATGAAAGAAAGGGAAGAAAATAAGACAGGCAGCTTCATTAGCAAACAAAATGTGTGAACACTGCCATGAGGTGAACCAAGCTACGACTGAGACCATTAACTCCATCCTTATTACGGACGGCTTGGTCAGCCTCACTTCCCTGTGACACTACCACCCCACTGTGGCACCACCACCCGACTGTGACACTACCACCCTACTGTGACACTACCACCCTACTGTGAAACTACCACTCAACTGTGACACTACCACCCGACTGTGACACTACCACCCAACTGTGACACTACCACTCAACTGTGACACTACCACCCTACTGTGACACTACCACCCTACTGTGACACTACCACCCGACTGTGACACTACCACCCGACTGTGACACTACCACCCGACTGTGACACCACCACCCGACTGTGACACTACCACCCTACTGTGACACCACCACCCAACTCTCTCTTACAACCTCCCACCCTCCTCTCCTTGTCTACTATGATGGGTCCATTACCACACTGGGCAGCGCTGGGGCAGCTGTGTGGATTCCTAAGCGCCAGGCCCGCAGGAAAGTCAGGGTCCACGACTGGACCTCCTCCACTGACACTGAAAGCATAACCATCCTCGCGGGCATTCATGAGGGGGCGACCTATGCTCGCACTGAACGCCGGAACCTTCTTATAATCAGTGACAACATTTCTGGGCTAGCGAGGCTCAAATTACCCTCCCCCTCCTCCCCTGCCGCCCAACACTCCCTAGTCACCGTCGCCAGGCTAGAACAAACTGATGACATCCGTGTCAATTTATTTGGATCCCGTCACATATAGGAATAACTGCCTATGGCACTGTTGATCGGCTTGCCAAAGAAGCGAAACAAGAAGATACTGAAGCCACCCTCACCCTCTCCCTGAGTCACCTCAACTCTCGCATACACACCACACAACGAGAAGCATTCGACGAACATTGGACACACCTGGAACAACGGGGTAGCGTCACACTACGCCACTATGACGCTATAACAGGTGATGACAACCACCACTACAAAGAGTATCAATCCCTGACTCGATCTCAACAGATTATGTACATGAGACTGCGCCTAGGGTACAGGTACCTATGGGGGTACATTGGCAACCCTGAGCCTGGCCGCACTGTTTGTAAACTTTGTGGTCGACTTGACTTTCACACCCTCTCTCACTACATCCTCACTTGCCCTAAGACCTCCTCCTACAGGTCCCCAGCCGTTACCTCTTCCCTCCCTGACCAGATATCCCTCCTCCTAGTCACAGGCCTGGCACTTGACATTATTAGGGACCTGCCACACTTTGCCATAAACAGATGAAATGTACCGGGAACTTCCCCCCCCCCCCACACTCATCATTCTGTCACTTTATGTAACTTGCTAACAAAACCCATGACCCTTCAGGCTTTTACGCCCTTAATGCATGAGTAATAAAGGCAAGCATGAACTTAGTATGCTTCCCAAATGGGCGCTGTAAACGCTTCTGTGCTTCACCTTGCACAGGATGTAAGAGGGTGCCAAATAAACTAGCCCCCTCGGGGGCAATCTAAAAAAAAATCTACCACCCTACTGTGACACTACCACCCTACTGTGACACCACCACCCTACTGTGACACTACCACCCTACTGTGACACCACCACCCTACTGTGACACTACCACCCTACTGTGACACCACCCCCCACTGTGACACCCCACCACCTACTGTGACACTACCAACTACACCACCCCACTGTGACACCACCCCTACTGTGACACCACCAACTTCACTGTGACACCACACCCCACTGTGACACCACCACCCTACTGTGACACCACCAACTCACTGTGACACCACCACCACTGTGACACCAGTACCACCCCTACTGTGACACCACCACCCTACTCACTGTGACACTACCACCCCACTGTGACACTACCACCCTACTCCAGACACACCACCCCTACTGTGACACACACCACCCTACTGTGACACCCACCACCCTACTGTGACACTACCACCCTACTGTGACACCACCACCCTACTGTGACACTACCACCCTACCAGACACCACACCCTACTGTGACAGTACCAATCCTACTGTGATACTACCACCTCTACAGACACCACCACCCTACTGTGACACCACCACCCTCTACTGTGACACTACCAATCTCTACTGTGACACACTAACTTACTGTGACACCACCACCCTACTCTGGAACAGCCATGTCAATATTGTTCTTATTGTCAACTCTGTGTCTGTATTTTTCTGGCTAAATAAACTTTCAATAGCAATACCACACCTACTGTACCACTGCTACTACTACTACTACTTTTTTTTTTTTTCACGTGGCCTCCAGCCTCCCCCAATAGCCACACCTTCGCCACCATTTATTTACCTTAATATTAAATATCCTAATACATAATAAGCTATCCTATCTGTGTTAAATTAGTTGAGCCGCAGATCTATGCGGCATTCAGTGACTGTAGCCTCATAGTCAATATCTGCAGCAGTTGTTGGAGTAGGGGCAGAAGCTCTCGTTCCCCTTACTACTACTACTACTACTAATACTACTACGACTTTTTTAAACTACTACTACTACTTCTACTACTACTACTACTACTGCTGCTGCTGCTGCTGCTGCTGCTGCTGCTGCTGCTGCTGCTGCTGCTGCTGCTGCTGCTGCTGCTGCTGCTGCTACTGCTGCTGCTAATAATAATAATAATAATAATAATAATGATAATAATGATAATAATAATAATATGAGCACTTATTCTGTTGGTAACTCACTTCGTCTCCTGGGCATGCAAGTTGAAGGTCACGTTGAGAATATGAACAAGTGTAAGGTAGGCGTGGATTTTTCTGCTGTGTATCTTCTCCCTTTCCTGTCTCATTGCTGCTCCTCTACACTCACCACTTCTACTGTTACTGTAATAATGGCACCACCACCACCACCACCACATTTTTTTTAAATGATCTCCAGCCTCTTCCAATAGCCACACCTTCGCCGCCATTTTATTACCTTAATATTAAATACCCTAATACATTAGTAGCTATCCTAGGAGTGTTGAGTTAGTTGAGCTGCAGATCTATGCGGCATTCAGTGACTGTTGCCTCATGGTCAACATCTGCAACTGTTGTCGGCTTTGGGGCCGATGCTCTCGTTCCCCCGAGGCAGAGCAGACCTCGATATCACATTGGTCCATTAATACGTAGATAGTGTAAGTTTCAGGGTGAAACTATGGACAAGTTTCTTTACGCCATTTGCCTCTCTCCATCATCCATGAATCTATCTAGCCTCCTTTTGAAACTTTCCAGAGTTCCCGCAATTACTACAAAGTTGCTAAGCTTGTTCCACTCGTCCACCACCCTATTTGTGAACCAGTTTCTTCCTATCTCCCTCCTAAACCTAAACTTATCCAACTTGAATCCGTTGCTCCGAGTCCTATCCTGCTCGGATATTCTAAGAACTTTATCTATATCCCCTTTATTGATTCCTTTCACCCAGTTAAATACTTCTATCATATCTCCCCGCACTCTTCGTCTTTCTAGGGAATGCAAGTTAAGTTTCTTCAACCTATCCTGATATGGAAGGTTTCTAAGTCCCGGAATCATTTTTGTCATTCTTCGCTGCACCGACTCTAGTGAATTTATATCCATTCTATAATAGGGGCATCAGAACTGGGTCATGCAACTCGTTAGCTCAGGGTGTGGTTGTTGTGTTGGCGGCATCTTCTACACTTTAAACAAATTCACGCGTTGGTGGCCCTTGGGCCGGCCATCGTCGATTTCGAGGGGCTTTCATTAGTATGAACAATGACGACACTTACTCGAGTCAACAAAGGAAACCCTAAGACATCCGGATAATGCCCCCCGTCTTAGCCAAGCGACCCGTGATTAACTATTTATAATTTGTTTATATTCTGTTGGGTTAATTCTTCATTTTTATTCATCTCATATGTTTCTTGTTTCTGTACACCTGTGTCAATGTCAAGTAATTCATAACCGAGTAAATCAACCGAACATTTGATAATACCGTAAAGTTGACAGAGTTAACATTGTTGAGATTGTTGTCTAATATCCAACAATAATCTTACGTATTCATATTAAAAGTAAATTTAACTTTGAATGTTTCATAAAAATTCCCAGATCTCGGGATGTTTACTCTAAGGTAGTTGCCAGATGCTCCCAGAAGTTACAATAGTCTGTACCTAAACTTTCTTTCGCGACTGTATATACGTACACACATACACTGTGCAAGTATACATAATACAGTGTACATTGACTGCAAATATAAAAACAAGG